ATGATGAAACGATTAGATCAAATTTCACTCATAATAATTATAATGAACAATGGAAGAAAACAAGAACTGAAAGCAAAGAAAGTCTAGAAAATGAACTGGATAACGTAATTTCTTTTTATTCCACTTTCCCAGTTGCATTTGATTATAGATGAAATTGAATCATATTTATTGTTGATTTTTAAATTAATTCCAAATTGCAAATTTTACAAAGTCTTATATTATAGTTCTTTATGAATTCTGAGTCTTTCCAATTGTCGAATTCTGTCGATTCTTCTGAAAAAAGCGCTGAGACCGAAATCACAAATGAAAAAAAGAATTTTTCGCCAGGTAACAAGCGACGAATGCAAAGTTTGAATCGTTCGAAAGAAGAATTTATGATAGGCGAAGCGCGAACGACTGGAAGGTTTTTTTCTTCTATTTTGCTGATTATTTATTTTTTCCCCTAATACTGCTCATTCCTGGATAACTCTGCTGGTTTATCAGATGAGGCAAATTCTTGCCAAGAAATTGCAATAGATACAGAGGTGAGTCATCAGTATCATCCAATTTATTATTTACATCAATTTTTAACCGATTATCATAACAAATAAAATTGAAAAAAATCGAATATGAATAGTACTTACTATAAAATTTTTAATAGCTAAATTTTTAATAGCTATAAAGTTGGTACGAATGGCGGGTCGAGATCAGGAACGACTGGCTCAAAGAAACAAACTGATTGTAGAACTAGAGAGGTTTTTGATTTTCTAAAGGATTTTTAAAAAATTGAAAAAGAAACGTCTTTAATATTTATAATTTATTTCGAAAACTTTTTGTCAGGATAACGAGTTTTCTGTGGGCCATTTGTTGACAGAATCTGAAGAAGACGATGATGGTATTGCTTCATCAAGTACATTTAAACCAAAAAAATACATCAGAAAGTAATTTCCTAATGTTTTTAAAAGAAGTGAATATTTTCCACCTTTGCTATAAATTAACGATTGGTGAACTGTAATAAAATTTATAGTTTTAAAAATTTTATAAATTTTATAGAATAGTTTATGTACTGTATTTTATAATTATTTTTATAGTAAATTTTATAAAATAAAATTTAATCATAAAATGTTTTATTTAGTGAAGGATATCTTCCATACGTAAATGTGGGAAAACAATATTGATATTGTTTAGAATGTTTTAGATTCATTTTCAGCTATGCACAAAAAAAAAAATTAGTTTTTTTGCTGAAAGAAATATTGCAATATTTTTTACATCGTTAATAATTTTTTCACGCTTTATTTCAATTAATAATTTTTCTTCATTCTTTTTTCAGGCGACAGAGGCTGATTCCTTCTGATTCGGAAAATGAAAAGTCGAGTAATGATGGCGAAGAGGACCATCATTCAGATCTGAAGGAATTTGCTAGTAATTCCAATGATATGGTTTCATGGAGCGATGATAGCAATGATGAACTGAAAAGGAACTTTAAAAGCAAAAAATACGAAAGGTCTGTCTTTATTAAATTTATATATAAAATTTAATCATAAAATATAAATATATTTTCTTTGAATATTTTATTTTTTACTGCTTTTTTCAAGCTGCAAAAAATGCTATATTCATTGTAATTTTTTTTTTTTCCTAATAAATTCGATTAAATCAGTCATTAACTGAATGGGTTTAGATATGAAAATTTTTTGTTTATAAAATATAAAGTAAAGTTATCATTTAAACTTTAACATTATTTGTGATTTTAATCATGATTTTAATCCCTCCCACTTATTTTCTAGAGCGAAACCTAAACGAAGAAAACGTGTTCATTTGGATGATTCATCATCAAGTGAAGACGAAATGGATCGTGAAAAATCAAAAACTTCGAAAAAAATAGCTAGACCTATGATGAGTCGTGAAAAATTGCAAAAAGAAACAATTGATGCTGAAAAAGCTGAAAAAGAGCGACGAAAACGTCTTGAAGCTAAACAGAGAGAGGTATTGGATTGTAACAATTATGAGTTTTATATAATATACATTATATATATATATATATATAATATATTCATGTATAATCTTCTTATCTGGCATTTCAATGGTTATGCAAACATTTTATATAGAGGATATAAGAACAATCGTTTTGTGACTGGAAAAATATATGTTACGCTATATAACTCTAAAGGTTAAACTAAAATATATATATATATATATATATATATATATAACTTTATCAGTTCTATAAGATTCTAATTAATGATAGAGATTACAACAGAGAACCTCACTCCTCTCAGAATGAAACTCGATTGATGGTTATGATGCAAAGCGGACATTAAATGCAGTTTACGGAATAATCTTGCATATAGCTTTGCATTGCGAAGTCATATGAAAATTGATTATTCAATCATCTCGATTTGAACTGGTTCGAAATATATATTTATTATTTTTTACATCGAAAGTGTGCCAGAAATGTTTGCTATGGGCGAGAAGATTTTTATATGGCCTTTCATAAGGATATTTGCAGACTTTAGTCTGTTAAAGGCGAGTGTTCCGAATAAATACAGACTAGATTAGGTATTGATATCTGAAGAAATATAAACCGATTGCTTGTGTTCTTATAGGCGAAGATCGAAGCTTGTGATAGCATTTTTATGGCGATAGAAATAGTCCGAGTAATTTTCGAAAAATGTCGAGTCGAACTATTTTCCACAGCCTCTTGTTGCAATACGACTAGATGTACCAAAGCATATCAGCACGTATCTAAAACTAGCAAAGAGAGGAAATAGTCCTACATTACCAAGATAGGCGTGATCAAATCGTTAATCCATAGTAGCTATATAGTGGCCTTGTGTCTTTGAATCTTTGAATTGCCATTCTATATAAGGAGTCCATAACTTAAAGTGTGTTTCTTCAAAGATCTTTCTAGAGGAGTAATCGTTGAGATGAGTTGTTGTTAGGTTAAATGGTATGCGTCCTAGTTTAGGTTCTGGCTATTTTAAATTTCCTAAATAAGTGTTGCAGATTGATCAAGTTTCTAACGTCGAAACAGTTTTTATTGAAAGATGAAGCATTAGCAATATTATTTTTGCCTTTAATATCACAAGTGAACAATGAATGATAGATGTCTCGCTTTTCATGGATAGTGTTTAGATGCGACGATACTGCAAAAATAACTTGCGATCATTCAACATAAAGAATTGAAATAGGGTCAGAAATATAAGCATACAAATAATTGCAAACAGCTTTTTGCTAAAAGCGCTTTATTTCTTTTCTATTCTATTTAGACTTCAAGCTTCGAAATTTTTGAAAGATATTGGAATCCTTATTGTTGTTGTTGCAATATTCTAGCGGAAGAGTCGGAATCATCTATCATCAATTTGCTTAGTGACTAATCGACCGGATTAAACAATATTAGATCCAACGCATTTTTAATATCATTAAATGTAGATCCCTATATTTAGAAAGGTAGAAGGGTTTTACCAACTAAAAGATCCATTAGCGATTTAGTCATTTCATCTGTGGAAGAATCGACTATAGAAACTTGTCTCTTGCTTTGGTCGTTGGTTGTGGAAGGTGGTTTGAATCCTGTGGTCATATTCCTAAGCATAATATCCAAAGAAGCCTAATTTCACTCATCCGAATTATTGCGACTAAGGCGTCGACAATATCATGTCCACTTGAAATTAAAGGTGGTACTATATTGAACTTGTTGCCAATAAGTTGTCGATTTATATATGGGAAAACGATAAGTTACTAATAATGTTGTCGATGAACTTGTTGAAAAAATTTGTATAATGTTTTAGAGATCAAATAATCCAAGCGGTGTGGTGATGGCTGTCTTAGATTGTTAGCAGATTCAATAGAAATTTAGTTCATGAATTAAGTCAAAAAAAGTCAAAAAAGTGTTATATCCCTGTAGATTGGTGCTAAAACCTTTAATATGAGGAATTGTCTGTTAAGGCAATACGATTCAACGCGCGATGTGCTTACTAGGTTTCCTGAAAATTTCGGTACCATATGGAGAAGTGAGGGACACTCACAAGACAGTATTAGAATTCTTGCTTATTTCCTTGAATCGATCAGGAGCAAATCTGTATGGCTTGGGTGACCTTTAGTTTCAGTATGGTAAATTACATCAGTATGGTATTTGACTGAAGTGTCTTTATAGTGAGAAAGGAAAATTGTTGATAATGTTGTAGAAATCATTGTTCAATTTCAACTTTGTTAAAATTTACATAAGTGAAGGAGTATCCTTAATACCAGAATGAATTTTTATATTAAGCGACTTCTTGCTATCAAGTAAGTATTTTTTGCTGACGTCCACTATTTGAGATGCAAGAAATTGTTTCTGAATGTTTACGTTTGTGAAAATAAAAATCCAAGATATCTGCGGGAGTCCAAAGTCTGTAATCAGTAGCTCTCCATATCTGTTGGTTAGTTCTGTCGACTGCTTGAATTTGTTCCAGTGGCAGATTCTTATAGACTTCCGTTCTTCATCAGATGTTGCTGATGCTGTTTTTGGTACTAATGTCCATTAGGAAACAACATGGATATTTTTATCAATGTTGATAAGAAACGTGAAGACTAAGGGCCAACAATGTTCGCTTTTGTTAGGCAATGGTATGGTTTTTTTATCAGTTTCTTTTTGTTATAGGGTGATGTACAATTCTTTGCGCAAAATCATCTCTTATCGAAGCTAATATTTTGAATCCTTTTTTTTAACCAAATTCTTCAATGAAAAGTTTTTGTAATCGTTATCTCTATAGATAACAGTATTGTCTCAACAGTGCGTTTTTAGGTCTCTTAAAGTTTCATAAGGCAAAAAGATAATATTATGAATTTAGCACCAGCATTTTCTGCCAATTGAGTAATTATATAGCCAAATTTTTTTATATTTTACAATAGAGTTATATTGCATAATTCCATATAACCAAATCTTAATTGGTTATATTGAAAAGAATTAGAGGCTCTGAAGGGCTTGCTAGTTCGTTAAGGCGACAATTTGAATTTTAACTTCCGGTTTAATTTCGTAATTTGATATGGTAATTGGAAAATTGGAAAATACAAATCCAATATCAAATCGTCACCAATTATGCTACTTAACCTGGAAGGTTAAAAGATAAATAACACAGAATAGCTTTATTAAACCGACATTCCGTGAATCATAAGGATGAATAATTACTGTATCTGTATATGTAAAAACCTTATCATCTTGAAAATTCCGACTAATAGTGGAAGCGGTCTCAATAAAAGATTTAAAGATTTATGATAAATTTATTAAATATTCTTCTCATTACTTTTTACATGGCCGTGATAGTAAAACATATTTGCGGCAGATTGGAAATGTTTGGAAATGATTATGATCCTTGATTTGCATTACTGATTATGCTTTATTCCAGTTCAATGGTATTGAAATGGTTGAGGGATCAGATTTAGCCACTGCTTTAGGCTCACAAACCATTCAACAACTCAAAAGCGTCGTATTAGATCCTGATCTAAGTGGCAATCCACCTCAACCGGTCGCTGTTCACCCATCGCTTGTACGATGTCTCAAGCCACACCAAGCAAAAGGAATTCAGTTTCTATATGATAGTACCATCGAATCGCTTGATCGCATAAAGGATGGCGGAGGTGGTGGTATTCTTGCCCACTGTATGGGCCTAGGAAAGACTTTACAAGTCAGTGGGGTCTTCATCTTCATCATAACTTTTTGCTTTATTTTTTAAATTTCTTTTTGTTCACGCTTCTTTTTCATGTAATTAAGATTTTTTGTTTGCTTTACCATCTAGCATTTTCCTATTAAATATTTTTTGAAGGTAATAGCTTTTCTACACACTATTTTGATGTATCCGAAAATTTCTGATTATATAAAACGTGTATTGGTTATCGTACCGAAAAATGTCGCGTTAAATTGGTATAGTGAATTTCAAAAGTGGCTATATAATGATGATATTGATCCTGAGCTTGCAACAATTGATGTTTGTATTTCGAAAATTTGGATATTTAAAATATTCGAAATTAGAAATTTCTCTTTGTCATTGATTATATTCTATGGTCAAATTTTTGAAGGTTATGGAATTTGATTCATTGAAAAATAACAATGACCGTCATGCAGCCTTAAAGAATTGGTATAATTGTTGTGAACCTTCAGTAATGATAATTGGTTATGATATGTTTAGAATCTTGGTGCAAGACGATGATGATCGGGTTATTTCCATCTATTTAACTTTTAAATTCGAGATTTTTTGAATGCATCATTTTATTTATGGAAATAAGAATTTTAGAATAAAAGGAAAGGTGATTCTGAAGGAAACAAAAAAAATAAGAACAAGCGAATCAAGAAATTTCAAAAAATGCAACCCGATTTTCGGAAATTTCTACAAAATCCAGGTGGCCATTTTTTTAAAATAAATTATCTTGCTTTTTTTCAAAAATTTTTTTGAGATGATTTTTTCAATGTTTATTTTAGGACCTGATCTAATTGTCTGTGATGAAGCGCATAAATTGAAAAATGCAGAGTCGACATTGGCCAAAACGATGTTGAAAATACGTACCAAACGACGTATTTGTCTTAGTGGTACTCCTCTCCAAAATAATTTGCTCGAGTATCATTGCATGGTCAGTTTTGTTAAGCCAGGATTGCTTGGTACAAAAACAGAATTTTCAAACCGTTTTGCTAACATCATCAATCGTGGACGTACAAAAGATGCTACTCCTACTGAAGTGCGTTTCATGAAGCGTCGGTGTCATGTTTTATACGAACATTTAAAGAAAGTTGTTGATGTAAGCTGTTTTAATCGTTTTTTTACATATTTGGAAGAATTTTTTTCATAAATTCAGTTATTTGAAAATAAAAATTAAGAATGATTATGGTAATTATGATATTATATCAAGAGTGCTGTTTTAAAAAACTCTCTCTTTTTCGAAATTTTTAAATTCATTAAACTTTGAAAACGGAAAATTATTAGATAATTTTAAAAAGTTTTTATTGAAAAATTTTAAATGGATTTGTCGATTTATTTTCAAAATATTATGATTTAAGCGCAAAGATTATCGTGTGTTAACTGAAGCAATTCCACCGAAACAAGAATATGTGATAAACATAAGACTGACTCCTCGACAAATTGCTCTTTATCGTACGTTTTTGGAATCTGTTGGTCAGGACGAAATCGGCCTAAGCAAACGCATTCTTCCAGATTATCATATTTTAGCAAGAATTTGGACTCATCCGTATCAGTTGATTTCCCATGAAATCAATAGCGAACGAAAGGTGTTTAGCGTATATGTCATTATAAATAAAAATGAATTTTTTAAAAAATCCTCGAAAATTGAAAGTTTACATATATTCTTATAAAGATGAATTCTTTCAAGAGGAAAAAAAAGATTAATGCCAATGAAAATTTTATTTCCTTATTTTTTTTCATTTAAAATTTCTTTTTTTAGAAATTTATTTAGAAATTATTTAAAAATTAGCTTTACAAGATTATCGAAATGCACTTGTCAAACAATAAAATTTAAAAAATAAAAAAGAGAATGCATATTTAGCAAATTTATTTACAATTCAGCGTTTGGCATTGCAAGAAAAAGAAAGTGATGACGATTTTATTGATGATGAAGAAATAGAAGAAAGTGAAGAAAGCGATTCTTCAGTTAAAGTGGAATCTGATGATGATATAATTAATATGTAAATTTTTCGTCTCAGTTTTTTATTTGTCAATATCTTCTTTCCCAGAATTTTAAGATTTTTAAATTGTGAAAACTCACTGAACTTCCTTTAGTGATGAAGTGGCTCCAAAAAAACTGAATATAAATGCATATAAATGTCGCAGATCCAAACGCATAGCGGGTGAACCTCTTGAAGAAATTTATGATGATGCGGTAACTTGTAATCGCTCCGGCTGGTATTCAGAATCCGGCCTCGTTTCTGACGCTGATCGGAACGATTTTTTTCTTAGCAATAAATTAAGACTGCTTACAGAAATATTGAAAAAATGTGAAGAAATCGGTGATAAATTGTAAGTTTAATCGTATAATTCTGAAATTCAAATTATTGTTAATAAAATTTTATCAATGTTGTTTGAAAATTTCTCAAATATCGCTGCATTTCAGATTGGTGTTTTCGCAAAGTATCGAATCTCTCGCACTCATTAAGCGTATGCTTCGGTATCTGGATAGCGAGGACTTGTGGTTTTCAGATGGTCATGAAATAGCAAAAATTGTTGGTGAAACGTGGGGATGGGTTGAAGGGTTGGATTTCATGGTTAAATTTTTTGAACGTTTTCAATTAATTTTTTAAATCGCTTTGCATCTATTCACTTAAAATATGTAATATACATTATATATTTTATAATATATTATTATATTACAATATACATATTATAATACATATACATATATATATATATATATTTCCCAAAAAAAACAATTTAGAAATGTCAGAATTATTCTTCTGAGAAAATTTTAGAAAAAATTTGGAAATTAAAAAATCTGATCGATCTGATTGAATCTATTGTTTATTATCAAGAAAATTTGATTTTCAATTTTTATATTTTTCTTAATTTTTTGATTCGCTATTCATTATTCATTCATTATTCATATTTATTCATTACTCCCAGATAGATGTTGTACATTTGTCACCTTTAATACAGTGTTTTATTTGACAGAAATACGATTTTTTATTATTATTTTTTGAGGTAATTGATGGTCAAGTACAGTCTAGCAAACGACAAGAAGTTCAAAATAAATTCAATGATCCCGAAAACTTACGGTATTTAATTGTTGTTTATAATATCTGTTGCATAAACAATTTGTTTTTTTCTTTTTAAATAGTATAAATAGTATTCTTTTGATGATTTTTGTCATGACGAACTTTCATGTTGTTTCATGTGAAGCATCATTTAGTGCACGACTTATGCTTATATCTACTCGTGCTGGTTCTCTTGGTACAAATATGGTATCTGCTAATCGAGTGGTCATATTCGATGCTTGTTGGAATCCATCACATGATACTCAGTCGCTTTTTCGAGTTTATCGATTTGGGCAAACGAAACCTGTATATATATATCGCTTTATCGCTCAGGTAATAAAAATTTAATTTCTTGGTATAACAAACTCCAAAAGTGGCAAAATATGAAGTAATTAATAAATTAATAAGTAATTAATAAAAAAATTAGTATTTTTTTCTGTTATATTTATTTCTATACAAAAAAAATGGTTTTCTTAGTTACGCATCACTTCTTTATTATTGATTCTAACCTAATTTCTACACAAGTTTTTAATAACTTCTGGCTGAATTGCTGATGGCCGTATTTCCAAATTATTTATTTATAGATAGCAATAATAGTATAATTAATGATATCGAATGGATTATGAGATAACGAAACATTATAACAGAGTTCTTATATGAAGAAATATTAGTGCTAAAAAAATTTTAGATTTTACTGCCTATTCAGAAGAATATTTTTATATAAGAAGTATAAAATAATCATAGTTACAAAGAATTATGACAAAAATTTGAGTTTTGCCTTAGGCTGCCATTGCGCAGCCCATCGAACTTGTATTAGGTCATGGTGAAACAATAAATATAATATTCATCATCTGCAATTCTATGCAGTTTCCATAACTGCTTATCTTTTTCCTCATGAATTTGATCATTAATTAGCTAACATTAAAAGTGTATTACTAAAAATAATTGATTCACTTGCTGTAGAAGTAGGGGCAGAATTGTTTGGTGCGATTTCATCATGATTTTTTTTGAGAAAGATTCAATATGAGTTCATCGTGATGATTGTTTGGATCATCGATTTGATATACATAATAATGATTTACATATTCGTACATAGCGAAAATTTGATCGCTCCAAATTTCTGTTTTTGTTGATAGTTTTTCATAATTTTTGAAATGTATTATTCATGGGCCGTTTTAATCTTTTTTGAAAAAATTAAATTTCTGTTTTCCAGCCCAGTTTGATTTTAATTTTTTTGGCCATTTAATTCAAATTCACTTGGTGAGGTTTTAGTTCTCAATATATATTTCTTTTCAAATATGTGAAGGGTACCATGGAAGAACTCATATATAAGCGTCAAGTGACAAAGGAATCTACTTCTTTACGTGTTGTTGATGAGGCGCAAATTCAGCGACATTTTGCTATCGATGATCTTCAAGAACTTTACAAGTTTAATCCAGATGAAATTGATTCAGATCCAAGCAAAAGGCCTAGTATGGCTCCTCCTAAAGTTCGTCACTTTTCTATTCTCTTTTCATTTTATTCAACTGCAAACGCTGTTTAAACGTTAATATTATCAAAACAAAATGGCATTTAGGTTTTTTGATGGATTTATCTTTTTAGGATCGTCTTCTTGCTGATATAATCTTTTCGCACAAGGATTGTATTGTAAATTATATTTTGCACGATTCGCTCTTTGAAAATCTCGAAGGAGAAAAGCTTACAGAGCAGGTAACTTTTGATAATAAATCGTCGCTGAAAGGTATATTTGCTTGGTTTTTTGTTTGAAATTTTGGCATCCTTGCGATTATTTATTTATTTATTTATTTTTTGCCTAAAGGATTCTAGAACTTTTTCTGTAAGAAAGAAGTTAATTATATGTTTAGGAATGTCAAGAAGCTTGGGATGATTATGAAAAAGAAAAGAGCATGACACTGACGAATCGTGGTCAATATTTGAGTTATGAGAATCAATTACTGGAAGAAAAAATGCGATTGTTGCAACAGGGGCCTGAAAGAAGTAGATTTGTTTTTTTACTAGTCCTTTTACTGATGTTTTTTGTCTATTGTTGTCTAATAAATTTAAAGAGCTTTCAGTTAATGCTTCATTGACTGATTTAAATTCCGATCCTCTCTTTGTATGTTGTTTCCAAGTGCATGGAATGGATACGACCACGGCTGCCCAAATTACTTTTCTGAAGAAGTCATTTTTTTCATTAATAATACTTTAAATATTCAAGTTTTCCTGAAATGTTAGTTACAGTATCTATTGTGAATGCAACCATTTTTTAAATTTTTTATTTACATGCACATTTTGATTTGGCTAGAAAAGTTTTATTGTTGGGAAGTTTCCTATATTTCAGATTTATTCACTTCTGTGAAGTTTCAAAGTATCTTTTTAAAATTTTTTTTTTTCAGATGCTTAGATAGTTTATTGCCTGGTATGTCCGTTAATATTCGAGGCGGTATGAATGAATTTTCTCCATTTTTCATGGCCATGGTTAATGTAAGAGTTTTTTTAAAATATTCATTTCCTTTTTTTGCTTTCTTATTATATTTTTAAAATTGTTTCTTGAGGAAGACACTCTTTTTGGATTGCAGGAAACGATTAATACAGGTGGGACCCATCTTATTTTGCTGAATAAAGCAATTAATACTTTTCGTACAGTTGTCGCTCTAGCAAGGAACGAACAAGATTGTTTACCAATATTGCGGCATCTTTATAGTATCGCTAATCAGTTTTTCGATCCAATGCAACCGCCACCCCTCTGAATGTATAGTTTAAGTTTAAGTTCAAATTTTAAGTTTTTAAGTTTTTTTCCAATTTCTTTTTCACCACTAAGATAGGTCTAATTTTTATTATTTTGAGAAATAATGCATTCCTATTTTGTGTTATTTGTTATATTAATTCCATTCTTTTTAATTTAATGTGAGATTACTCTTTCATATTAGCATAAGAAGTGAAAAGGTTTTCAAGCTATATTCCTTAGTTATTTTTTGTTTTTTCTTAGAAAAACGTAAAATTCTATTTCCTTTTGTCTTTAAAATCTAAATTATTTAAAAATTCACTTTCTCTGTTTATTTTTAAAAATTTTGCATTTTTGTGATTTGGTGTTTTGTGATTTGTATTTTGGTTTCAGTCAAAAAAATCTAGTTTTTTCTGGCCAGCGAATAGTTATAAGTTTACACCTAAAATTTTTAATTTTAATCTTTAATATTGATTAATTAAATAATTATTTAGGAGTGAAAAAAATATGATTTTGTTATAATTAATAATTGAAAATAATTGAAGATAATGGATGTAAATAAAAGATTTATGTTTTTGATAATTCACGTGATTTATTTTTAGTTAGAGCTGAGGCACTAATTAATTGCTAAATCAATATAAGTTGTGATAGCTGCTTTTGTAATTATTTTTTTCCTAGCTTTCATCAATTGTTAAATATTTTTTCTCTGACAACCCTCGTTTAGGCTGATTTCACTGATAACAAAGCGTGGTTTTAAAGAGTTTTTAATTCGCGCCACCCGATGTCATGCGTGAAAGCAATAGAAGTCATTCCTTTTTCCACACTTTGTAAGTCTAAGTCCTTATGTCGCCTATACGTTCAAAATCTCCTCCGATTACTTCTGTCCAGACGTTGGTTGCTCATATGCGCCAGTCATAGAGCAGAATATAATTTAACCAGCGTAGACACTTTGTGATGTAAGTGGATTATACGAGGTTTTATCGCTTGGAGAGCACGTGGGACGTCGATCAAAATAAAAAATGATTGACGTTTCCCATAGGCCATGTTTCGCAGCCATAATGGCAGCCATGCATTTAAATCAGATCAATACCAATTTTCATTTTGGTAGTGATTTTGTGGCGATTCTATGGAGCGAATGCGTTTTTTAAATGCGGAGTGAGAGAAATTCTTGGCCATTTGTTATAAGAATATCTAAGATATTTAAAGTTTAACATTTCCTCAACTCGTGGTGAATTGTATAAGATGATCGCTAAGTGGTAAATGTACCTAAATTCTCAGCAAATTTGCAGTTAATGTGAATTTTTGTGAGAAAATGTTATACTTCACTATAGAAATTCAGAAATGGTACTTAAGTTTTGGCCAATTGGGATACCCATTTAATGCATTTTATCAAAATTTATATAGTAATACGAATACTTAGTGATTTCATTTTTCAAATTGCAACAGATGACCTTGGATCTGGCTTTGGACCTTATTTCGTGTATGCAGTGTTTTTAATTCAGAATGCAGTGAAATCGGTGGAGAGGATGATGAGAGAGAATGCCGAGGACTAAACTATGTTCTAAACAAGAAATTGTGCGGAAGGTAGAGTGCAACATTGCTTCGTCTAAGCGAATATCATAGCTTTCTTTGCCATAAAATGGTTTCAATGTGGTGCGTAGGGGTTTTCATCCATCTCAAAATAGCGAATGGGTGGTGGTGCGGCAGCAGTGTAAATGGAGCAAATCAGTAATCTAGAAAAAGAAGAAATTTTAGTAATTCATTTAGCTTTTGATTCAGTGTTGAATCAGTGACAATAAATCGCAGCCAACAACGCATGAATCGTGTAATTAAATATAAGAAAGGTAAAAAGTCGTAAAGGCTCTAACTGATTTATTGTCGTTCTGCACATCCCGATAATGGCTAAATTAAAATCCATCACTGCTGTTCGCTCCCTGCATTGCAAGCAGGTTAAATCGGAAATACAGTATGAACTGATGAATTTGAACGACCTCAAACAGTTATTTCATAGACTGCTGGTGGTTCCCAGACCAGAAATTAATATTAGCTTGCAAGTTTTCCGGTTTCGAAAAATTCATGATCTTTTCAGTTCGCAATTAAATAATGAAGAATTTGCTATTTATTGCCATTTTTCTATTATTTCCCGTTGAAGCTCAGCGAAGATTGGCTGAAGAAAACGGATATCCTGTCGTTATTGGTAACTTCTTTATCTAAATTAAATGAACGAAAATTTCTCTCCAATTTGACATAAATATAAGTGGTGAAGCACAGAATTTTGATGTAGCAATACGCACACATTTCAGCGATATTCCATGGATTTCATGTTCCATGAGCTCTTTGGTTTCGCAGATGTTTCGGAATTTTCACACGTATATCAAATTATCTTAAATAATTTGGTTTCTTATTGGTGAACTATAGAATATCGATTATGATTGATTGATAGAACTTATTTCCACGATGTATGATGTACGGTTAGAGTGTGGATATGATGAAGTATTATGACGAAAATATTCTCAGTATTTTAAACATTAAGTCAGCATAGTTTCAGTGCCAGGATTAGGTGGATCACAGTTTGAAGCCAAACTTACTGGTAAACCTTCTGTAGTACATTATTTTTGTTTAAAGAAAACTGATGATTTCTTTGATTTATGGCTCAATCTCGAACTTCTTCCACTTTATGTTATGGATTGTTGGGCTGATAATATGAGGTTTATTTTTCTCTTATAAATGATGTATTAATAAATGTGTATTTGTTAATGAATCGTAGTTGGTGTTAGAGACCCGCGTCTATCCTCTCAAGTGATTCTCTGGTTCCTTTAATCAGAGCAGAAGAGATAATCATTTATCCATTTATAACTATTAAACTTAAACTATTTAAGATAATTGCTGATATAATTATTGTACTGTTCGCATTTCTTTTAGACTTTTTAAAGCGCATTTATTTTACTTAAAGGCTTGTTTATAACGAATCGACAGGAATGACATCAAACATGCCTGGAGTTGAAATTCGTGTTCCTGGATTTGGTACAACAGAAAATATAGAATGGCTGGATAAATCAAAAGCATCTGAGGGCAGATATTTTACGGATATCGTTGAGATGCTTGTTGCGATGGGTTATAAACGTGGCAAAAATCTTCTCGGAGCACCTTTCGATTGGAGACGAGCGCCAAGTACTACTCGTTTACAATTTTTAAATGAAATATCGAAGGTGTTATTATAAAAAAAGGTTATATAAGTTTTTCTAGTGGTTAATCTTGTCTATGTTAGATGAAATGGCTGATTTTTACTCAAATCTCAAGACGCTCATTGAAAATACCTACAAATACAACAGTAATAGGAAGATTGTAATTATAACACATAGTATGGGCAGTCCTGTTATGCTGTACTTCTACAATAAGGTCGTTGATCAGGTAATTATCTCGAATTCTTAATTCTTCACCTCAGTCGTTGATTATTTCCTTCTAGGAAATTTAAAGTCAGCAAGTTAATACCCATTTCCACGTCTATACACTCGCTCCGCTGACTATTAGTAGGGACAGTTTCAGAATCGCTTGGGGATAGAACAGTTGTGTCTCCAGCTAGGCTCAGATTCTGCTCGGAGAAATAATCCAAGCAACAACCACTCGACTATCCTATCTAATTGTTTTAAAAAAACATAACTTAAAATAAGCCATTCGGAGATGACTGCTTCCTTTCTAGGCTTGGAAGGATAAATTCATTAAATCACATATATCGCTTGGTGGAGCTTGGGGTGGTGCTATGCAGATAGTAAAGTTATTAGCCTCAGGTGAAATATTTTTTTCTTATTCATTCCACGAAAGAATTTGTTTGTCTGAATTTATTATTTGTTTAAGAGATTTAAGAGAAGAGATGATATAGCAAAATATTTAAGCCTAAGGCTTCAAGTTTAAGATACTTAAGTCCACATTAAAAAAGACCAAAATTTATGTGATAAGTGAAGATAGGAAGAGAAAAACGACGCTGAAAACAAAATCTGCAATTTTAATTGTGAAGTTTAACGCCTAAGACCTCTTCATTTTAAATTAAATTAAATTGTGCACTGGCTAGTTGTAATATATTTCGTCCACTAATTTTGTAGGCTACAACATGGATTTCTTTCGTATAATTTTACCGCCAAGCAGACTTCGCTCTATGCAAAGATCTTTCATCAGTTCGATTTTCTTATTTCCTAACTCTAATCTTTGGAATGAAACGGAGGTGATATCTTTATCCTTGATCCTCATTGCTACAAAATCTTGAAAAATTAGTTAATGACATTACAGATGATTGCTCGTGTCGATAAGAAGAACTATTCTCTGGCTAACCTGAAAGAATTTTTCATGGATATTAATTATTTAAATGGTTGGAACCAATACAAAGAAGTAGGAAAAATGCTTGGCAACTTAGAAGCTCCTAATATCGATGTATGATACCTTCGATGATTTTTATTTTGTGGATAGCGACGACTCACTTATATATGACTTAATAGAATCATGGAAAAGAAAATACATTTATTAAAGATTATAAGATCACGGATGAATGGGATATACTAAATCTCAAATTCTTTAAGAAATAGAACAACTTTTCTTTCTTTTTTTTTTAATTTTTTAAATTCTTCATTCTTTGTTAGCATAAATTTAAGTGATAAGGAGATCGAAGGAAACTTATAGGCAAATAACGGGGATATTTAGAGATTTAGGGATATAGGTGGAGCTCCCTTATTTTACTTTTGTCCCGTCAAGAGGCAGGAATCAAACCATTGCTAATTTGAATTTATGTATAAAAAATAGAAAAGAAAGCAAAAAAGGCAAAACTAACCGAACATAACATTTTGCTACCTGCTTATCACTTAAGAACAAGCATTTATTTAATATTTATTAATTAACAATTTTTCTAACAAGAAGTTAAAAGCATGATAGTAAAATGTATTTAATATACCCTTAAACTTCTGAATTCATATCGAATTTTTACCACTTTATATTCAACCATTTGTGCTATACTAATAAAGAAAGCTCGACTTATGGATAGGCAGAATGGTCTTCAAGCGTCGGTGTCACCTCTTAATATCCCAAATTTCCTTCAGTTGCTTTCATAGGTATTAATTTATGCATTTAATTATGATGTCAATTTAAAAGGGTATAAACGTCTATAATAAAAAAAACAGTGATAGGAAAAGTGAAAGTGATAAGTGATGAAAAAAACAGTGATAAGAGATGGGAAAAATAAGAATTAGATTATGATATGTAATTCTTAAATAAAAAACCAAAAAATTCCCTAAATAATTATAAAATATAAAACTTGAAATTATAGGACAACGTTAGGATTAGAATTTCCCGTCCCGTCCAATGTTTATTTAAAGTCAGTGGCACATGTGTCGTACATTCGGATGTAAGCATATATACAATTTTATACAAAACTGTAAAACTGCAAAAGTTAGAATCTAATAAGGACAGATAGCATCGAGAGTTTGCGGGGATTTTAGAATATCGAAAGAGAATTATAGGGATTTGGCGGTTGATAAAGTAATAAGTAATAATGGTTCGAAAGAGTTCGGAAGAACATGACGGGTTTTGAAGGAATATTAAAGGCTATGCCGAGGTTGAAGATAGTTCTGCTCTTCCACAGGATTTTATAGATTTAATCTAAATCTGGTAATTTTCCTGTCGCAATTTCTTTCATTTATTTTATAATTTAGATTCATTGCATTTATGGCTATAATATAAAGACTCCTGAAATATTTGAGTGGTCTAAAGATTATTTTCCTGATTACCAACCAATGTCAATCTATGGCGATGGTGATGGTACAGTGAACAGACGTTCACTTGAAGCTTGTGCAAGATGGATTAATAAGAACAGTGGTAAAAATGTAAGTAATGGATAAACTCATTCATATCTCTTTGCCATAGTTTCATTTATTATCCATATTTATGTATTATCTGATGGTACACTTAGGATCGGTCTCACTTATTAATAAGGAAGCAACTCGACCATGTAGAGAGAAGAAAAAACATTTTCCAGACAATGTTAGTGTTTGACGGTGGAATGGTCATAGTGAGTTAAATCATTACTTATTGCAATATGCCTGCTTAAAGCTTTGATATTTTGGAAGTCTATTTTTTTGAAGCGATGGCAAAAATAATCTGCATTGGCGCTGTTCTAGATAACCGACGAGCATTCCAGTTTTTTATCTAAAATTTTCTTCAATAATTCGATGTTGCCTTCTTATCACTAATCATAATCCAGAGAGAAAAGCTAAATATTTATTTCTTAGATTACTTCTAGCATAATGATTCGACTTCTTTTCCTGGCAAAATAAACCAACATACCGATGAAGAATCCACGGTATTGCGGACCTTTAAGTATTTCTTCGAGTATTTCTCTATTTCTGATTCCCACTGATAGCCAGCGAATAATCAGAAATGAGAAATAGTAATTATTTAAATGTTTATTTACAATTTATATTTTAGGTGACATTATATGGAATTGACAAAGCCGATCACATGGAAATTCTTCGACATAACAAAGTATTAAAACTGATTGCGAAAGCAGTTTATAGTGATATTTAAAAAAAATATTAAAATTTTACAAAAAGAACAACTGGAAAATATTTTTTCCTATTTTTTATTTTTTATTTTTATGTTTTTTATTTTTTCCTTCACAATATTCTGTTTTTTAATTTTTTGATCATCTTAGTTTTTTTTTTACACCATTTTATCTGAAGACATCAGTTTGTGAAAATCCTGCCAAACTTATTTATGAAAACGGTGAATCTCTGATTGGAATTGAAGTTGAGAAGAAATAAGAGATGATGTTGCTGGTTACTCTCGTTACTATCTCTAAGTGATTCTCTGGCGAAAATTTCGTGTCAACAACGAGCCAACGGATTCCTAGGCACTGATCGTTCAAACTTTTTTATCGATGACACTCATATTATAATATAAATAAAATAAATAAGAATATGATATATAAACCAAATAAAAGCAGTGCATTCAAAGAAATAATGCAGCTGAAAAAAACATTTACATTATAGGAAGTGGGATGAGTAGAATTCGGCACTCGAAGTAAGATAACCGAGTGATTCCACCAGTTGCAGACATCGTAAATCCAATTCTTTCGGAGACTAATCTCGTCTCTCTCGCAAGCAGATCTTAGAAAGGAACATACCGGATACAGGAAGTGATTTGTTCCATAAAAAATTTCGAAATTTTCGCAAATTCAGTAAGACAATGCTTGATTGATAGTGCCATTTGATTATTCATTCGTGTGAAAAGCGCCTCATTTTTTTCTCACTAGTAATCCTCAAGGGATAGAAAAACCAACCAACAATTAAAACTGATAACTTACTGCCGAACGATGCAACCAATTTCATACAAAAATTAACTTAATTCGACCGAGTTTCGCCATAAATTATAACTAACCTATAAATTTGAAATGTGAAATCAGCTGTATTCGAGAATTTATTGCAGCACTATGGAAGGGTAAGTATAATAATAAATCTGTGGAAGATAATATGCATCGTTGGGGATCGCCATCGGATATTTTAGCGAACCAGAAAATATTCTATATGACTTATTGATATTTTCACCGATGTGACTGCTGTTACAATAGCCTGCTTAAGGTAAGTAGTGTTAGTAGAGCACTTAACTCCCCAATGGAATGCATCAATTGAGCGCCCGAAAACTACGCTCACAACAAGAAGTTCCGAATTCCAAATATCAAACTCGACATCCCTCAGCAAATCGACAGAAATGCAAGCAGAACGGCCTGGTGATAAGTAACTCTGACTGAATTATCCCTTGACTCGATTCCTGTCTTTTGACGAAAGTCAAAAACCTGTTACTGAGGTGAAGTGTGAGTGGAGCTCGTCCACGCTCCCACCCTTTATTGCATAGCCCATTCAACGAACAACCACTGCTGCAAGCAGACATAAATAGAGTGCTTTAAGAACCCAAGAAAATTTTTGCACGAAACAATCCGCGTCCGCATCTGATTTTTACTTACTCAAGTCGTCGGTTACAAATACGGGCAATTGTTATGGTCAGCGAAATTTCAATTTTTGGTAGGTTAAATTGTCCTGCGATTTGGCTGGGAATTGGACTTTCTTGCAATTATGCTCAATGAGAATGTTCTTGAGAATCTCTTGTGTTATAAATTATTCGTCGACCCTGATGAATTTCCATTCAGTTTAATTTTCAAAAGGACTGAAAGAATTTGGTTGGAAAAATGTTGCGGAAATCACGCGATATTTCTTACAGATGCTTATCTACCAAAGTTATTCGAATTTATTCGATGGTTAGCTTTTTAAAATTCATCGAAATTCATTGGGGCTTTTCGCCTGTCAGAAGTGAACTCGGATCTTTCAAAATCCTGGTGATGCTCGACACTTCCAACGCCAAATAATTTGTCTGATCCAACAGCAGCTGAGGCGGGCCCAATTAAGGATGGTGCTTTACCAGCACTGCAGCCCATTCTAAGAAAAAACGGAGTGCGAGACAGGCGAGCGGAGCTAAATGAGCACTTGGAATATAGTCGTCGGACATTGCAAACAAGTGCCAAAGCAAAAAAACTAAAAAATTTTTGGAAATATATTTATTTACATTGCTTGTATTCATATTTTATTTGAACTTTAAATTATATATTCTTCTTCTCTTAGTAGCTCTCACCATTCCTGGCTAGGTTGGCTCCACGGGTTACAAGGGTTACAAGACATCTCCAAGCTGCTCGGTCCGACGCCATTGCTAGCAGTAATAGAAGTCATTACTTTTTTTATCGCCTAAGTCCATATATCGCTGGTCTCCCTACACATTCAAAATCATTCTTGTATCAGTTCAGATCTTGATTGGCCCTCCTCACTTTTGACGCCACCAACCATCACAGGGTTCGGCAAGTAGCGAAATATTTGACAATTTATGTGGTGAATGACGAAGAACATGCCCTAACCAGCGAAGGGGATAACATTACTAATACAGTGATATTTAAGCGAAGATGGATATAATCATGTGCAATTTTATCCGCTCGACGGATCTGTGAAATATATTTTAGACATGAGTGGTCAAAAACTGATAGCTTCTTAATATCTTCCACTCTCATTGACCAAGTTTTACAGCCATATAGCGAGGTCGAATGAATTGCAGCTATATGGACTCGAATTTTCGTCTTTATGGTAATTTCGCGACGGAAGTTTCAACGCCCGATAGAATGAATATATTAAGTACAGAACTTTTCTAGCGGTTACTAACCAATATATAGTCAATCTGAATGGAATATAAGTTATCCGGAGAATTCCACATAAAATTCTATAACTATATGTCTTCTCTGATGCCGAAAGCATAATAAAGGGCTCATACTGTCAGGCAAAAAGGAAGAAGACATTTGGGCATTGGACACCCGTACCACATTTGCAAATGATCGAATTCATTGTTCCGAGTTATTCGAGACACACCACAGTGATATTTCTTTGATTTTTTTTTTTTGAATTGTCTTTAAATTTTTCTTTTTTAAATTTAATTACCTCTTTTTTTTTCTTTGGCATGGGTGTCAAAAATCTGTGTGGCTGCTGGAGATCCATCTGTATCTCTATCCCCAAGTGACTCTGTGATGAAAAGTTTAAGTCTCTCTCTTTAAACTGTATACTATTTTTAATTATAAATTAAAATCTCTCTCTTTAAACTGTATACTATTTTTAATTATAAATTATTAAATTATTTCTTCTTTGTATTATTTCTTTGTTATATTACATATTAAATTTGCGATATTTATTAAATGTTTTCAGTTATGGAGATAATTCAACAACTATAATTGAAGTCTCAAGGACATTGGCCCGTTTGTTGAATATTTTACGGTTCGTTTCTTAGATTTTTACATTCATCGACGTGTGGATAGCATCGCCAGGATAGTGCATTTTTTTTTTCCTTTTTCATTATGATCCTTTCAGTATTAATTGATCCTTCTTGCCATTTTATGATGAATTGCTTCTTTCATCCACTGTCTCTAATTCGTTGCCTATCGCTTTACCTCTATCTCCAGGCTCTTGACTGTCCTTGACTTCATGGCCAAGAACTTTTTAGCTTTTCGATTGGCTAATATTGGTTCATTTATAATATGCTGGTAAGGATATGACCGGATTTGGTCCTTTATCTATTTCCTCCCTAAGGTCAGCCTCAATCGCAACTATTCGAGCCATTTTCAACTAGGCAAACAAATGAATAGCTCAGTGGGCTATTGCTCAATTTGAGGCGCCGATGCTGAGGTTCTGTTCCCCATTCCCCACGGGAGTAAATTTGTCCAAAAATCCGGGTGATGCTGGCGACTCACCTGTATTTCTATCGCCAAATGATTCCCTGATTTATTTGTCCAGTGCGACAGAGCGAGTTTAACCAGTAATGGTGAAAAGTCTTGAAAAAAAAATCAAACAAATATTTCGCCAATTATTTTTTTTTTCTTCTCTCGCCATTACTGGTTAGACTGGCTACACTGGCTACATGGGTAACGACACCATCGCTTACATTAGAAAACATTCCTTTTTTCACCATCTAAATCCACATATCGCTGATCCATTTGTACGTTCAAAATCTTTCCTGAATGTGTCAGTCCAGGTCTTGATTTGCTCTCCCTTTTGGCGCCATCCATCGCAGAGTTAGAATTTAGCAATTAATGGCGAAGAATGTGCCTTAACCAGTGAAGGCAATGATCTATGATGGCATTATTAACGTCGTGAAAGTTGTCTTGAGTCGAAAGGAAAAAAATTTATTTACTGTTGAATATAGCAATATGTTACAATAATGTAATATAATAATTGGTTCAAGGAGACGAGTAAGGTTAAGAAATGTCGCGTTGACTGGTTTGAGAGAAAAAATCGATCGAAAATTCTGTTCGTTTCTGTTCGTCGTTTTTTTTTGAGCATCGTTCGAACTGTTTCTTACTGTAGCTTATCTTTTCCATATGTGGATTGAGCTTACAATATTATGCAAATCACATAAAAATTGTATTAAAAAAAATTGTAGAATTGTAGAAATTATTAAGTAAATAATCTTTTAAGGGTCTAGCTGTATCTACCATAAAGTAATTTGCCATAAAAGTAATTTACATAATTTACCATAAAGTAATTTTTTTTTTAGCCAACAGATGTGAATTTTACATAATTTAAATATTAGATGGCTAATCATTATAAAGAGTCCTTTGTTCAAAGAGAGTTTTTTATAATAAATTTTTTCGCTTTTTTCCGACAGTTAATGCAGAGCGAAGGTGGAATTGAGGCTTTTATCTTCTTATCAAATAATTCAATTGTTTGTTATATATTTCTTTTCAGGAAAACAAATTTGTAATCAAATATTTAAAATAAGATAGCAAAAAAATTTGTAATAAAAATTGACGAATAAAGATTTCAGTGAAAACGAAATAATATTAAACAAGAAAGAAGAGAAAAAGACATTGGAATTTGTTTTTCATTATTTCGATAATATCATTGATATTGTTTGCTATAACTGTATAAATATTTTTAATTGTTTATTATATTTACATCGCCTTCGATGCGCGAAATTCAAACAACAAGAAAAGTGTCACTCACTTCGAAGGATTAGGGAATCATTATTAGATTTTTCGCTGCCAAGTCGAGGACGTTTTAAATGCTTGGTAAATTTTAAAAAATATTAAATAATTTTTAATTTTAATACAGTTGGAAAACTCGCTAATTATAGTTTTATATTTATTTTGAATTGCATTTTTAAACTAGAAGTTAATTATTTTTCTTACACCTATTAAATTTCATTAAGCTACTATTTATGAGACATTTTGGTGGTATATTTGGTAAATTTCCCGAAGAAATTGTCCAGAAATTTTATGGCTTAATTAGCAGTCCATCAGTTGTAAACACTGTTAGTCCTTTCTTTTTTTGTGAATTTACTATAGCAAATTTTTTTTAAATATATAACTAAAGGATTTAATCATATAGTTTCATGTTGTGTATAGTTCTGTTTGGTACTTGGTCTTAGCTCTTGCACCATTCATTTCTTATCTTCTTTCTTCCTCTATCCCTTTTTCTCTATGGATAACCTTTAACGGACTTGCTTATGATGCTTTATCTGATATATATACTGTCATAGTATCGAAGTAAAAATATAAGAAATAGGAAATCTTACATAAAAACGCATACTAATTTCATAAGTTTTTAAAATCAGAAAATTTTTCCAAGATTTAATCAAATTTTCAAAATATATGTTGATAGTTTTTTTTTATTTTTCTTGTTTTTTTATTTTTCTTTTCATTCATTTGGTACTTGACCGTTTTAGGTTTGTGAACTTATTGCGTTTGATCTTTCCAGCAATCTTGGTGACATCAGTCGTTGTGATTTGCATGTTAAATTACTTAAATCAGTATTGCTTTCTACTTGTTTTGAGATTCGCAATGGTGCATTTCAAAAGCTTATTCCTGCACTACAACGTGATAATCAACTTATTCATTGGATCCTTCATGAATTTGCCCCTAGCCTCTCAGGTTTTTGTTCGGCCCAATTTAATTACAATTCCAGGTGACTGAGAAATTTTTAGACCTTATATTGGTGTTGTTAAATAATATAATACCACAGAAAGATTGGCACACCATTGTCATTAAATTAAATTTTAGGTTGTGAAAAACCCGATGAAACACTTTTGAAAGCACAACTTTTACTCGCTAAATTATGTGTTAAAAATCAGCGATTTGTAGGAAAATATCTTTCTTGGAATTCATTTATCAGCAGAAATACTGTTATTTATGCGTTAATGCATTCCAAATTAGAGGTCATACCAACTTTGTTTTTTTAAATTTAATGTTAATTTTTTTTTTTAAATTTGGTTTCATCATTATTTCCATTATTTCTCTAATTGTAAATATTGAATTTTATATTTTTAGTTGCGACTTGGTGCTTGGAATCTCATAACTGATCATCCTAAGCCAACTTTTAAAATAGCCATCGATGAAGTTGATTTATTTAAAGCTTTTCTTGCGAGCAATTTTTGTGAGCAAAGTCCTGCTGCCCGGCAAATAATTTTAACTGGATTGAAGAAGGCTTCCTTACCTTTGCCTTGTTTTTTTCAATCTTATCATTTTCAGTCGGAAATTTTAATTGGATTTTCATTTTATATGAATTTAACGACAGTTTACAGATTTTAAAAGTCTAGATTTCAGAAAATTTTTTCAACAGTTCATTCCCTTCATTCTTCAATTTTGCTTTTTCAGTTGCTTGTACGTATTAGAGAGATCACGAATTCATCAGTGAAATCTTGCACCAAATTAGGTGAATTCGAATGTTATGCTGGTTTTATAGAGTGGCTTAGCAGAATATGTTTCGATTCGTTGCAGCCTGGCGCAAAATTTAATCGTCGTTTGTTGGCTTTACAATTTATCAGTTGTATCTTTAAGGAACCATTTTTGTGGATACCTGGAAAAGGTTTTATAAATTGCAAACAGATTTTCAATTAAATTAGTTGCAAAAATAACTCACGAACTTTGACGATTCCAGAAATGTTTTTCCAAACAATTTTGCCAAGGATTTCTCCAAATAGCTCGATGATTTCTTGCTTAATTAATTGTCTTAATGATTCATTCGAACTTTGTCAAGATATCGCATTTGATTTGCTCACCTCGTGCGACTTTGTTACTGATATTGTTAGTTTTTTGTTGTCATTTCAATTATCGAATTTATTTAATTGGATTGAATTCACTGATATATTTTTCAAGGAAATTTTCATTTTCCATTTAGAATTATGAAAGTATTTGATGAAAAAATTTTGGAAATTATCCATGATTTTCCTTATGAATCGGTTCGTGTATGTTTAATTACATTCAGAATTTGGTCGATTTTCTTGAGGACACAAAAAAGCTTTTATTTTCTATCCGCTTTGTTAACACATTGGTCTGCGGTTATCGTTTGCGCTATTTTGTTTATAAAGTGTATAGTTTATAATTATTTAATTTTAAGTATTTTCAAAATTTTCATCAATTTTCGTTTAATTTTTTAGAATAATTTTCGTAATTTGATTGTAGACCAAGTGAATTCTGCGGAATTTTCGATTTTCTTTTGGAAATTACACAAGTGCGATTGAAACTCTCGAAAAACGACTTGGTGAATATAGTTACCAAAGAAGGTCAACTTCATCCAATTTTGAATGCTATATCTGTCTTAATTAATTGCGAAAAGTGGGAAGATATGAGGTACTCGCTTTTCTCTTATTATTGCTTGGTAAATTTTAGCGATTTGGATCTTTAAGATTATTTAATTTAAGTTAATCTATAAGATTATTCAATGGATCTTTTACCTTTGGTTTTGTCTATAATTAATTGTAGTTTCCTTTAAGTCAATTGATATTTTTTTCCAGTTACGAACGATATCAGTGGTGGTCAACAAGGTTATTCGATAAACTTATGCCTATATGTATTGAAATAAGCAATCTGCTAGCGCCAGTTGTGCATTGTTTATCTCCTGAAGGCTTTATTCCTTGCGGGTCTAATAGCATTTTTGGTATTCTTTCATTCTCTTTATTTACTCAATTTACTTTATTTATTTATTTACTTTATTTATTCTTTTACTCAATATTCTCTTTAGTTTATTTTTTATTTTTATATTTCTTCAAACGAAATCATTATTTTATAATATTTTAAAAATATGAACTAAGATTGCATGTAAATTTATCTCATTCGTTCGCTTTTTTGTCCACAGATTATGATTCGGATGATTTTATAAATAGTCAAAATAATGGATGTCAAATATTACTTGTAAATTGCTGGCGAGCGCACAAACATATATCTAAAATTTTTCAGTCACTAGTGGCGAAGGTTTTATTTTCTCGAACAAATTTTATTAAAGTTATAAGATAACGTTTCGAAATCCACATTACACCTACTTCGTCGTAAATAATTTCACTCAGTTTATTTTCGAAATTCAAAATTAGATAATAGCGAAATTATGTTCGATAACATTTTGTTCTAGTAACATCACGAATAAAAAATTTTGGTATATCAGGTTCAGTGGTTTCTGTTTCTTCCAGTGATGTTAAAAGTTCAACCAGAATTGTAATATTCTAATATATTCCAAACCAACTTTTTCAAATAATTATTTATTTTAATTCCTTATAATAAATTGAAAAAAATTGAATTGAAAAAAATTGAAAAACTGGTGTACCGTAGTGTTTTTTATTTTCCTTAATACAATAATTGTAGTTGCCTATTCCTTCATTTCTTACTTTTGAAATTCTTCATGGAATTCGCGATTACTTTTGGTCACAGTTAACTGAATGTAAACATTTTGGTGTAATAGAAAGTGCAGTTAACGGCTTTGAAAGCCTCTGTAAACGAATGTGGGTAATTGAAGAATCAAAATTAAATGGAAATTCAATCATCGAACCTGAAAAATGGCTTTTTAATATTTTGAAGATTATTCGTGATAATGAAGGTCAGGTTAATGTAGTATTTTTGTTTTTTATTTCTTTTTTCTTTGTCTTAATTTTGTTTCAATTTGCTTAATATTTGTTTAAAGCTGCCTGGTCACGTTGTACATAATTTATACTTCTTGTCCTATATTTAAATTGAAAACGAGAACAAAAATTTAAATTTTAGCTTGTGAGAATCTATGTTTAACTCGTCGCAGTGCTGGTTTGCCACATTTAATCTGCTCCATATTGCGCACTGAGCCATCTAAACGAAATTCGAAGAGTTTGGAAGTGGCGCTAGATTTCTTACTTAATATTCATAATTTACCCACAGATTCAAAGTGAGTTTCAAGTTTTTTTTACTACTGTTTTTTTTTATAATTTTTACAATTTTTAGAATTCATTGTATCAACATTCTTCGTATAATTTTTCTTGATTGCCGCTTGTCAAAAAAAATGGTCGACAGAGCCGAACGGTCCTTGGCTCTTTGTATTATATTATTTGATTCTCCACAATGGTCTGTGCGAAATTCTATTTCTCAACTTTTTGCTGTCCTTATAATTCGCATATTTGGAGTAAATCGTTTTGCGCAGCAATTCTATATTCATCCAAAAAATCGTTTTTCTTCCTTAGAATTTTTCAACAGGTAATAAAAAAAAATTACGCTCAATTTTTAGACATCAATTGCCTATTTGAATTTGTAGATTCGATATATTGGAAGATCTTTGAACCATTTTTTTCAATTAATTTTATTGTTTTTTATTGTTCCTTGCAATTTATTTTAGATATCCATCACTGTTTGATATTATACATTCACAACTTTTGAATTCCTGTGGAGCGAGATTCAGTGTTTTCGCTTTGCTTACAATACTTAGTTATCTTAATCCTTCTAATGCAGATAATAATCCTTTTCCACTTTCCGCTTTCATTTTTCCTACATTAAATATTATGTTGAAATGTAAATGTGAAAAATTAAGGCAGCTTGGTGCGGCTGTTCTGCATTCTATATTGACCCTCGAGGTTTGCTATTATTTTTTATTTTATTTTAAGACTAATATAGAAATCAGAAGGTTTTTTTGTTTATCTAACAGATTTTTGAAGTTATCATTTTCAAAGCAACTATTTTTATATTTTTATCTAATTATTTTTTATAATTGCGAATTTTTTGCGCTAAAATTATTAATTTAATGTATTTAACGTCAGGATATGCGAATGATTTTAAATTGGATCGTTTCCATTGATTACTCTCATATTTGTCAAAACCAAGTGCATAGTATATTGTTGATGGTAGAAATTTTAATGATCTCGAGCTTTTTTTTCTCTCCTGAATGCATTTTTATTTATCAAATAAATTTCGTTTGCCATTATTTACAAAGCTTTTTTTAATTGTTTTCAGTTTATTTAAAAATTTATTTAATTATTTAAAAATTAAAATTTTTATTTTTAGTTTTTTTCAGTTAAATTTATTAATTGGTTGTCTTACATCTATTAGCATTCAAGCGCGATCTCACATTTACTGCATTATTTCCAAAAATTTATCCGAGAACTGGTAAATTATGAAAACTTGCTAGTTCAATTATGTAGTTTGATACAGTGATTATTATATTTCCCGCATTTTTGCTAATTTTTTATTTAGCGAGTTGATTTTTTATTTTATTTTAGGTGTAATTATAACAAAGCGATCCTTGCCGATCTATCCAGCCAGTGCAAATTCAATTTGGATGTTACTCATTTAAAATTATTCTTATCTGGTTCTGCTCCTTCTATATTCCGGCCATTGGGGAGTTTGGTTGCCCGTACTTTAACAGGTTATTAATTGTTCGTTTAATTTCTGTGGTCTCATGTCTTTTTTTTGATAAAGCTATATTTTTATAATTCTATTTTTTTCATTATACTTATTATACGTGGCCTTTATATATAACCTAATGTTACTTATTTGAATATACTATGTAACGTTTAAGGGAATTCAAATACCACTGAAGCTTATGAGCTAAAGTCATTGGTACTGAATAATCCTTATCTGCGATTCGAATTGTGGCGATCCATTTCAAAACACTATGAACAAATATATTTAGACGAAGATTACATAGAAAAGGCAATATCTGATCTATCTGATGCAAATGAGGATGTTTTACTTCATGTATACTTTATTTTTGAACTTTTTTTCTCATACTTTCTATATTTTTTGAAATCGTTATTTTTGGGAAACGAAACTATTTATTTATTTATGCATTAACCAAGTAGGGCATAAAATATGTTAGAGTCAGTGTTAATGAAGTCAGAGCGGAAAATAAAGTAATATAAGTGAATAAAATAATAAAATAAAAAACAAAGCAACAATAAAATAATAATGAAAAGAATAAAAAGTAAAATAATAAACCAAGAAGAAAAAAACAAAAAAGGATATTAATATCAGATTGTAGTTTTTTTTAATTTTAAATTTGTTGTGGATTCTTTGAGGCCCAGTGATATATACGTTTAAACAGTGGGAAAACGAGTAATTTTCTTTAATACCAGACATTGGATTGAGCATTTTGGAAACGCCTAACCCTAACCAGCAGAACCAGCCTAACCATTAATATTGAGAGCTATTAGAAGAAAATGTTATGAATGCTTTTTTGTTGAGATCTCATTATTTCTTTTAAATCTGGAGGCAGATGGGGCAAGAACATTTTGTGGTAACTTATTCTACTTAATATTTTGTGTGGAACAGAACAATGGTCGTACAAATAGGTTTATGCAGCAACCCATTGCTTCTGGCAGTATTAAAGTTCAGGTCATGATAATTGGAACATTCTAGGTTGATATGGTTGAATAAAATCTTGTAAGTAGAAATCAGGACCAGTTCGTAATGAATCAAGATAATATAATTTTATTTGGATTTATAAGTAGAGGCTAGAGAGATTTTTAAGCGATTTTTCTAAATATAGGTGAGTAGGTCATACTATAAATATAGACGGATGGATGTTTTACACTTTTATACATTTTAATAACTTATTTGATTTATTTTAAGCATCAGATTAAAATTTCAGGTTTTTTAATTACGCATCTACTAAGATCGAAGCTAAGTTTTTCAAGATCAAGATATGAAAAATTATTTACATAGGTCAGACAGATAATGCAGACTGCAGATGACATAGTATTTGTAGAGCTTTAGGCTTTAGGCGTTAACTTTTAAAATTCAATTTAATTCTTTCTTGGAGCCTTTCCTGGAGCCAAATAATTATATTTTTTAGATATAGATATATAAATATAAAAAAGAAACTTGGAAGGCAATTAAATTCTCCAATAAATATAAAAAAGAAACTTGGAAGGCAATTAAATTCTCCAATCTACTATGCGAGAATAAGATTTTAGAGTTATCTGTATGTTAGTTATCTGTATATAAGTAAACAATACAATGAATTCAAAATATAGTGTCAATGACACCTGTTAATATAAATTAAGGGTCTAGGCCTATGCCTACCTTAGGATGCGGGAAAGTTAGAATAATAATATAAATTGCTCGGCAACGACAATTAAACAATCTACGCAGCTAAAGAATTTACCCATAAGGTCAAATTCACTACCAAATATATGAAATTGTATCGGAAACTTTAATTTGAACCTAAAGAGGTAACTGACCACTATTAATGAATAATGTCATAGAGATTAGCCAACAATTAGGAGATTTTCGCCTAAGAAAACCATGGGGTGACATGGGGTGATTAAATCGTTTAATCAAGGTAATCTGTTAAAAACTAATTTCTCCAGTATCTTGCTGCTTACACAAATAATGGGGCGATAATTGGAGAGATTCAACAGTCTCTATAATCATGGGGCGCTGAAGAGGCTATGGAGATAAAAAAGTTCACTTCTCTTTCTAATAAAGCTAAATTTTCCTTTTTATATTTTGTTTAGATTTTAAATATATTGGTGAGGATTGCATCAGGAGAATTTGGTGAGGGAGATGCAGATTTAAGAGGAAAACTAAATTCTTTTTATTGTTGGTTATCCGGTAAACTTTTTAGAAGGTAAGTATTTCAATATTTTTGCTGAGAAACTTTTTATTTTTTTAGAACCACAAAAATTATGTTTCGAGCCACCATAATTTTCATGGCTTTAATTTTATACATAATCAAATCCCATTAATTTGTCTAGGATTTTCTGATTATTTTCGTTAATTTGAATTTAAATTTTCCTACTGAAATTTTCAGAAAAACAATTCAAGATTTGGCGTATTTATTGAACATAATAATTTCTTCCACATTTTCTGATTACGATTGGCTGGTGGATTCTGCTGGAAGTGAATCTTTCGAATCAAGGTTAATTGCAGTTAGAGCCATAACGTGGTTGACAAAAAAAGGTTGGTATGCAATAAGATATGGTAAATTAAAGACCATGAGATTGTGCAATTCCATAAAGATTTCTAAGATAAAGGTACAAAAATTTTTCTTAATTAATGCTTAGTTATTAGAAATTCGTAAATGTAAATTCAAAATTTTTTAAAATTTTGCAGAAAATATCGATATGAATGAAGTTTTACGGTCGAGCATGATTCTTCTTCAGGATGAAGAGCAAAAAATAAGGGAAATGGTAGCTTTTTTTCTATTTTTTAAAATATTTCTTGGTATATTATCTTATGATGACATAAATATGGTGTACAAAAATAATGATATATAAAAATATGGTACGCATGTTTTTTTATATTTTTTTACTATAGGTCGCAATTTGTATTAGCGAATTTCTCGGTTATTCTCCACTAAATTCTCAGATCATCATCTGGATAATCGCTAAAAGTTTTCCTGCATTAGCTGTACAAATGGATGATGCAACAGCAGTTGGTGAAGTGCAGGAAGAACGTCTTTTTGATGCTTGTTGTTCCAATTCTTATGCAGAAAAATGCCTTATTGGAATTGATTTGTTGGATGACATATTAGTATTATTATAAACAGTGTGCATTTTACTATCTGGTTCATATCTCGCTAATTAGCTGTACTTTTACCCATACTCACCTATACTCTACTTCATCTTTTAACATCACTGTAAAATTATCTACGAATGAACCGTTTCTTCCTCATCGTCTTATCAAGTATTATTTGGTACGTTTCTATATTTCATTTATTTCTTTAGCAATAGTACATTTCTTATTTATTTCTTAATAGCCTCTAGCCTAAGAATTTGCATTGTTAACAAAATCAAAATTATTTTTTGAAAAAATTCCGTCGCCCATTTCCTTACGCTCTATAAAAAAATTATGGACATAGGAAGCATTCATTATGGTCCTTTTTTTAAATTTAAAAACATTCTAAGGCGGTTGAAAAGAAAATTTTTTTTAAAAGGAGGTTGATGCAAAAAAAGGTTGGAAATCGTTAACTTTGAATAATGAATTGCCTTTCGATGTTGCCGTTCTAAATTAATAATGGATATTAATATCCATTACAATTCAACTCCGTAAAGAATTATTAAGTCATCATAAAATGCAACAACAATTTGTCATTGTTCTTGAAAAATATTAGCAGCAATTTTATTAAATTTATTTGGATATTCTTCATTCGCAAGATATCAGATTTTGCCTTCTAAATTTAGCAATGTTTGGAATAAATTTCCTAATGAAGCTGCTGTTAGTAACAGCTTGGTAAAATTGCTACGACTGTTGCGAAGATTTTTTTTTTACACACTATAGGCTGATTTACGTTTCGATTTTTATATTGCTGTACTAATCATTGATTCAAATTCGGGTAATGCATTTTTTCCGAATAAATTATTTCATTCTACATTTAATCGTCTGAAAGAATAAGACAAATATTGAAGATCGAGCTCAATGGAAATATTAATATCCATGCTATAAAAATTTACAATCATCTGATACGTAGTTGGCACATTGAGATGGTCGAAGGATGATTTGAAGGTTACTGATGTGAAGACCAGAGAATTCTCATAATGCAATGAAATTTCCATTCCAAATCTAATGCACCAAAGGCTGTACATTAGCCGAAAAGAAGGCGGATGAGTGTCAAAGCCACTATTGGATGAAACCCATATCACTCAGAAATAAATCAGCAAGAGGCACGAAAGAATGAGATGTTGAGGGAGGGAAGCATTGGTGGAGCCATAGGATCAAGAAATTATTCATATTATTATTAAACGTATTTCTATTATAGGATATCTTTATTTAATGCTAGAAGTTGAAAATATAGAGTATATAAAATATAGAGTGTGTGGTCTAATTCTTCTAGTAGCTCTCACTATTCCTGGTTAGATTGGCTCACTGGTTACAAGAGTGAAATCTCCAAGTCGATCCGACGCCATTGCTAGTAGTAATAGAAGGCAATCGTTTTTCCATCGTCTATGTCCGTATATCGCTGGTCCCTGTATCGGAAATCGTTCCTGATTGCATTAGTCCAGATCTTGATTGGCCCTCCTCACTTTTGACGCCACCAACCATCACAGGGTTCGGCAAGTAGCGAAATATTCGTCAATTTCTGTGGTGAATGACGAAGAACATGCCCTAACCATCGAAGGCGACTCTTTGTGATAGCATTATTAATGCAGGTGGTATTTGAGCGAATAAAATCATGTGCGATTTTATCTGCTCGGCGGATCAGTAGAATGTACTTTAGACATGAGTGGTCAAAAGCTGATAGCTTCTTAATATCTATCACTCTCATTGGCCATATTTCGCATATAGCAAGATCGAGCGAACTGTAACTATATGGACGCGGATTTTCGTCTCTGTGGTGATTTCACAACGGTTCCATAAAGATTTCGTCAACCGGAAAAACAATGTTATTATCCAGGCTATAACTTTGTCTTTTTGCCTGGCCATTTAGGGCTAGAGTGGATCCAGGATATTTAAAGTCGGATACTTCCTCAACCTGCAATGAATTGATAAAAATAGGTATTTTATCAGCTTTTTGTATGTAGTTGAAAACACTTTCATTTTATTTATAGATTCTGAATCCAATCCTCGCTGCAATTATTGGACATTATTTAGCACTATTTGCATTTTATTATAATTATAATTATCAACAAAAAACTGCATCATCAGCGTATTCAAGGTCTGTGATGCTATGCTCTGGGCTGATTTGCACACCTCTTAAATACCGACAAGCTGTATCCATTATCCAGTCTATCGCATGGTTGAATATTGTAGAGGAAAGGACGCAGCCCTGACGCACACCAGTTCTTATTTCGAAAAAGTATGTCAATTCCCCATATACACAGACCTATGTCTATGTCAGGATATGCCGACAAAATGCCTTTTTGAGTCGAATGGGCTTCTCTGGGACACCGTCGCATTCTATCACTTTTCATAGCGCTGCTTTATCAATCGAATCGCAACTGCAAAATTGATAAACCAAGTGACGATATTACTGGTATTTGAAGCGATGTTCCAGCATCCTTCTTAGCGTAAATATCTGACCAGCATAACCGCGTCCCGGTCTGAATCCAGCTTGGTTAGGATGTGTTCTGCTGTTGCCATGAGTCTATTTAGTAGAAAATTTTTCTGGAGATGTTCAATAGGCTGATTCCTCGGTCGGTAATTGTCGGTATGTCCTATCGTTTTTCTTAAAAATTGGAAGCAGAATTGCTTTGCTCCAGTCTTCTGGTATTATTTCCTTTTGCCGTACCAGAGAGTATTTTTGCTAAAGGTAAATTATGAACGATTATGGGCAACATTTGAAGAGTTCAGATCGAAGACCATCTTCTCCGAGAGTTTTATTGGCTTATGGATTACAGAGATTATCACATGAAAAATGGAGGAAAAAACTCTTCCCGAATAAGCTTCCCGAATAAACGAATGAATGAACCGAGCGATTCACCTTCAATTGTCCCTTTTAGTTTGCCATTTTCTTCGTTCGTCCATTTTTCCAACAATTCACTTCATCTTTTCTGTTTTTTTGTATTAAATTGATTTTTAAGTAATTTTGTTTGCTGCGCCATCTTTCGATTGCTACCAATATCAAACTATGAGATTAAAAGCATTTCTGAAGTTAAGTTGATAGAAATGGTTTTTATCACTAATATTCAAGCTTTTCAGTTTTATAAATTTATTTAGCTTTCTAAAAACTTTTTCGGTGTAATTTCGCTATTTTAAGGTTTTATATTTTAAGATTTCTCAGATATATTTTCGGAAATCTCTCACTTATTGCAGGAGAGAATATTTAACTATAGATGAATGATGTAAATGAAAAATAACAATGAAAAAGAAGAGGAATGTCAAAATAAAAGACATGTAGTAGACTCGTACTCTATTCTGCTAAATTAGATACGAGGACTTTCACCATTACTGATTAGACTGGCTCAGCGGGTTATAAGGGTAAAACGTTTCCAAACGACCGGCCCGATTCCATCAATGACAGCAACAGAAATTAAAGAAGCCCTTCCTTTTCCCATCGTATAAGTCCATATGTCGCTGGTCCACGTATATATTCAAAATCTTTCCTGAGTGTATCATTCCTTGATTGGCATTCCTCGCTTTTGACACCATCTATCACAGTATTTAGCAAAAAATTAAATAAATATATTACTTCTTGTGATGAGCGACGAAGAACCTTTCCCAACCAGCGAAGGCGATCCTTTATGATGGTTTTATTAATTTATTAATGTAGAGTATTTGAGCGAAAGTGGATGCAATCATGTGAGATTTTACCTGTTCGGCGGATCCGTAGAATGTACTTCAGACATGAGTGGTCAAAGGCAGATAATTTCATAATATCCTCCACTCTCACTAGCCATGTCTCATAGTCATATAAGAAGATCGAGTTGTATAGACTCAGACATTTTCGTTTTAATGGTGATTTCGAAATGGTACCATAAAGATTTCACCAACTGGAAGAATGCTTTTCTACCTATCCGAGTTGTAATTCTTTCTTTTATCTAGCCGTTTAGGATTAGAATAAAGTGGATGGAGGTATTTAAAATATCGGCTACTTCCTTAACCGGCAATGAATTTATAAAAATAGGTATTTTATCGGCTTCTTGTATATAAGACGAAAAGAGTTTCGTTTTACACTGATCCTAAATCCGATTCTCGCTGCAATTGTTTGGCGTTACTTGCATTTTATAACTAATAAGCAAAAAGGACTTCATAATCGTATTCAAGGTCTACGATATTATGCTTTGGACTGATTTGTATATTTCTTGACAAGCGATGCCTATTATCCAGACTAACATTAAATATTAAATATTATATCAACATATGTTGTAGGAAAAAGTATGCAATCTTGACGGATACCAGTTCTTATTTCGAAAGAGTATGTTCTTCATATATACGTATCTGTGCCCTTTTACGCTGATAAAATGACTTTATGAAAATGAACATCTCTGGAACAACATCTCATTCCATTGTCTAAAGACCCATTCTTGTAATTCAGTCTAACTGAATCGAAGGCAGATGCAAAATTTATGAAGCAAGTGATGTTGCCGATATTTGAAGCGATGTTCCAAAGTCCTCTTTAACGTAAATATTCGGTCAGCACAGTCGCACGCTGGTTTTAATTCAACGTGGTTAAGGTGCTCCACCCTGCTCGTACTGCTATAGGTCTCTTCAATAGAAGAAAAGCGAAAGTTTCCCCGGAGATATCTAGTAATATTCTGTCACAGTATGTCTTGTCACTCTTTTTGGGAATTGGAGGCAGGGGTAGATTGCTTTGCTCCAATCATTTGGTATTTCTTTATTCCATACCAGACAACACATATGTTATGAAAGGCGATAGACAATGCCTGATGTTTTTGGCCGAAGATCGTCTTCTCCGGGAATTTTATTGGTCTTAAGCTTCTGGCTAATAGAGATTGCTTCCCGTTCTGCTGGCGGTTCGCAAACGTATGGCTCGACGATCGATTCAGCTATGTCTGGGACAACAGATGGTGTACCGTGGTTAAGCCTCAAGAAATTCCTTATTCCTCACATCTTAATATAATAGCGATCCTCAATACCTTTAACAATATAGTACTACTGTCTCGTATAATTTCACTAGGTGCGAAGCCATCCTTAACTGATTCTTTCAGGGTCGATGAAGTGGTTCGAGTCCGGTGAGCCATCCAGGATTTCAATTAGTATCAGCGCACAAAATGTATAGAAGAATATATATAAACTCGCCCACTATTAGTAAAAGGATCGTTCATGCATAGGGCTGATTTCAAACAAAATGTTTATCCATGCACTATTTTGCAGACAAATAATTATTTCGCGGACTCTTCCTTTTTTGAGAGTCTGGAACTGGTTTTAAATCAACGAATGTTTTTTGAGTTGAATTTGATGTAAAGTGTCGGTGTGGTTTTGTATAATGAATTAGTCAGTTATTTGCGAAAGGAATATTTAAATATTTAAAATAATTCCTTATTATTTAATAGTTTTTATTGCGAAATATTATTTTATGATTTATTATTTATTGTTAATTATTCGCATCATAGGGCTATCTTTCTTAATATTAATAGAGAAGAGGGAGTGATAAGTGGAGAGGACTGATAATTAGGAGGAGAGTTCTCAGACCCTTACTTACATCGACTCCCTGTTAAAGAAGTACTCCGTCTACTTTCCCACGAGGGAATTTTTTTCCCATCCTTTTAGCTTCTTAGCCTTTTCTTTTATTCCCGAAGATTTTTTATTTTTATGATATGAATTGGTAAAAAAAAGAAACTTTGAAGCCTTTAAGAACTTTTTTTCAATTATTTAATTTAATTGATCAAATTTTTTTTTCAAAATTTTAATTTAATGTTAAAAATTTTATAAATAAAATTTATCCTCGTTTTCATGTAATTATACAATAATTATTATGAAAACACTGAAGGGTGTTGAAAAAATATTTTATATTTATTTATTTATAGCTGCCAAAACTCATTTGCATCTGTTTATAGTGTTTATAACTGTCAATAGCTAATTTGTTCTAGCAGTATTCTTTAAATCTGATCTTTCTTAATACAACTTCTTCTTGCTTGAACCGCAACGATATATTTACATAGTAAGTGGCTAAACAACTGTAGAGGAACTGGGAAAAGCTAGAAATATATATTCGGTAGCGATGTGGAATACACATGTGAATCCATACTATTCGTCATCATATTTGAAATTTATGAAAACTTAAAGAAGGCAAGCATTTGGTTTGTCCATTTGCCCCTTTGGGATTTCTCAGAAGCAACTGGTTTGTGGCACTTTTGGTACCTCCTGGCTTCTTTTTTGATATTTATCTCGTATATAGCATTTGGTGTTTTAATTCCATTTTTTCCGTTATCTATCAACTGCAATGATTTTGATCAATATATTTTTTCAGTTTTCGAAGATCTGATCATAGAGAAAGGATTTTTTTATGTCCCCAATGGGGATTGCTCCAAAACGTCGCTTGATGACGGCTGCTCAGCGAAAGGTATGTTTACTTTTCATCTGTGGGTTTAGTTTTCGATTATGACATGTTTGAAATATGCTAGTAGCATGGCTGTCGGTATTGCTTGTCAATTTTTGTCATTTTATACCACGATTTGACCGCTTCCTCTAACAGAGATAACAGAGATAAGGTTCACCTATATTTCCGTTCTATTTTTCTTGGTAAATTTATCACTCTAAAGCCAATGAAGCCAGTCCAACCAGTCCAGAAATGGCGAATATTTAAAAAAAAATATTTATATATATTATATTATATATTAAAATATATACATTCATTTTATGGCTGAAAACATTGATTATATCTTTGTCATTTCATTTGAACAGTTCAGCCTATTTATTTATGGTTATTACTTATTAAATTTATTATTTTTGCTCTTTCTAAAGGTTCTTTTCAGGAATGTCATAAAGAAATACCTAATGAGTTGACGTTTGAAGCTGCGTGGAAAGTTTTCATGCTAAATAAGTCAGCTTGTCACTTGCATTCTGTTCCAAATCCCAAGTAAGTAATAACAAAGAGTTTTGATGCTTGAGTTCTTTTTATATTATATTTTTAAAAGATATTTTAGAATATTTTGATACAGTAACTGATTTAATATTTTCGTCCATTTTTAAATTTTAAGCTTCAGCTAGCTGAAATAATTTCAGAACAAAGAATTGTCGAGAGAATCCCTATTGTCTGGAGCGTTTGGGACTTCAAAAATGGGATAAACTTTTACAAAATATCGAAAATGAAAAAAAAGTTAATGAAGCAATGAACGGTCGAAGAGATATTGAAAAAATGCCATGTGGGCTAGTAAATTTGGGAAATTCCTGTTATGTTAACAGTTTTTTGCAGGTTTTTGAAGATCTTATTTCTATTTAAAATCATTCTGTTGTTTTAAAAATTTCAATTTTCATTTTTTATCAATCAGCTTAATCAATCTATGGATTAATTAAAACTGTTACTTATATTTGCCTATTCATCATTACAGATTTTTTTCAATGATCCATTTTTTCGCCGATGCATTTATGATTGGAGACCTGTCGATAATTTTGTTCAGCCAGTAGGCGAAACTATTAATATAGAGGAACTTATGCTTTGCTTACAAAAGCTATTTGTGACGCTTCAAATAACGCCTTACGTATTGGCTTACTATTTTCTAATGAATTTTCATTTTTCACAGGCTAATTTGAAAAAACAATTTCGATTTTATATTATTGATGAATTCATTTTTTTTTTTAAATTGATGTATGAACATTAGTTCCGTTATGCTTTATAATTCTGTTCCCAGGAAGATACGAATGCTGAAGCTCTTGTAAAGTTGTTGAGATTGGATGGCAACCAACACGATGCTCTTGAGTTTCAAATTTTGCTTTTTGGGAAAATCGAAAAATTGCTAAGCTGTAAAGAAGAATGGCGAAGTGTTAGAGAAGCAATTATGAATCATTTCAAGGTATTTATTGATAATCTTGGATTAATAATAGTTGTGCCAAAGTTATGACGATGAATTCATATTTTTGATAATAATATTCGTTGGTATAAATAAATTTTGTAGTTGTGGTTGCTTATTATGAAAATAATTTTATTGAAGGGAATAATAAAACAGACGATTTCTTGTAAATGTGGTCGGAAAAGCGTTCGTGAATTGCCATTTAACCCTTTTTATCTAGGAATTGATAAAGTTAAATCATTGTCCAAAGCAATTGAAAATTATTTTTCAGCTGAAGAGTGAGTTTTTTATTTACTGAACATAAATCCAGAATCTAGTAAATTAAAATTGAATTAAATAAACTTATTGCAATATTCTTTTGGACCAGTTTACGTGAAAACTTTTATTAAAAGGGAGTTCTGTTTAGAAATTTTATGATTTAAAATTGTCAATATTTATTACCTAGTTAAGACGAAATCATTTGGTTGTTTTTTTTTTAATTTGATTCAAATTTTCGAGAAAAAATATGTTGGCAGGCTTCCCGATTATAAGTGCGATGCCTGTGAATCAGTAGGTTGCACAAAAAGTCGCCTTAGTATAAGCGAACCGCCGCCAGTATTAATTATACAGCTCAATCGTTTCACTTATGATATGTGAGTTTTTTTATTTCAATCACCTCTGTTGTCAGCCAGAGATATTATAATTATTCATCCTTCCATCTTGCTTGTTGATTAATACTCTGTCTTTGGTGTATCTCTCAAAAATATTTTAATTTTCAGGACGGGGAGGAAGAGAAAAGTGCAATCAGCACTTCAATACCCAAGAACTTTGGTTCTTGGTGGTGTGCCTTACGACAATTGTGCTGTTATGATTCACGAGGGACCCAATGCTGATAGTGGTCATTACTATGATTTAATTAAGCATCCTGGTACTGGCCAATGGTTCACTTATAACGATGAAGTTGGTTTAATTTCAAAAGGGTCTTATTTTCTCATATTTTGTTTTTCAATTTTTACATTTTTGTAAATATTTGTAAATATTAATTTATCAGATTATACAGCTAAATTACAGGTTGTAAAAGCATCACCAACTCCTGGTGTTTCTACTGAAAAAGATCGAATCTCAAGGATAACTGCAGATATGAAAGGATGTTATGCATTAATTTATCGAAGAAAATGTGATACAGATATAAGTATCCCGGATGTGCCATCTTATATTGCTGAAATGGTCGCTGCTAAGGTATAAACATTATTTTGTTCACGCATTATATTGAATATTAGTTTATTGAGAAATTAACTTTTTATTTATGGAAGACGCGATTTTTTTATATTGCTTTTTAATTAGTTATTTCATTAAAGCTGGAAGAAGATTTTATTGCCCAAACAAGCGAATCGGCCGAAACGTCGCAAAGATCGATGAAGAAATTTGAAGAATATCATAACCGCATACTTATTTTATGGTCAGAATTGCAGGTAAAGTTTTCTTTTTTTGCTTTGTTTGTGATGCAATAATTTATTTTCAGCAGTGATAGTACCGGAAAAGATAGGATTTTTCTTACATTTCTCATTTAGTTATAAATGTTTTTTCCAATTATTTCAGGTTTCAGACGGTTGTTCTGCTTTAATGAATCCCGAATCTATTGTCTTTTTACCAACTAATTTACTTATGAATATTCAGCGAAAAGAGTTAAACGAAGTATCAAGAAAAGATGTAAAACTTATTCTTCTTAAAAATAATTTTGGCCAAATTTTGATTTTTTTCTGATGTTTTTTCTTTCTAATTTTTTTCTGTTTTTTTTCTGTTTTTGTTTATAAATATATTTCTTATCGTCTTCATTCTTTAAACTAAATTAAATAAATAAATTAACTAACTAAATTAACTAAATTAAATTTTATTTTTAAAGCCGGACTCACCGAATAAAAATGAAAAATTTGATGAAGATATGGAAAATATTAATCTAAATGAGGTTGTTTTTCATAATTTTTGATAATTTTAATAATAATATTTTTTATTTTCAAATGATTCATTTGGATACCATTAGAAATAATTCTTAATACTTATGAAATTTGAAGTTTAGTTAAATTTTAATATTTCAGAAAGAACTTAGTTCTTCAATAACTTTGTGTATTCATGGTAATATATCATTAGAAAGCGTTCGAAGCGGACAGGTAAAAGCAGTGAATAGAAAAGCAGCCAATATCTTGCTAGATTTTTATCAGATCATTCTAAAAGCTACATCTGGTATCGAATCGCGATTAAGGACAGGGTTTGTTTTTTCTGCCAGGATGTAATTCTTTGTTATCCACCTATATTCATAGAGAAACATGCTGGATTTTCGCAAAAAAAAACATGATTTTCATTTCGAATTGATCGTTTATTTGAATAAAAAATTTGTTTGTGATTCATGCCTTATTCTAAATATATAGTATATTATTTAGGAATGATATATGTATCGATTGCATATCGGAGTTAAAATCAGAGAGCGAATTTTCCTCGTTGATTGAAAAAAAAGAAAAATTGGCCAAGCAGTTGCTGCGTGAAAGAAATAAACGGTATTTCTTAAATAATTCGTAGCTAAGTAGTTTTCGAGAATTTTAAGTTTTATTAAATTTAGATTTTTCCTTTTTTATTTTTTTCATTTTATTTATTTTCTAAAAATTCTTGTCGAAATTTATAATTCATTTTTATGCTTCAAAAAATTCATTAAGTTTTTGAGGGGACTTTACCAGATTTCTTCTTGTTATTTATTTTTTTGCTCTTCTTTCTTGTATTTCAACCAAATTTTTATTTTTATTGCATTGCATGTTTTTTCACAAAATAAAATTAAATGAATAGATTTTATCATTCGGATGACTGTGTTTGGGTATCAACACGTTCTTTGTCTCATTACCGACGACTAGCCTTTTATGCAAGAGAACAGCGCGCAAAAGTTGATCGTGAACCTTCTGAACTTATTTTTTCTTCGGCTTCCAATCGTTCATTTGATAAAGTATTATTTCGAATTAATTTTTTAGCTACGGCTTTTAAATACAAGAATCAGTGCGTTTCCTGTATATATCCTATATTTGTCTAATTCCAGTTTGTCTCTATATATTTCTATTTTCTGTTCATTTTTTTCAGAATTTTGTTAACAGTATATCTGTTATTGAAACGCGTCCTAAGGAACTGGTAATCATTTCAAAATTTCGAATGTTCAGAAATATTACTCAGTATTTTCATCGAGTGTATAATGTATTTTATACTTTATACTCGAACAAATATTTGGATCTTAATTTTTTAAGTAATTTGGTTAATAAATTTTTATATTTTAGTGGGGATTATTTAATCGAAAATAAAATCGGATAGGAGATAACCATAACCTTTCAAGGTATATGTGCCGTAATTTCTTGTCCTTGAATTTTTTAAAAAAAATTTGATGGCTATCGAGGGTTTTATATTTATTTTATACTTCATTCTAAATGTTAAAATTCTTCAAAAATTTCTTTTCGATCCTTCGATTCTGTCAAAAGATTCGATTCTTAATTATTTTTTGTTTAGATTTCTAATGAGGAAGAGCATATAAGATTTGCTGATTCAGATAATGAAAATGGGAATTCATTCGTTTTAAAAAAAAGAAAAATAGACAAGAATTCAGAAAGTTTGGAGGTTAGCTGTTTATTTTTTGTACTGCATCCTTTATATTTCTCTGCTTTTTTTTCAGTCATATAATTGCAGCGCGAAACAATTCGCCATTGCATTGATGAAATACTTTGCAAAATTAATAATTCACTGAGTACTTCACAAAAAGGTTTGATTTTGAATGTATTGAACAATGTATTAAGTTTTATTCTAATTGGTTGTAAAATTTTAAATTGTTGATGATCCGAATTCAGATTATTCTGTAAAAAATTTGGAGTGAAACACTTTCAGTGTTTCAAAAATTATGAAATGAAATACAGTGAAGTACATGCTAGAGAAGTAACTTGCTAAAAATTTTCTCCAGAAAAACAGAATATCTAAAAAAAAAAAGTAAAAATTTCTATAAAAAAGTAAAAAAAAGTAAAAATTCTATTAAAAAAAGTAAAAATTTTTAGATATCGAAACAAATAAACCGTTCCCATCATCCAGCAGTTTGATAAATGAAACATATATTAACTCATCCTCAAATATGAATGAAAATTTCGAAATTCACCCTGACCTGATTAACGGTCATAATGGAAGCACGGAAGTATATTGGCTTGATTTTCCTTTCTCCAACTTAAACTTAAGTTTAGAAAGCATTGATGTGAAATTGTATATTATTTTGAATATTGTACAATATAAATAATTACATGTTTAGCCTATAAGCTATTTTTATTTACCAGTTGGTATTTCTTTCTCTTCGATTCTAATTAAAAGACGAACATCTAATATTAGCCAATCTTTTCTTTCTAGAGTCATTTCATTTCATTATATTTGAATGCCTACAGCCTATAGCCTAACGATAGCCTATTTTTTAGGTGGATGAAATGGTTTCTTTACATGATTCAGTGGATAATTTTAATTCCGAAAATGGTTTAAATAGTACTGAGGATCAAAGTATTCAAGAGGATTCCTTTGTTATTTTTAATGGTGATCTTCTTTGTCCTCATGGTAATTCAGGCTTTGTTTTTTAAATGAAAAATTGATTAAAAATTGCTTATTAATTTTAAAAATATTCTTAATTTCAATGATTAAGAGAATAGATCAAAAAATTTTATCGTTCAAAATTCAAAAATTTCACAGGAAATTTTGATTTCGAATCGTGGAAAACGAAAGAAAGAAGGATTGTTGTCGATAAATCTGAGTGGCAATATCTTGTAAATCGAATTTTTGATCGTAATCAGTTGTATTATATTAGTGTTGATGAGTTACCATGTTCCATTTGTGAAATGCAGTTCAAGGCTAGTTTTTTTTTTTTGCTTTTTCTTTTGCTTGTTTATTATCTTTAATATTATCATAGTTCTATGTTCTAAATTTTTTGATCTTTGGTACAAGCTATCTTTTTTTCAGTGCAGAATAGATGACAATGAAGGAAAAGAACGTCGTGTCAAAGAAATTAAACTAGCGATTGGTGATCTTATCCGTAGTGTTGCTCGTCGAAAATCAGATATCGCACTTTATAATAATCAGTACGAACGTGCTGTTTGCAAGAATTTCTTGAGAAAAATGATTGCTCGTTTTCGGTAGGTTAATTTATTTTTTAAAATTCTTGAATATTATCACTTTATCACTTTTCTATATGGAATGATTTTTTTACTTTTTTATTTTTTGTCTTTCAAAGTTAAAATTCAAAATACATATTTGAAGGATGAAATTTATTGAATATTGCGGCGTTTTCCTATTCTTTCAATGAAATCTATATCGGTTTCATTTAGATCACATAATCGTTGCCTTAACACTCCTACAATATGTCAAGAATGCATTCTTTGCTCGGAACATGGAATGCCGAATGCTCCATTGGATACTGAAAGCTTGGTAATTAATTTCATATGAAAATTATTGCGCATAGCTAGCATTTTATCAGTGAAAATAGGTCGAAGACTTATTTGAGATAAAATGAGCTATCTATCATTCTCAATTTTTTTCTTCTAGTTCAATTATCTTTAATTTCTTGACAATTTATTTAGCAGTTCAGTCGGCATCCAGCAGCCGATTAATAATTTAACTTTTTAGGCTGTACCTGTGACATTGAAAGAATGGCAGAAAATTTTGTCTGCTTTAAATATCGAGGAAGAGGATGCTATGGAAATAAAAATTAATAATGGTTATTTATCATATAATTTTTAATTTTTGCTTTTCTTTTATTGGAAGTAGATAGTTTGTCTGGTAATTTATTATTTTGGTGGATGGGAAACAACTTTTGTCTCTCCCTTGGAAGAAATAAACCGTTAATGAAGAATAATATCGGGGTGGCACTGTGAAGAGATTCGGTGGTTGTTTATAGTGAATTTTGTGAATTTTCAGTGTTTAGAGTATTTTATGAACTACTTTTTATCTAATATTGATTCAATTGTTTTCAGGAAGATTTGAATCTTTTTGCGATTTTTGTTTTCATCAAGAGCAAATGAAAATGGATAACCAACATTTTGTTTATGAAAAAGGAGCAGAAATTTTCGTAAAATTGGTTAGAAATTACCTGAAAACATTCATATTCCAATATTTACACTTCATATTTTGCATATTTTACTTATTAATTTCTTAAAAGTAGAATATGGAATTACATTGGGATGGCTAAAATATCTTGTTGTAAGAAGATGCAGTTTTGTGAAATTTTTTAGTTGTTACGTAAAAAGTGATTTAGTACGTTTCAGAAAAACGATCAAAATGATGAACCTGCTGTCAAGAGTACTGGTGTTTCTGAAGATTTTTTGGCTTCCTCTTCAATTTCCCCAAAAAGCATACGTGCTGCTGTAACCCGACGAGCTCTTGCTAAAAATTCAATGAAATTCTGGGTATTATTTATAATATTTCGTTTCATTCTTTATTAAGTTAAGCTAAAAATTATTAATTAATTACAAAAAAAATTATTATGAAAAAAAAAATTATTAACAATAATTAATTTTCGAATGATAATCAGCTGTGATATATTGATATAATGGTTCTTTTTAGGCAGTTTAAAGAGGAATAAATTTTTTTTCAAAAAATCCATATATTTTTTTTTTATTTTTTGATTTGACCACTTCTAGATGAATTCATCAAATACAATCTGGGAATTAAAGCTGAAAATTTATGCACATACTGGACAGTTACCAAATGATCAGCTTATTTATTTGAAAGATCGGCTTCTAAATGATAATGTAAATGTATTATAATCATAATATTATAATATTATTTTAAAAAAATAATTTTTCCTTCTTTGAAATAAAATATTTGCACAAATATTTAATTTTCGTAAAAATCCAACGGGTCAAAGTTTTTTTCTATTAAAGTAAAACCCATTCGTTTTTTTAACTTCTTGTTTTTAAGGATACCTTAGAGCAGTCTCGAGTTGATCCACGTGAACTTTTGCAGTCGCCTTTGGTTCTAATTGTCCAACAACCAGTTGGGACGCCTGATGAACCACGTCAAATTGAAAGAGGATTTGCAGATACTGCTTTATCTCACAATTAATTAATTTATGATATTTATATTTACATTAGTGTGAATTTTCGCGTATGATTGAACCAAAAAATATGTACTTAAGAATATCTGTACCTTCCAAAAATTTTTTTGTGTATTCGTTCTAGCTTCCTTTTGCTTAATTTTTTCAGGTTTTTTTGTATTTTTCCAATTTTTATGATTTGTATAGCCTTTGTGTAAATGATGCTGTCCACAAAATTTTGTGGCTGAAAAATGCTCATTTTTAAAATTTATACTTGTAATTTGGAATTTATTCAATGTAACCATATAGTATTACATTGTTATTTTATTTTTAGCTGCCCACTTTTCTAAAATTTATAGTTTTTATTTCGTATTTCTCAGATCTAAATTTGTAACTAAATTTATTTTATTACTCATATTTTATGAAAAAGGTACGATAGAAGGTATTTTTTACTTCATATTATTCATGCCTTAATAAACTTTTATCTCACCTTTATCTCATTTTAATAATAATCTGTTCCTTCATCTTTTTACATTTACCAGTAAGTAATTGGCATCATTTACATTTTTGGAATATCTACAGTTTCCTGGTCATTTCTGCTTTAAATTTTAACGGCAGCGTAAGAGTAATTGGAAAAGTTTTTTTCGGTGATCGTTATTGTATCTCTTAATTGAATAACCATGACATTTAAAATGTTTATAAATTTTTAAAATTTATTTAATGCAAATCATTTTATTGCAGAAAAAGAGCAAATTTTACTTTATTTTTTTATTTTCATCCAAAATTAATTTATTTTTATTAGAGCTTATGAAGTGCAATTTATGTGTTCGTGGATTGGCACACGTCATACAGCGGGTATCGTCATCTTCACTGTCGGCAAATGATACCACAAATCCCGATAAAAATCTCGTTATCGATAAGTCTTCGAATAGTCATTTAAAGGGAGTGATTAAACCACCACATTATCGCAGCACATCAGGCACATTCCGTGGAACTCATATGCTGAATGAAGAATTCGTGGTTTGTTATAAAATTCTCTTAAATAATTTCTCTAAAATGGCGAAAATTTTTTAATATATCTTTTCGATGTAGTGTCAAGCAGATAAAACTGGTCATGGGGCTCGCTTATATGATTATATGGAAATGGGTAAAATGGTTCGAAATCTTCCTAATGTTGCAGAAAAAATTCGTTTCGTAAACCCTTATGAACGACCATGGTCAGCTGCTGAAAAAAAACATCATAGGTGGATCTCGTTTTGTTCATTTCATTTTTTTCTATTTTATTGCAGGCATTGTTTTAATATTAAGAGGAGAAAAATTTTAGTTCTTCATAAAATACCTTTATATTATAAAGAAAAATATGTGCTGTGTTTTATACATCAGGGATTTTGATTCTGTTTAATCTTTTTTTCACAAGATTTCATTTTTTTTGCATTTTATTGTTTTTTTATTTATTTTCCATTTTTGCGCAAATTATTTTTTCATTAATTACCACCAGTTTCATTTTAAAATATTTTTTCGCTTCCCTATATATTTTTAAAATAATGCATTTAAAATAATTATTTGGAGAAGAGTTTCATAGGCTTCACCAGGCTTTTCGAGAGGTTTAGTAAAAAAAGCTATGAGCGCACGATCTATATAATAATTTATGCGTATTAAAAAAGGTGGTCTCATCAATTAACTGCAAGATTAGTAGAGTGATTATATGTCGTGGCGACATTCTCATTTTGGCGTAATAATTGTTGTGGAACAAAATTGTATATGTCTAATGCATATGATTTTTTAAAATCTTTTACTGATTAATTTTAGAGCTTGGTTACCGAGTCTTTTTTCTCCTCGGAAAGCTTGGAATATTTGTACTGTTCCTCGATATTTCGATTGCTTGAACTTTTACAAATATATAACCAAAACAAGAGTAGAACAAGGCGTAGATCATTTATATGAAGGAATTGTTCTTTCGACAAAGAAGTTCGAAGTCTGTAATTCGGCTTCTTCATTGTTTTCTCTTTTATTTCATCATTTTTTTAAAATTTTTTTTTCGAAACGTTCTTGAATATCTTCAGTATATTAATTCAAGCTTACTATATTATAATCATATTACCTATGTTAAATCAAATTTTCTTGGTGGATATTAAAACGAATACAAATCAGTTATAGTAAAATCATTTAAGTCCATTCTGGTACAAACTATGATCCACATAATGGAATCAAAGCAAAGTGAAGAAAGAAGTGAAATGATTGATGTAATATTAAGAAATATGATTGATATTGGATTGGAAGTGTTGGGTTGTGCTGGAGACGTTAAAGATTACAGAGTAAAGTTGTATATAAATTTTAAATTTTTCAAATTTTTTAAATCATAAATTTATATATAAGTTCAAATTTTATATTTGTCCAACAATTTAGATTTCTTATGCATCTCGGTGCGAATCGTTCTGGGTAAGATCAGGTTTTTTGTCAATGTATGAGACCAAAGAAATTGATGATGAACTGAGTCGCATTGACAGAGGTGCATTGAGGAAATTTTCGTGCGATGACAGGTTATTTTAGTTTTTCAAAATATGTGAACCATTAAATAATAGAAAATTAAAAATTAAAATAAGTCGAAAATTGCTCATTTCCATCTTATATGCTCCAGTTTTTTTTTAAGAATCCTCATCATTACTGGTTAAACTCGCCCCACTGGCTTGTGGCATGGGGCAATATCCTTTGGCGATAGAAATATAGGTGAGTCACCAGCATCACCCGGATTTTTGTACAGATTTACTCCTACGGGGAATCGAACTTCAGCGCTCCCAATTGAGCAACAACCCACTGAGCCATTCTATCCCCAAAACTCCACTACTTATCATATTTGCTTTCGCTTTAATATTTATAAGGATTATTATTTTTTCTTTGTTCTTTTTTTTCTTTCCCACTTCTTAGTTCATTAAAATTATTTAGCTGCATTTTGGCAGTGGAAGAAAGTTTTCAATTTAAAATGATTTTTGAGTTATAGTGAGGTACAAAATGCCAAGTCAGAAAAAAAAATTACATTTATGAAATAATATTATTTTTTAACTTGAATATAACTTAAGAAGAAAACTTGGTGAATTGGCTTTTGTTGTTAAAGATCAATTGTGCGCTCAATTACGTCGAAGGAATCCAATGACGGCTGTGAGTTCTTATTTATCCTTTTTTTAACTTATTTTTAATTTTAATTTTTATTCCGTCATAGGCAAATTCATTCAATTAATCAATAATATATAATTACTAAAATATATATAATATATATATATATATATATAATAATTACTTTCGGACTTCTGATAGATTTTTAATAATGTGCCAGAAACATCGAATAGCGGTATGGTAAGAAGGGAGGTACAAGGCTGTGTATGGGGGTCATATAAACGACAATGCAACACGAATGAAACAACCTTGCTTCCCATTTATATTTTTTTTGCCTACCACGATTACCAGCAATGGTGACTTGGGAATTTATGTAGGGTTTGAGATGGGCGGAGAGGATGATTTTCTTACATTCTTTACCTTACACCTTTCTCAAAAAGTATCTCGTCCCTATACTTATCTTTAATTAGTTGTTTTACACTTCTGCTTGCATAATTTTGGCGATTTTCTCAATTCCTTGCTTTCCTTATTGGAAAGCGCGAAAGCGCGCGGTGGGTGGCTTGCTTTAAGTTGTGTCTTCTTTCATCGATAACTCATTTACGATACCTAGATGATAAGTGCGGATGAACGAAGATTTTATATATGTGGATAAGACATCTGATCTATTTCATCTATTTCTAATTATAAACAAGTTAAAATCTTAGAAATTTTTTAGCAATATATTTATTATTAGTTTTCATTAACCAAAAGCCAAGATCTGAACAACTAATTGTTCGAATTAATCGAATGTAGTTATCAACAAAAATAGATGGAGGGTCGGAGCGTTTAGCATTAGTATTGTAGAACTGCAATAGCAATAGATAATTTAATTTGCCTTTCCTGATGCCTCTAAGCTAAATTATTTAAGGCATTTTGAAAAGTATTTAAATTAAATTCTCCGATCTGCCTTGTGAAAAATAAATTTGATTAATTTAATAATATAATTAAAATCCAATTATATTGACGATCACTAAATTTATTTGTTAATTATTTATTAGTAAACCGTTATATAAGCCACTATTAAAAGCTTTAGCTAGATCTAAACTACAGATCTAAACTAGTAAACTACAGAAATCATAGTCATAATAAATAAAGGTAGTCGATTTTTCCATGCTTAAATTATCACCTATTACCTTTTTTAAAATTTTTTAAAATTAAGTTTCCAAATATCACAATTTAAAATATTTTTAAAATTAGGATTACATTGTAAGATGCTAGAAGAACTCATATGCAATTCTTTAAACTTCATCGAAGTAAATAAAATTTAAGAATAAGATTAGTTTTTTTTTCAATTTTAAAGTTGTTAGTAACAATGATTTTTCATTTATAGAGGAAAATTTCAGCTATTCCCAATTTCAGCTATTCACAGAAACGGAAAAAATGAATATGCCAATTTTTAATGATGAGACGATTCTAAATGATATAATTTTATCTCCCAAAGTTTATGGTATGTGGCCAGATGATCAGCCACTATGGCAATGCCCTGGTTTTGAACCTGATTCCGGTCAGCTTTTTTTCGCTTTCCGTCTTTTTTGACGCGTATTATATACCAGAATGTCGTTTATGAGTATTTTCTTGCATTAACCGTTCATTAGCAAGTTCCCCTCAGGTGATGAATATCGATTTGGACAAATTGCGGTCAAAAATTGTGATACTCTAAATGCATTATGTTCATACTGGAATGTTCAAGGAGATGAGGAATTAATGGTACGAAAGGATTGTTTTTCTGCTGCTGCAGTCGCTTCATTATTTTCCTGGCTGAATGGGCAAGCTCATTCACTAGGTACGTATTGCTGTTCCATCTTAATAATAATCATCTCTGATTTCAAATTTTAATATTTTAATGTAATGATTGCTTCAATAAATTGAGAAATTTTTTTATTCATTGTTTTTCAAATGTTTTTTTTCTGATATGGAAGTCTCAAGATTTTAAAAGAAAAGTTATGCCGCTGGAGAAATCTGCTATTTCTTCTTCTCCTAACCGTTCTCACCATTACTGGTTAGGCTGGCTCCAACGGCTAAAAAAATTAGACGCTTCCAAGTGGCGCGGTCTAATGCCATAGTCGACAGTAGCAGAAACCATTCCTTTTTCCATCGTCAAAGTCCATTTATTGCTGGTCCATCTATACGTTCAAAATCTTTTCTGGCCGTATCATTCCAGGTCTTGATTGGCCCACCTCGTTTTTGACACGATCCATTACACGGTTTAGCAAGTAACGAAATATGCTCAACTATTGTGGTGGATGACGAAGAACGTCCTAACCACCGAAGACGACGCTCTGTGATTATTAATGCAAGTGGTATTTGAACGAAGATGGATGCGAGCATGTGATATTTTATCTGCTCGACGGATCCGTAAAATATACTTTAGACAAGAGTGGTTCTTAATGTCCTCTACTCTCATTGGCTATTGTCTCAGAGCCATATAGCAAGATCGAACGAATTATAGCTATATAGCTGCGGACTTTCGTTTTAATGGTAATTTCACGACTCCATAAAGGTTTCGTTCAATCGGAAGAATGCATTTCTAGCTGCCGTGATTCGGGCTATAATGTCTTTTTCCTGGCCATTTGGTATCAGAGTGGACCCAAGGAATTTAAAATCGAGCACTTCCTTGACCGGTAATGGAGGCATTTTATCAGCTTATACATGTGAAGGCTTTCATTTTGTATATATACATTCACCCTGAGTTTGATTCTTGCTGTTGTTTCTGACACGTTATTTAGCATTATTTGCATTTCGTCATAACTATCAGCAAAAAGGACTACATCATCAACGTATTCAAGATTTGTGATACGATACTCTGGTTTGGACATCCCTTGAGTGCTGACAAGCGGTGTCCATTACCCAATCTATCGCATAATTGAATATTGCAGGGAAAAGGACGCATTTTTGACGGGCCTCAGTTCTTATTTTGAAGGAGTCTGTCAGTTCCCCATATACACAGACCTGCCCGACGTACGCTCATAAAATGCCTTTATAAGTCGAACGATCTTCTCTGGAATACCGTCGCATTCTATCACCCTCCAAAGCGCCCCTCTATCAATTGAATCAAAGGCAGCCGCAAATCGCGTGTAATAAAATTTGTTTTACAAAGGTTTCACGCAATACAACGACATTGAGCAACCTATTGTTTCTCAAATGGTTTTCTCCGATGGTGTGGACTTCTTCTTTGCTGTTGGTCAGCTCAATACTATTGCCATTAATATCGATGTGGAGGTAAATTTAATTTCATTTAATTTAAATTTTTTTACACATTGTATATATATATATATATTTTATATATATTTTTGCACGTTGGAATCTTTATATTCATTTAAATATTTTCATCACTAAACATAAATTTGATTACTTCGATCATTAGAAGATCATTAGAACACAATTTTGAGTTATTTATTTAGGCTACTGAATATTTTATGGCATATTGTTTCAACATTTATCAGCATATAGTGTTAAATTTGTTTAACCCATATATTTTTAGTTCTGGTTATAAGAATTTTAAATATAAGGAAAAGATAACAAAATTTAGATAAATTTTATTGGTGAAAAATATAGTGGAATATGATACAGATAAAATAATAAAGTTGAACTAAAGATAGAAAAAATTTTGTAATATTTCACCTGTTGAGCCAAAATAGGGTTAACATTAAAATCGCTGGTAATAATTTGAATGAAAAATTTATCTCGGATATATTTTTCAGGGCTTTGTGAATAACAAAACGAATGTTTGCTATGTGGATGGACCATTGAAATTGTACGATCGATATGATTCTCAAACAAATAAATTCTATTTTATTGGTGATACAGAGGTTGAAGGATTGAATCCAAAAGTACTTTCGCGAATTCTACAAATGCTTGTTAAAGAATAATTGGCCAATCAGTTTAGGTTTTTTTAATTTAGATTTTAGCCAATTAAATTCATTGTTCATTGCTCATAGTCGAGTTGAGGATTAAATATAATTGATTAATATATTAATATATATTTTACGTGGATTTAAATTTAAGAACCAAGAAAATCAAAAAAAACTGTGTTGGTATTATTAGTAAAATACTTTTTCCAATAATAAAATTCAAAAATACCAATGGACTAGAAAATTGTTTGTGGTACTTACTGGGGAACTGGGATCTTTCATCAGGAATGAAACATTTTACATTCATGAAAAATAAACCTTCTTCGATATATAGTATATATGCAGTACATACACTTGAAAACCGAACAGAACCTCATCAAATTTTTACTGACATTCTGAGAAATTTTCGCACAAGAAATGGTGACCACGGACAGAAAATCAATTGACAATATGCCAGTCAAGATGGATATACTGTGCTAAAAGCACCACGCATGTAAAACAAGAATATGAAACCTACCACCCCTAATGATTCTTGAAGAGAATCTTATTAAGTAGTTTCAGCTCCACAAAAACATGTCCTTGCCAGAATCGCGAGATCCATTCAAGGAAATGCATAGTTGGGAGAACTGGAGATTGTTTAATCATAAAATTGGCAGTTGTGGTTTCTAGCGTCGAATGGCCAGCTCCTCTGTTCAAATTTCAAAAGCTGAGGGATCTGGAGCAGGCAAAGGCCCTTTTTTCTGGCATTTAACTATTGTTTTTTTTGCAAATATTTTTTGCTAATGTTAGGTAAATTGTACGTTATTCACGAGACTGTTTCCAACTCTTTTAACTGAAGATGCTACAACACTAATTAAAAAAACCATTCTTATTTCCTATGAGTGGTAATGATTATTTTCAATTTCGGATCCTCTACTAGAGGCCTGGGAGACTGAGAATTCTACGCAGTATTTTAACTTTCCTAGTCGTGCTTTTCTGAATAGGGCTCTGACGTTGTTTCTGGGATCTGCTGAGGCCACTTTCCTAGTTTGGGGGCTGCAGTTCCAAATGCTCTAATTATCACTGGAGTTTTATTCACTTTCTTTACTTTCTCTTTCACCCATGGTATTTCTCTAACTACTCATATTTTCAACATTCCAGACAATTGCTGTATTTATATTTATCTATTCCATCATTTATCTAATTCTAATTTTTAATTCTAATTGCTGTATTCCATCATTTATCTAATTCTAATTTTTGTCTGTTACCACGAAGTATGGTTTGCAGAATTTGCCATCCAGTCTCGGAAGGACCTAAGCCATATACTGAGCAGATCCCTGTAGATTATACCAACTACTTGGCCTCTCAGTAAATGTTTCTACTTGTATTTTATATTCTGCCATTAAGTGCTGGACAGTCTAGAGCGTTTTTACACAGTCGGCATTTTAAACTCTGTCTATTATGGTAAATCTATATTGTTTATTGTTTATATATATATATATATAAGGCCGACCATATTCTTTGACTGGCCGATATCTTTCCTCTAGCGACAACTTGTTTGTCCTCAATCTCCTGGGCTTCTTGCAGGGAATATACATAGATGAGAAAGACACTACTTATAGGAGGAAGACACTACTTAAATATATATATATTTAAATTAATGAATTTAACTAGAAATCAAAAGATTTCAGCATTAAAAAGAATCAGAAATGGGATTAAAGAAGCCTTTGTTGCTTAAAATATGATAGTGAATATTCTGGAAAAAATTTGAAAGATTTTAATCCGAAAGTTTAATAGCCTTATGCAATTTTATATGCTGAAATACATGAAAATAAAGTTTTCAGACAAATTCATGAAAAAATGATTAAATCGCAATGCTGCAGGGTTCGAATAATGATTATTCTTTTGACTAATCAGGAAAAATTAAATCTTCGATGTCATTTCTTCGATTTATCAACAGGATCCGTTTTCTGAAAATTTTGCGGCAAAAATTTAGAATTGAAACTTGTTATTTATCCTCAACCAAAAAAAATGGTGTTTGTTAACCGATAACACTAGATTCTCGAAAAGAACCGATTTAATCGTTCAAGAGAAAATATAAAAAGTTAATACGAATACTTCATCTCTATTTGACGCTGCTCCCTTCTGAAGAACATTCTGAATTTCTGGAGAACCTTGATCCATACCTGGTAAATCAGCAACTAATTGGCGCAATAATTCAGGATCATCTATCAGTTGTCCTAGCTGATCCTCTTCCTGCAAACTTTGAGAAATATATAGAAACATATAGAAAAATATTCCAGCAAAATCCAAATATAAATATATACATATTGGAAACCAAACCACAACTTACCGCTGTTACTTCTTTTTCTTCAGGAATTTGATCTATCTCCATTTCATTTGCAATGGTTATCTTATCAGATACTCCAGCAGTCTTTGCTTTTTCTGCTGGTTCACTTGATTTTGCACTCGGTCCTTCTTGCATGGACATTCGTAATGCCCATGCGAGTTGCTGATCTTCCGTCATCGCTTCAGGATCCATATTCATGAAGTCATCTTTAAAAAATTCTTTGATTATTTTGCGCACGACTAAATGATTAGTTCTTATTTATTTAATTTAACTTGAAATAAAATATAATTTACAATGTTAGAAGATTCTCAAACGGTATTTTTTTATATAAAATTTAAATGATTTTTTTCCATTTTAGACGAATTTTAACTTTTAAGATATATATATTTTGCAAATATACCATTAACATCCGCTTGTTGACGAATACTATCTGCCCCTGCCAGTTCAGCGTTTGCTTCTTGCATTTGCCTTTGCCGCTGTTCTTCTAACGATACACGTAAGGCCTTAAAATGAAACAGTTTTTCATAAGTTATAATAACTAATGGTATACATAATAATGAGAAATACATGCCAAAGCTAAGTCTGGATCATCTTCAGGATCAATCCCAAATTCAAATCCACCACCACTTGCAGCAACCACCGGTGCAGCAGTACCATCCTCACCTCTACAAACGGAAGAAGATACTAAGGCCTCGGTAAGAGTAGAACCAGATGACACAACAATTAAATTAGAGCCTCCTCCTTCCCTGAAAAACGATGAATATACTTTAAAAGTTTTATATCTAAATATTAAATATGAGAAATTTTTTGACAAAGGTTTTTTTTATTTTTTAGATTTTTATTATTGCTCTTTTAAATTTAAGAAACTCCAAAAAACTGAAAACAATGTTAAGTTTCGAATTTATATCTGTGTTAATTCAAATCTTTCTCAGCAAGTGAAATAAAAATACCTGCTATTAAGTGATTCAATGAATTGTCCAAAAATATCATTGGAATCTCCATCGGCTTCTCCAAAACAAATGATATCGACTACAACCTTTTCCTTCTTTAACTTTTTCGACAATTTTGCTAACTGAAACTTTTAAGAATTAGAAATAATATGTGGCAACCAATATGCATAAATATGCAATAATAAATTAATCAATATTAATTAGAAATAATATGTATAAATATACTAAATTACTTCGTTTCGGTCAATACAGTTAACAGGACTTCCAATAAAAACTACAATTCGCATTTTATGATTACGATTTTGGCGATGTTTGAGAGCCAAATGAGCAATTTTTATACCACCAATGACATTGGATTCACCCTGAAATAAATAATATGGCAATACTAAAGATAAAGAAATGACCAGTAACAAATAATTTTCGAAATTTTTTTCAGCTAAAGTTTCAAAATAACAAATACCTTACCTTCGGCTCGACTTGATGCAATTTCATAAAAAGGCGCCCATTTTCCTGAGTCAAAGTAGAAAGAACTTCCACAGTACTAAAAGCAAAAAAAAAAAGAATCGAAAAAAACTGAACTCAAGAGAGAAATAATTCTATTGTAAAATTTCCAAATACATAGTTTCAAATTTTTTCTCTCTTTTTTAACCCATTTCACTGGCTATTTACTAAAAGGGAAATTCTTTCGCTCGCTCAGTTAGCGATAGAAGTATGGAGAAGTTTCCAGAGGCAACAATGATATTATTCAGCATAATTCAAAATTCAACCATTTTTAACGATTAAAGCAATCAAAAATGAGAAAAAAAGCAAGATATTAAAGAATGAATATGTCAATTGAACTGAAATTAAAAAATAAAATAAAAAACATGACTTAACACAAAAAGTTTAAAAGACCCACTTCGCCATTGAAATAATACCGACAGCATTTTCCGGATTTGAACGCAATTTACACTGAATAACCAAATTCGCGGCATCCTGTTGACACTGCAGTCGTGTTGGCGTGAAATCACCATTCCTCATCCATTCTGAATTATCCAAACTAAAAAAATGCGATTATTATCCAGAATAATTCTACATTAAACAAAACTTCTAACAGCACTTCTAATATTTTATTTCAGAATTAAAATAATTAGTAAAATAAATAAACCGATTAACTGTTAAAAGACTTTAATTGCCCAAAATATCAAAAATTTTAACGAATAAAGGATAAAAATATTAAAGCTCCAAAAAAAAATCAAAAATTTACCAAATCATAGTACTTTCTTGAACCATTTTATCCCTTTTGATCTGAAATGCACAGATGAAAATTTTTCCATTAAAATTTAATTTAAAAAAAGACGAATGAATAGAAAACAAATAAAGGAAAAATATTTTATGGTTAGCAAATATTAATAATAATATTAATTCCAACGGTGATTGCAAATATTAATAAAAAATTTATTTTAACCGTATATTCAATTTTTTTAGAAAAATAAAATTTATTACATTAATTACGTTGAAAATATATGCCTAAATTTTCAGTGATCCTGCTAATTTCACAACTTCAATGAAATTTTTTTAAAAAGGCATTTAACCAAATTTCAATTAAAATTAGTAGATAAATTAGTAGATATACAATGTTTAGTAGATAAGTGGGGAAAAAGAAGAAAAAAAAAGAAGCATGGTGGACAGGTGACAAATGGATTGCCAAACAAATGGTTAACTGGGGCCCTAAATTCCCATTATCCAAAACTGCTACTTAAAAATCCAACGTTTCGTTTGTCCTATATTTTAGCGGTGAAATACAAACAACGATAAAATTATCAACAGAATTCAAAATAATGTAAATAAACAAAGTTTTTATTGTATTTCATATGTGCTATTATTCTCATTAATTTCAAAAAGAAATTTTTCTAATATTTTCTAATATAATATTTTCCTAATATTAGCACTCCAAAATAAAGGACAAAAGAAAAATTATTAACAAAGCAAACAAGCAGATAAAATGCTGCAGATGATAGTCACCATCGTCTACGAAAACTGAATCATCAATTTATCAACCGCTACCTTTATATTTTATATACTTATATATTTATATATACTCTTTATATATAGACTAGGATGGTTGAGAAGTACTTCGATTGTTAAACAAAGGGATCTAAAGAGAGGATCACAAAATCAATTCCTGCTCCTCGAAATTCGGCTTCAGTTACAAACGGGAGTGCGTGTGCTATGCGTATGTGCGTGTGTGTGCGAACGGGCCTCACACCCAGCAGCTTAACCATGAACGGTGAATGCTGTTAAATTATGATGATAATGATAATTTGATTATTAGAATATAAACAAAGAGGTTTACAACAAAGGATATTCGTAGGTAAAATGTTTATAAACTGAAAAAATGCATGAAAAATAAGCGAAATTGATCCAATAATTCAGTAGAACTCGGTTCCATAAATGTTCCATTGCAAATTTAATTCCGAAAATAATTCGAGACTACAAAAAGAAACACCCCCATTTACGAAAATAAAATTATCCTTCCCCCACTCCTCCAAGGAAACGAAATCCCTACTAGTACAGAAAATCACTTTAGGACATTCTATTTTGCATATTCGAATGTTGCAACCAAATATTCAATTTTACTTTTCAGCGGTAACTACAATAATAAATGAATCTGCCGCACTTTGGAATAAATTAAAAAGAATAAGGAAAATTTTTTATAGAGGTCATAGGTGGCACCATTTTACACTAACCTAATATTTTACATAATGGCAGCGGAAAGACAAATTCAGCAGAAAGATTTTTGCCAAGGCCAAAATCGAAGAGTATATAAAATACCGAAGCTGAAGCCCGAAGGTTTAAGAACAGAACAATTAGAACATGAAATGAAATTTTATTCAATATAGGAAATGTGTAATAAAAACAAAGTTTTGAATATAATTCTGACTTCAGAAAAATCAATTTTCAATATTTTTTTACGCTATGATCTAGAGCAAATATTGAACAGAAAACACTTCTTGTTTTCCTGAAAACTTGCTCAGATGCTACACTTTTTGCACGTATTGCCTAGTATTTTTAAGCTGACCAGCACTGGATATCTAATATTGTTTTAGCTCCACCAACTGAATGGATAACCTCGCTTGTTCCCTCATTTATCCTCGTTTAATAATTATTTAATTTATCACATAGACCACGGCTTTTCTCTCTCACTTCTACGAAGACTGAATAACAAAATCCCATGTCTTGCGCTTTTTTAGAAGGAATATTTCCAGTGCTATATTTGACGAATTTTTAGCGGATTAACAGAGTTATAAACAAAACACTCTTGGCATAAAATTTTGAATTACATAATGAGAAACCCCATGTCGCAGGTCTAACGGAGTAATGTCACCAGCTGATCACCTGAGAAAAAATTTCCAAATGCCGAGTGAATGAGCTAGTTTGTCACTCATTGCACGTTATATTAAACAACTTTAGTGGCAAGAAGAATTCATAAAGAAATCATATTTTAAACACTCATATAATCACAAAAATCTTATCACAAATGATTGATAGAACGCTTAATATAACGAAAATTCCAGCCTTTATACAACATGAACACGACAATTATTTCAACGCTTAATTTATCTTCTTGTTTGACTGAGGTTGATTCTTATCAATCAAACATTGAAATTTGCAAAATCTCTTTGGTAATTATGGTAATTAAAGGAATATAATTGAAATGGCTCGCAAATCTTCAAATGTTTGGTTTTTGGTTTTTTAAAGGTAATAGAAGGAACTTTCGGCATAACTCTGTTGAAAATCCATTTTTTTTCAGTTAGATTATTTATTTTCGTAATCAATTATCTCACTACCTCATAGCATAGAGTAATAATCCTTTGTTCGTGATAAAAATGCTTAAAAAAATAAAAAAATTAGGTGCTAGGTCCTATAGAGGATTGCAGCATCAATATTCCCTTGAGGTGCCAAATTTGTCTTCGATGGCATATTACTCAATTTCGTATGGTCTACGAAATATTATTTTATATTTTATAATCACGCTACATCACCTCATTACTCATCATTCACCAAATTTAATTCATAAGCTTATATATATATATATATATATATATATAAAATAAATATTCTCATTAAATAACTACATCTGTCTTCGGCGCATGACTCCCAGCCCGGTGGTACATGCGATAAGTATATAATCCGCGAGTAAAGTGATCCAAGGCTGATAAATAAAATCTGCTCGCAAACTAGGGTAATTGCTTGAAACTTAACAAGCTCTCTGCACGTGCGGTGAGATATGAGCCGTATCAGGATGGATGCTAATGGACGTCGCAAGTCAAGCGATCATTGTCCACACCCTTTCTAAATATTATGGGGATATAGCTTGCTTTCGTGGGTCCGTCTTCCTCAATTCGGGTCTCGAGTGATTATTAATCCTGGCTCGGAGCAGATATACTGGCTATATCACTGTGGTGCTTCGGATAACTCGGGGCGAAATAGCGTAGCAATTGTCATATCTGACAAAACCCATTCCGCTTTGATTGAGTGGAAACTGGTAAGGGACCATATGGCCCATGCCCTATGTTTTAAAGGTAAGATCTACAATATTTCGGTAATCAGTATCCATGCTCCAACTCTGTCGGCAGATGACCGTTATAAAGATAAGTTTCATGCGGAACTTCACCTGCTAACAAAGTCTCTACCAAAATATGACATGATTATAGCCGGGGGGATGAGGGAGGGTGACTGGAATGCGCGCATAGGTCATAATGCCGCTGCGATGACTTCTACAATGCAAATATGGCATCGGAGAACGGCGTGCCAATGGGGAACGCCTTTTTTGTTATGCTGAAGAGCAAGAACTTTTTATTATTAATATTAATATGTTTCCGACATCATAGAAATCCAGTCACGGATTTCCCCGGATAACCAACGCTTCAACCAGAGTGATTATATCTTAGTCAGTCACTGTTGGAAAAGTTCCGCACTGAATAGTTGTTCCTACCGCTGTGCTGAAACGGCAATCTTCATGGATCTGACCATTTTATGGTTCAAGCTAAGATCCGCATAAAACTGACAACTCGCAGAAAATCTGTTGCCCCTGATATAGCTGATACGTTCGCTGAACCATACGCTAATAACTGGGAACCCCCGATAGAAGAAGAAATAATATCTACTATCAATAAGCTTAAGGCCAATAATGCTCCGGGAGAAGATGGTCTTCGGGCTGAACTTTTTAAATATTGTCCATCGTCCTTCATAACGCATCTTCAACAAATATATTCTCTAGTATGGGAAAAAGAAATATTATTACCAGGTGATAGGAGCAAAGCAATTTTGCTCCTAATTCTCAAGAAAAGTGATAGGACATACTGCGATAATTATCGAGGAATCAGCCTACTAGATGTTTCAAAGAAAATTTTTGCTTCCTTTTTACTCAACAGATTATGGAAATACTGGACAGCAGGATGCGCCTGTATTCAGACCGGAGCGGTTGCGCTGACCAGATATTCACGTTAAGAAGGGAATTGGAACATCACTTCAGATAATTGCAACTCACCATTACTCACGTGTTTCATCGATTTTGCGGCTGCCTTTGATTCAACTGATAAAGATGCGCTTTGGAGGTTAATGGAGCGCGACAGTATTCTTCCATAGAAAATCATTCGACTCATAAAGGCACGTTTTATAAGTGCACGTCTGTGGAGGTCTATGTATATGAGAAACTGACAGATTCCTTCGAAATAAGAACTGAAGATCGTCAAGGTTATGTCCTTTCCCCTACGATATTCAACTATGCGATAGACTCGCGGTGATTGACACCTCTTGTCGGAACTCAAGGGGTGTCAAAATCAGTCCAGAGTATAGTATCATAAATTTTGAATACGCTAATGATGCAATCCTTTTTGCTGACATTTATGACGAAATGCAAACGAAGCTAAATAATGTGTTAGAAACTGCAGCAAGAATCGGACTCAGGGTCAAAACGAAAGTGTTTTCGTCTTAAGTGCAAGAAACTGATAAAATTCTCTTTAAATTCATTGCCGGTTGAGGAAGTGCCCGATTTTAAATACCTTGTGTCCACTCTAATACCAAATGGCCAGACAAAAGATGATGTTACAACCCGGATCATAGCAGCTAGAAATGAGTTCATCCGGTTGACGAAACCTTTATGGAGATGGCATGAAATCACCATAAAAACGAAAGTCTGTGATTTATATCTATATATTAAATCTATACAGCCGTGATTCGTTCGATCTTGCTATATGGTTCTGAGACATGGCCAGTGAGAGTGGAGGACATTAAGAACCTATCTACCACTCTTGTCAAAGGTACATATTACGGATTCGTCGAGCGGATAAGATATCACATGATCGCATCCACCTTCGTTCAAATACTACTTGCATAAATAATGTTATCACACAGCGTCGTCTTCAGGCACGTTTTCCCTCGTCCACCACAAGAGTTGTCGCATATTTCATTACTTGCTAAACCTGTGATGGGTGGCGTCAAAAGCGAGGTGGGCCAATCAAGATCTGGATTGATACGATCAGGAAAGATTTTGAAAGCATAGGCGGACCAGCAATATATGGACTTAGACGATGGAAAAAGTTAACAGTAACATCAGATCGTGCCTTGGAAGCGTCTCACTCTTGTAACCGCTGGAGCCAGCCCAACCAGTAATGGGATATTTCCCATCGTGGAATCAGACAGTTAGAGTTAAAAAAGCTACTGGATCTTACATCAACGCAACAAAGTAATCTGGAATTGATAGAATATTACTATAATAATAGATCCAATGAAAGTTATGTTATATGCTGTTATACGAAGGAAGAAAATGCGGAAGGGTCTACATCCACATTAACTGAGAAAAATTTTAACACCTTTAACACAAGAAAAAAAATTGCTCTCTAATCTGGAGATGGATTATTTCTGCGCTACATTTAGAATGTTCAGAAAGAAGAAGAAAGAAAAGACAGGCAAGAACAAACAAAAAGCTGGAAAGTACCTTCAAATATCCCCGTTGCAAAGCAGAGTAGTTGAAAATCATGAAAATGACTACAATCTATAACTATAATGAATGACTACAATCATCGAGACCGACTACTGAGGCTCAGTGATGCATCACCAGACAATATTATCGAAGATTCAAAAGAGCAATTCCTACTGCCACTATAATGAACTGAAGTGCGCCACAGCTACGGTAATTCTCGAAATGCTGGGGTAAATTAGGAAGAATAATAATTCTCGTCCATGGAAAAGAAGATTGGAAAATAAGATTAGAGCAAGCATAAAAAGTTCCACATGTTGGAAAAATACAAGGGCTACATCAGAAGCCCTTCCGACTGCCAAATAAAGACTTACAACACTGGTTACTAAGCTACTAAGCTATATATTAGAGATGCAAAGGTTAAAAAGGTAAGGAACCATTCAAGATGTACTCTCAACTTCAGTGCAATAATATGGTAACAGAGCAACACTAACATCTAACACTAATAGCAGAAACTATATAATACTGGAAGAATATATGAAAAAAAACAAGATTCATAACACTAATGCAAAGTGATTGCAAGACCTGTGAACAATCACAGCAATCTCCCAGGAACCAACTACCATCACAACTGCTGATATTCAACAGCGACCCAAAAATATGAAAAGTTGGACAGCACTTGATCCAGATATGATCCACATCTACTGGATAAAAAAGCTAACAGCGGTTCATGAGCGCCAAGTAACATAGATGAACCAGCTGTTTGTGGCAAGCTCTCACTCAGACTGGGTGCTTGAACGAAATCCAAAGCATTCAGAAATACATTAGCAAGATGGCAAAGGGTAAGTTGTTGAGAGATATTTGAAACATCTATAAACACTGGAAAAAGAAAGTAGGGGAAGTACCATGACAAAGCAAGATCCTCCATGGGTTGCAAGATTGACAGAACCTGAGGTAGCTGACAGAGAAATTTTATTGAGGCATTGATTATAGCAGTACAAGAGTAGCCACTGAGCATCAGATCCGCTGAAGTAGTGCCAGAATATAAGATAGTAAGCAGAACAATAAACACTGAAAGGCATAAAGTAACTGGCATCGTCTATATATCTGCTCGATATATGTCTTAGACTTTCCCATGATCAGATGGGAACTTCCTTAGAAAATCGCCGAGAATAATAAACCCGTGTGATTTCTCCATGACAGGCAAATAAGTACTGGCCAATCCAGATAGTGGTTGACAGTGGTAGTTGTAAAATTAGAAATCAGCATTAATGATAAATATAGCAATACCGACAGCAACTTTAGGAAGAGGGAACATGAGAAGTTAGATAAACATCAATGGATGAAAGAGGAACTAGAGATGTGGAAAATGAAGGCCAAAGTAATTCCAGTGATAATTGGCAGTTGGAAGTATGGCCTCCAAACTAGGACTGACTCCATTGGCAACGAAGTAAGAAGTTCCTAAGCTTCCCAATCTTATGTAAGGCCAATCTTTAAAACCACCTTTTTCCAGCTAATGCATCTAATGATGGGCCACCTATGCGTTCAAAACTTCCCTGATCTAACATTTCTTGTTTCATTCCTTGATTGGTCCTCCTCGCTTAATGGAGAACATTGCCAAACCAGAGCCGAGACGCTTTGTGACGATACTCGAGCAAAAGTGGATGCAATCGTGTGAGACTTTCTCCACTCGGCGGGCAAGTAGGAGATTTAGGATTATCATTTTGTTCGATCCGAAATCGAACGGCCACGATCCCAATCGTTCATTCCATAACGCTGTTATTTACATAGTTCTTTCGTTATCCTTTAAATCAGTTATCTCTTCGAATTTCGGGATATTGAATGAGCACCACACTCAGATGTCAAATGTGGCAATCACCCAGTAATTGCACGAACTATTCGCCGAAAATCGAATGGTACGCAAACAGTGTATGCTTGTAGCCGCAATAAGTGAGGCGCAAAAGATCCGCGTATTTGCCGAAAAAGTCGACTGATAAAGCTGCAAATTAGAATCAACCTATGCGCGCTGGTATTTTCCTTTTTTTTTTCGTGATGTCATACTGGATGACCTTTAACCCTGTCCGAATTATTCGTGCGATAAGTACCGATTCCTTTCTTTTTTTTTGAGGGATATTTTCCATAATTTACCCTAGTTTTTGAAACAAAAGAAGTACTATTTTTTATTTTCACTTATTTCTATTTTTCATGCATTAGTTTCGTTAAATATTTGGGAAATTAGGGCAACTTACTTAGAGGAAAGGTAGCCGAATGGTATAATGCTGTCCAACGTCAGCCATTCTTCACCTTTAACTTGTCATTCACCAATTCCGTGTGGTGCTCGAGTCTCAGTAAAATCAGAACCAGCCGAACCGGAAATGGTGACTGTTGTTGGAAAATAAAGGAAAGGTTAACGGAGCATTAATAATTATGGTGAAAATTTTGTAATTTGTAACAATGATAATAATAAATATTTATGTTGAAAAATTATTTTTTGTGCGACTGTAGGAATATTGTGGAACGAAATTTCGCCACTTTTCATGTTTAATGTTTGTTAATGTTTAACGATTAATGTTTTTTAGTTTTTCCATTTTTTTTCAGGAGACGTCTATAAATTATATTTCAATTAAAAAATTATAACAGAATAGCTAGTTTGGTCGAACTATTTCGAAATTTGATATTTTTGTTAAAAATGGGTATTTTTATATTTTTCGCATTTTTATATCATTATTATTATTGTTCATTCTTAATCTATATTGTTAATATCCACCAATTTAAAATAATAATAATTTTTAGAAAGCTTCGGAGCTTATTTATATAGCAAATTCACAGCTTTTTTATTTTTTGAATTGGGAAACAGTTGAATTCCTTCGAGATATTTGAATTATTTGGTATCGGAAAGGCGTGGATATGTTTGTATTTTCCGGTAATCTGGACAATAGCTCTGCTCATTGATGCAGAAATATTAGAATCACTAAAGGTCAAGCAAAGATGGAAGGTGGTTAGATGAAAAAATCTGTTTTGTAAGAGCACTCACCATCGCTGGTCAGATTCGCTCCGCTGACTTCTCTGTCAGAGTAGTATGCCAACGTATCCTTTAGCGATAGAAGTACAAGTGAGTCGCCACCGTAGATGAATAAATTATATTACCTTGAACTGTTGATGGGCAACTGGCTGATAAGAGTCGATTGTTACTGGGTATTATTACTGCGAATTTTAGTGGATGTTCCAAGAAATTTTCGCTTGCTTGAAGAGTTAGAAGATGGGCAAAAAGGTAAAGGTGATGGAAATATATCGTGGGGTTTGGAAGATGATGAAGATATGTCGTTAACTCGATGGACTGGGATGATTATTGGTCCGCCAAGGGTAAGAATTAAGGCAATATTTTGTTACCTTATGATCATTTGGTAACATTTAGCACAAATATATTTTTAGACTCCATTTGAATCGCGTATCTACAATCTTCGCTTAGAATGTGGTCCAAATTATCCAAAAGAAGCTCCTTCTGTTCGATTCACCACGAAAATAAATATAAATGGTGTAAATCAGTTAAATGGATTGGTATATTATTCAAGATCATATTATAGCGACAAGTATTTTGTTGCTAAGCTAAAATAATGTTTTGTTGGAATTCATCTAGGAAATTGATTTGATTGTTGATTTACCAATTTTTTAAATAAATTATTGTGGCTAATTTTTTGGAATAATCTTTCTTGTGCTGTTGTAAATTTTGGCAGCAGCTATTTTAATTTTTAAATTATAAATTAATTTTGATAAATCTTTATTTTATAGTATTTTAATTTATTTTTTAGAATTATTTAAACCATATTGTTTAATATTATTTTTAATATTGTTTTTTATCGAGGAAATTAAAGGCGCAATTTATATTTTCAGGTTGATAAACGTTATGTACCTGTCTTACGTCAGTGGGATAATACATTCTGCATTAAAAATGTATTAGAAGACATTCGAAAATCAATGATGCTTTCGAAAGAAAACCTAAAATTGCCACAACCAGCTGAAGGAGCAACTTACTGAATGCTATTCTTAATGCTGGAAATATTTTTAAATCCAAAGTATAATAATATTCATATAATATGAAAAAATATAAACGCTATCAATTTGTATATGAATTTTATTTTTTTATTGGATTTGACTGAAAAAAATATTTGTAAATTCAGCTTAGAAATTAGAAATTTTAAAAGCAGGTTTTTTTTGCAAATTGGCTCTCAGACTTGATGTTTTTTAATTTTTCACTCCAGTTTAATTCCAGTTTACTCAATTTTATCGAACTTTTTGATCAATTAATTATTTAGTTTCTGGAATGAAAAAAACCTGGTTTTAGATTTAAATTTGCTTCAGTAAATATTAAATTTTACTTAAGAAATGCCACAAATTCAACTTCAAGTTAAATTTTTCCAAAAAATACTGTTGAAATAAGTGGAATAGAATATAATATAGTTTAAGTTACTTATGGCAGTGATAGATAATGGCTTATGGTACAGTTTACATTTTTTTGTAAAGTATTTAAGGTAAAGATATAGCTGATTAATTATATTTTCATATTTCTTCATTCTCTACTTTTTTTTTAGTTCTTTTGAAAGCAAAACGAAATTATGTTTGGTAGCTCAGTAATTGTGATTTGTAGAGATCCATCGTTTTTCTTTTATCGTTGTCCTTCAAACTTTTTCATTTTTTCTTAATCGAATTCGATTTAAAAGATTTAGGAACGATCGTGTGTACTGATTTTTCTCATGAATGAGATTCGCTGATATTTGCTGATATGATCAGTGAATTTCTTTTCTTTTATAATTCAAAATGATTTATTTAATATGCTTGAGATGTTTGGTGGACTTGGATTTTGTGACGAATATTTTCAAGTGAATTTTTATTCTTTCGAGAAAAAAATCAGTTGGTTGAAATTTCCTAAGTTATTTCGACACTAAATTTTATAATTTTTCGAGAGAAATTTTTTTACCTTAAATTCTTTTTCTTCCTTTCGTTGAATTTTATTCATGCGATTGATAATTCTTTAAAATCTATGAAAGGCATAATTTTTGCTTTATATCATATGTGATGATGCTTATAATGAAAAATTTTGTTTTTCTTGTTTTTTTAAATTAAAAAATTTCACTGTTCTTGGTTATTATTGTCTTTTATTATTGTTAATTAGGCTAATAAAATTATTTATGAAACATTGCTTCATTTATTTTGTTGTTTTTTGACAATTCTTTTTTACTTGCATTGCTTTATTACGTCTCTTACCAGTTAATTCACTTCAGTAAATTAATTGGTTGGTTCAGTGAAGTCTAAAGAAACTGTTAGATAGTCGTTTTTATAGTCATCATAGGTGGCTATAAAATTATTTGGTTTTTTTATCTTTTCTTATATCTTTAAATGTAAATAGAGCCGTGAATTTTTTATTTGAAATTGATGGTTTTTAGAAAAGATGGATTCGGCGGTTGACCGTACGGCAAATAATGTTTTTGATGATACTGCGCATAATGGTTTGTTGTTTTACATTTTTCTTCATAAATTTTTGTTTTTTAATTAAATTTGCAACGCGAGAAAGTAGAATATCGGTTATGCGAGAAGAGAGCATTTTAAAGCATTTTCATATTACGATATCCTCAATTATTTGGCAGAAATAAAAGTTATAGGCTTTCGGTATATGAATTTTTTTTTTTAGAACTTTTGCTTCTTATCCAACATTATTTATCTCAAGGGCCTTGCAAACGAGCTGCTAAAGTCCTCAGGGATGAAATCCAACGTATTCAGGTATTTTTTGTTGTTTCAGTGCCTCATTCTGTTGATTGTCGTCCATTTTTATCTATAATTCATATATTAATTATAGCATCGTTAATTTCTATGGTAACTATTTGTTTATAAGGAAATATATTATTTCAAATTTTTCGTATAAATTTTATGATTAAATTTAATTTTAGTTACTGCCAGCACGTTTTGATTTTACTGGTGCCAGTCATTCTCGTGATATCAATGAATATGTTCGTTTTTCCTTCATATTATTATAACTATGGATATCGGTAAATGATAAGAAAAAGTAATAAAATAGATGAAAACAATTCTGATTGATTAAATAATTATTTTCATTCATCTTAGGAACGATTATTGCCAAATTTTCGTTCATCAATTGTTTCATATTTCGAGCGTTTGTTTGCATTGGTCAATGAATCAGTTCCTCCAATAGTTCGCCATCTACCTCTTCGTCTTTTCTCAAGCGCTGCTCTTTCGCTAAATCGAACAGATGGTGCTCTTTTACCCGAATTTTGTATGACCACAAAATAAATGAAAAATATTAATTCTTATAGTAATCGTCGAAAGTTATATTAGTGTTTCTCATTTGCTATCAATTTACTATTAGTTTGAAATATTTTGCCAATAGAAATTAATTGATGGGAAATTAATAGTTTGAAAAAGTTAAGTTACTATGCGTGAATTTTTTATGTGGATTTGAAAGTAAATGTTAAATGATATATCATCCTGTAAGCGTTAAAATTATAGACTTTAATGTAGCAACAGTTTTAGAGTTATTGAAACGAAAGCCATTAATGTACGATGCAGTTGCAATCAACTCAGCTGTGTCAGTTGATTCTGTGAAACTGCTTGCAGCTCGTGAATTATTAGGGCGTCGTGTTCCTACACGTCAATTATTGCATCATGTAGGTTTTTTACTGAGTGGAAATATTTATAAAATATATATATTTTTCTTTTTTATTGTTTTTCTGAAGAGATTACTCTCAATTTCTGCTTTGACAGACTAGACTGGCTATTAGGATGAAATTCTTTCAGCAAGAAAGTCATAGACGTAGGTTACCAGGGTTTTTTTATTATGCCATTAAAATCGTTTATTATTTTAGAATTCGATGGAATCTTTGGAATTGCATTGTCGTATTTGTGGTCATCTTTCATCAATTTTCTGTGTTACATTTGACCGCACTGGTCTTTTTGTTATAACAGTGACTTTTAGTTTCAAAAGTCTTTTTAGTTTTAGTTTTTAGTTTTTTGATTGGTTGGCTCATAAATGACACCAAATAGCTATCATTTACTATATTTTACATTTTAAAATCTACTTTATGCTTTATAAAGAAGGACTGCTAGATGAGCTATGAGATTTCTTTGTGATTTCTTTGTCTCTGATTTGAAGAAAAGAATTTCTTTGTAGGGCGCAGATGATCATTTGGTCAAAGTTTGGTCAGTAATGACTGGTTTGCTACGATTTACTCTACGTGGTCATTCTTCGGAGATTTCAGATATGTCAGTTTCCCATGACAATACTTTATTAGCGACGGGCTCTGTTGATAAATCAGTAAGGTAAGGTAAAAAAAACTTTTACTATTATGTGCATTGATAGATTATAAACAAAGTTAAAGTGGAAAATCAACTTTTTTATAATTAAAGGTGAAGGTAAAGTTCGAAGGAACGAAAATCATTTTTTTACCAGCATTGCATCTTATATTTAGATTAAATCCATGGTCTAAATTTATTCAGAATTTGGAATCTACAGACAGCAGCTACAATAACAGTTTTCTATGCCCACAGTGCTACAGTAACTCTCGTTTTTTTTTCTCCATTTATTTCTGGTAATCGAAGATATTTGGTATCAACTGGAGGTGACTGCGTTGTTAATTTCTTTGCCTATAATGCAGAAAATCATTTATTTGAGTTAGTGAATTTCCATTTTTACTATGATTACTATGATTAAAAATTGTTTTATCGTGTTGTAAAAAAGAACTATAAAGAGAGAGTCTGCGGTATGCCGTCATCAATGCTATCCTGTTCGAGTGCCTTTTTCCTTAAATGCACAAATCTCAATGTGTATTTTTGTAAGAGTTTTTCTTATCATATGTTATAATTCATTTTTTCAAATGCTGCGGTTACGTTAAATTTCCCACTTCCTTAAATTTTTCTTTCTCATCTCGAGGATTGCTTAATTTCGTCCTAACAGCCTTTCAAATTTGTTATTGTTTTAATATAACCAATCAACAATCTGCTATTCAACAATTACTTCATTGTAATACCTTAACATGTCTACTCCCCTATTACTATAGCATCGCCCAAAAGTTTCTCATAACATCTCGTATACCCTCGTTTTGCTGTTTGGTCTGGGCTGCAGTCACAGGTCGTGAAATTACCATAGAGAATATGCTAAGGATTAGAGGATTATTGACATAAGGACATACTTTATCAGTGATAATAGTATTTAATAATATTGTTAATGACAGAGCTGGAAACAGTTTCACCGGCTTTCGACTTTCACTCTTTTCTTCGTCTTTTTAAATTTTTCAAATGATTGGTTTTCAAATTTTTTTGAATACATATTCAATCATGTTTATTTTTAACCGATTCTAGTTTTGATATGGAGCGAAAAATTAAAAGTTTGATTGTATCTTTTCTTTTTTATGTGGTAAAAATTTTGGTGAAGTTGGATTCTATTTTTTTATAATCTTTTTATTAATAAATGTCATTTATAAATTTTAAAATTTTTTTAAAATTTATAAATAAAATTTATAAAATTTTTTTTCGGTTTTATTCAATTGTTTTTAGCGTTTCACCAGTTTCCTTTAATGAAAGAATGTCGCAAGGTGCACGTATTATAAGTTCGTCCCATAGTGTTGGTGGGAATTTCGTGGTTATGGGTGACACACATCGTTTTGTTCGAATCTATAAAATGGCTAGCGATGGAATTGAAAAATGTTTTGAAATAGAGGCTCATAAGGTATTAATTTTATTTTTTTTATAGTGACCATTGCGCCTTCGAAAAGACACTGATAATATAAAGGTAATATAAGACACTGATAATATAAAGGTAATATAAGACACTGATAATATAAGATAAAGGAAATAAGAACTTTCCATTAATTTCGCGTCTAGTTTTGGATCGTCAATTTTTGTAGTAGTTACTTTGATTCGAAACATTGAATCAAATCTAAAATTCTTTTATTACGCATTATTATTATTTATCATTGCAATATTAAGGATAGAGTTGATTCATTGGTCTGGGCTCATTCAGGATTGCAGTTTGCAAGTGGTAGTCGTGATGGGACTGCAAGAGTTTGGAAATTCTCTTGCAATGAATGGGAATCCTTAGTTTTGAGTATTGAGTTAGTTTTTTCTCCTTTTTTAAATGTATAAGATTTAGGCATGAATAATGTAAGGTTTTTATAATTTTTCGTAAAAGTGTAAAATTTTATTTTCTAATTTACATTTCAATAATTTTTCGGGAATTTTCAACTCACTGTATATAATTTCCTTTTTATTTTTTTATGTTTGTATTCCTTTCTTATTGTTTCATTATTAAGTGATACGAAGAAAAATGCAAATGGGCGAGGCTCTTATCGAGTAATAATGTTATGTTGGTCGTTGGAGGATGATATGATTATAACATCAGGCACTGACCATATTTTGCATTTATGGTGCCCTAAAACTGGAGCATCAAAAGGGCTATTAATTGGTCATAAAGATGATGCATATGTTCTTTTTTCGCATCCAGTTTACCGCGAATACATTATAAGTGCTGGACATGATGGCTTTCTAATAGTTAGTTTACCCTTTATTTCTTGTTTAAGGGTTTTAAATGCCGCGGATCATTTTCTTTCATTAAATGCTATTTCTCTTATAGGTCTGGCAATCAAATGTAACATTATAACATTTTTTCCTTTTCATTTCTAGCGATGAAATTTTTTAATTTTTTTTTGAAATATCAATTGGAGAAAATATTCAGTTATTTTTTTTCCGATATCTTGACTTATCAATCTCTGATTAATTATCTCCAGTTAAGCAAGGTATGCGTTAGTTTCTTTGACGGACATGAAGGAGCATGGCATAACCAGTAAAGAATATTTTATGGCAATATTATTACGACGTTATTCGTTCTCGTTCGTTATTTTTCTCTGCTCAGTTGGAAATGTATATTGGGCTTATAGAGGCTCAAATATAGAGGCTTTTTAGTATCGTTTGTTTCGCCATGCAAGTATATAGTGTGGTAAATGCGAATCCTGTTGGTGATTTCAAAAACTCAGTTCTTTGGAGGTTTTGCCAAGTGGAGGAAAGCAGTATCTAAACTGTGAAAGAATACAGGAACCCAAAATATTCAGATCCGACGTCTCTTTAGTCAGTGATGAATATATAAAATTTATTTTATCTGACATGTGTGAATAGCCTTCTCATTTATTTTGGTCGATTTTCGCTGTAATTTTCTATATAAAGTCTAGTTCTTCATAACAAAGACTGTAATCATCTTGTTCAGCATGTGTGATGCTAATATACTAGTCTAATTTATATCTCTTAAGCGAGAGCGAAGTTAATAATCCAGTTTATCGCGTAGATTACGCTGTAGAGAAGAGAATATGGTATTTCTTATTTTGGAATGATTCATACATACGGATATTGGTGATATTGATGTACGATAGTGAGTTGAATAACTCTCTCTGGAATATTGTTACAGTTTTCCCTTCAGGACGTTGTTCTTTAATCGAAAACAGCTGCAAAATAAATAAAACAAGTGGCAGTAACTGGATATGGTAGGCAAATTTCTCAATAGTTCTCATAATATATACTCAATATATGTTCTCAATTTCTCAATATATGTTAGGCTATTTTTCTTCAATACCAGTGAGTATATCCAATATTAGTTTTTAGTTATTAGATATTAGTTTTTTTGTTTTTTTTCAGGTATGGAATATCTACAAAGAAAATATCGTTAGAAAACATCAAAATATGATTGAAGGTATCGGTTACGGAGCCTTTTTTGATTGTGCAATTTCCCCTGATGGTACAATTATTGCCGCCGTGGATGCTCAAGGTCATCTATCAGTGTATGGTGTTGGTACGAACCAACTCGCAAAAACTACCCCTAAAGAACAATTTTACCATACTGATTATATGTTAGTTATTTTTTTCCCATCTGAATAAATAAAAAGTCCATCAATAATATGATATTTAATATTGTATGTGTCACATAAATTTTTTATTAGATTTTATTTATTGTTATATTTTATACTTTTTAGGACTTTGATTATGGATGAAGATGGCTTCTGTCTAGATGAAGAATTGGGTTTACCTCCACATTTGATGCCTCCACCAATTTTTGTGAATGCAGATGGCAATCCATATCCCGCTTTATACCAGCGTTTAGTGCCTGGACGTGACATACTCATTGATGTTAGAGATTTTAGAAAAATTTAGAAAATTATGTATATTTTAATAGCGTCATAAATAATATTACTGAATAATTTTTTCATCTAATTTTTTTTTGCCTTTCAATTTTTTCATAAAGAGAAAACTGATTTAAGTCGTCATTGAATGAAGTTTTGGAATCAGCCTGGATGTCAAGAATGATGGTTCAGTCTTTACCTGTATCAACAATTACCATTGAAATTGAACGTTTGAAACAACTACAAGAGTGGGAATGTCGGAATATTGAAAAGGAATGTGCAAGAAAGAAACCATCAGTAGGATTGCGCATGGAAAGATCTCCACAGTATTTAAATCGAGATGCACCAGTTAGGAGACGGGTAAATTTTTTGGTGATGTAATTTTTGCTATAATAAAACTTTTTGTTACTTTTGGTCTGCATGTAACATAAAAATATTCTGCTCAAGATATTCAACTCAATAGTTATTCAACTGTTCAGTAGTTATTATTTGTATGATATGTGCTTTAGATTTTTTTTAATGTTTTGTACAATTATTTTAGAATAGTGCTTCACGTCGCATTTCAGTCGCACAACAAGCTTCTCTGCAACAAACGAATGGTTTGCTAACATATTTTTAAATTATTTTTTTCATTTTCCGCGAAAGCTTTTTTTGCATTTCTATTGTTTAATAATTATTATTTCAGTAACAGAAACTTATGAAACGAATGCAGAAATAGCAGCTGAAGAGGTTGAAATTGATGAAATTATTTCCTCGTCATCGTCAGAAGATTATACGTATAGTTCAGTTTCTCCTCGCGATGAACATTCTGCATCATCAACAACTTCTTCTGAAGCTGACTTAAGTGAAGATGATGATAGCTTTGCCGATGATAGTGACTACCATGAACCGTCATCTCGTAGCCTAGTAAATTACTTTTTAGCCTTTTATTTTGATTTTTAGCAAATTTTTCTCATTGATAATAATTAATTTTTATAACTTTTAGAATCGTCCCAAAAGAAAAGGACATAAAACAAATATACCAGAATTTACTGAAACAAGACGAAGATCATCCAGGAAACGTCGAAATGTTGTTGTTATTGGTAATTGTTTTCATTTCCCTACCAAAATATTTTTGTTATTGGCGCGGTGTTTTTTTCATTATCTCAGTGCTTCTTTTTCTTCTAGCAGTTTGCATTACTGGTTGGTTTTGCTGCAGTGGCTATAAAGCTAACACGCCTGCAAGCTGCTTGATTAATTCCTGATTAAAACAAGAAGCCACTCCTTTTTTTACCGTCTAAGCCATATATCGCTGGATTACAAATTCAATTTCTCTTCTCACTATATCAGCTCAAATGTTAGCAAGTAGCGAGATTTGCTTCAATTCACATGATGGCCAGCAAAGAATATGACCTAACCAGTGTAGGCATTGCTCTATGGTGGTATTTTGAATATGAATAGTAAATGGTGTATGAGTAAAGTAATCGTGTGGGATCTTATCCGCTCGATGTAAAATGACATCTTAGAATGAATAAAATGTGTGGTGAAAGTTAGGTAACTTCTTAGTATCTTCCATTCCCATTATTTCATAGCTATTTGATGGGGATGGATTTCGAGGTAATTCCAAAGACGTTTTTGTCTGGTGAAAGGGTTTTATTATATTGATATGGCGTTACCCATGAGTTCTGACGTTCCACAATGCTACCAAGACGTTGCCATGTACACATGCTCGATGGATAATTAGTGATAATTAATCTCCTTTAAAAAAATAGTCTTGGCTTGAGCTCATTATATTCCCATATCTAAGAATTTCAGCTTATATACTTATTGCATATACCATCAGTAGATCGTGCACGTCAAAGGAACGCTATATCAATATAATGAGACTCTCTCATTATAGAGTGGAACTGTAGACATTGGAACTGTAGTGGATCTCCTGCAACTACCTGGAAAAATAAGTCAGGAATATTTTATTGAATTTTAAAATGCTCGCAAATTACTCTTTTTTCATTGTTAAAGCTTTTATATTTTTCATTTGCAAAATGGAACTTAAATTCTTATCAAACTACCACTTTTACCACTTTTATTTAATTTTCTAGTTCAAAAAATATTTATTAAATTCTAACGAACTTTTTATGAAATTTTAGATTTGTTTTTAGAAGATGATAATGACGAAATCCAACTTGACATTCTAAATTCCGATCAGCCGCAATCCTCAAACCAAGATTTTAATAGGATAGCAATTCCAATGAACGATGCCTGTATTGGTAAAGTTCGACGAAAAGTACAAGGAGAAATGGTTCAATTTCCGGAGTGGATGCGCATTGTTAAACCATGTCGTTTTCCCTATATAGCTCAAATTGGCGATAAAGTCGTATACTTTAGACAAGGTAATACGTAAATTCGCATTTTAAACATTCCCATAATAGCCTAAAAATTTGTTTTTTTTTGAAATTTATTTTTTTCATTCTTTCAAAAGATGGAGAAATGCAAAGGTTGAAAAATTCTGAAATCTTTTTGTTTTTTTTATATTTATCAGATCATAATTAGCTCGATAATCTCGATATTTTTTAATGGATTTTTATTTTATGCTTTATCTCATATTTTTTGCGTCCCAATTTTGCATTTTAGGCTTAATTTTTGTATTCATTTTGCTTAATTTTGTTCATAGGTCACGAGCTCTATCTCAGTGCCGTTGAAATGCTTCAACTTTATCCCGTTACACAGCGTATGCGCCCTTTAGCGGAGCTTAACGCGGAAGAATTCTGTGACGTTGTCGAGGTTTTTAAGAATTTTCTTAATATATAATATATATTAATATATATTCTCAACATTATATGTACTCGTAATATTCATATTCTTTGCATATATTATTTTTATGATTTCCGTTAAAAATTGGTTTGAATTACTAAAAATATATCTGGATCAATCATTTTTTTCCGTTTCATTTGAATAATTTTTTCGTTTTTATAAATTCAGGTAAAATATTCGAGAAAACCATATCGCTTGACTGCTTTAAAATTGCATCGACTGGAAGAAAATGGCACCCAAACGGGATTTGTCTTTTCCGTGAAGTGAGACGCTTTTTTAAAATATCTGTGGAATGGAAATCAAAATTATAGCTTTTGGTTGAATCGCAAATTTCTGAAATATTGTGATTAATATTAAATGAATTATGATACGTACTTTGTTCCTTTCCTATAGAGATCTTTTTTAGTTGTAAAAGTAAATTTTTCAGATTTCTTACTGTTTTGGTCCTTCCAATTGCAATACAAGTTCTATAAAAAACGTAAAGTATAAAATCAAACAATTAGTTTGCAGGTTTCACGATATGGATAATGTTCCAGATTTTATAATTCTCCGCAGTTTATACGATAGATCTGTGTCCCATCGATATCATCCAGGTAGTCGAATAGAAACTATCTTGGATAACCATTGGTGGACAGGAACTATCGATAAAAAAGAAGCTGAAGATGAAGAAAATTACCCAAGGTTTTCCCTTTTTGCACATTTTTTTGCTGAAATTTTCAATATGCCTTTCAGCTCGGGAAGTCATATCAACTTTAGGTCAAATTGGTACTGCATTATAGTTAAGTGGGATACTGGTGAGGACGAAAGAATGAGTCCGTGGGATGTAGATCCACAGCAACCAGGTCGTCGCTCAGGTATTTATTTAGTTCATTTTTTTTGTATTTCTCTAACTCTTTTGCAAGTTTCTTTATTTCTTTTTCTGATATTTCATTTAATTTTCTATTATCGTTATTCTGTATTATTATCAAAATTTTAAAAAATGCTAATTCTTTCTGCTTTCTTAGCAGCTGAGCCACGGTAAAAATTTTGATGATAATTTCTTTTCTTTCCTATTAATCCAACGAAATTTTAGGTATTGCAACAGAAAAAGATTTGATTGCTTTTGCCCAGCAACCCGTTTCCGATATAGAATGGCCCGATAATCCGAGAGGATTTGATGGCTATTTAGAACGTTTTCTAGAGGCAGTAAGGGAATTAGAAAGGAAACCTGAATTACGTCCTTTTATTTCACCTGTTAATCTAAGCAAATATCCGGAATATATCAGAAATGTCGATTATCCAGTTGATGTTGATACAATTATGATGCGAATGGTTAATAGATTTTACAGGTTATTGAACAAATTTAATTTTTATATAATTTTTATTACAGAATGATGGTAGCAATTCATCTGTGCTTTTGTCCTTGAGTGATAAAATTTGTTTTGAGAAGCGAGCATAACTGGCAAACTCCCAAAAAAAAAGCTTAATTTTTATTCAAAATCAAAAATTAGGTAAAAATTGAGCCACAGTAAAAGTTTTGAAAATTATGAAAATTTTTTTCTTTCAACATAAATCCAGCAAAATTTTCATGTGAATTTTGCTCTTAGTCTGTGCTCTGCAGTCTTTTAGGTTAATAATTGTCAAACCTCTGCGGGCCCTAAGATACATGCTTACTCTGGGGGTCTAATTTGAATTGTACTTATTTTATATGATTGGCAACAAATCTTTTTTGATGATTTATGGTAATGATCATTATGATGATGTTTATGGAAATTTTATTTAATTATTATTAGATGTCGCTAAATTATACTAATTATTTTGTGCAGTTTATTGTGTTTATGCCAAACCCTTAGGTAAAAAATATTTTAAAATTTGAAGATATGAAAATTTAAAAATACTGCACTAGGAGTTCATGCATTTTTATGGTATCATTTAGGAATTCCGTGAAAAAAAAAAAATTGATAATTACTGTTTTAGATATTGAATATAGAGCACAAAAATGAATAGAAAAAAAAGAAAAAAATTTGCTTACTTTGTTCTCCATGCAAGTGTAAGAATGTGAACATAAGTAAAATAGAGCACGGTGAATTTCCCATTTATACTATTAATTTTGCATTTCTGAAAAATTTGTGATTTGTTAAAGACAGCTCGACAGGTTTCGTAGAAAAAATCGTTTGCACGAAAAGAGTGGGAAAACATTGATTCTGTTGATTCCAAATGTTATTTTTAGACGTTTGTTAAGTCTGGAACAGGATATTCGCTACATCGCGATTAATGCCAATATTTTCAACGAACCTGGAAGCGAAATCGTACATAATGCTCGAGTGCTTGTGGAATGCCTTATCAGATATCTTAAGTAATTTTTTTATAAAGCTTTTTTATGGAATGGATTTTGAATTTATTAATTTATAATATTCTCACATTTTAGAGTTCCTAAATTTAGGCTTATACAGGTTCCAGTTCATTGGATTGATTAACAAATTTTATAGAAATACTGAATATTCTGATGTTCAAGAACTTTTCGATGAACTAAAAAATGGACCGATTACCGAACTTAAGGAATTCAATCATCATATAAATAAAGAGCTTTCTGTACAATCTAAAGGTGGAAGAATTAATAGACAGCGTAAAAATTCGTTAGGCAGTGCGTCATCTAACAGTAGTTTACAGTGGTTTAATGATTGTGAAAGAATTATGAGGAATCTTGTTTCTTTGGATAGAGCATCTCATTTTGTGTGGGATGAAAATGATCAGAATAAAGAAGTAAGAGATTTCTTCATTCATTTTTTGCCTTTTTAATTGAATTAAATATTGCTATTGATTTTTCTAGACATTACGATCTTTATGTGATGATGGTTGCATTGATTTAAAGAAAATGTTGGAGAAAATAATATCAATGATTTATACAAGTCCTCTTGAATTAGTTGCCGACTTCAAGCATTTAATGGAAACGTACCGAAATGTTCTCGATGATAAACGTAGTACAGTCAGTCATTTGGTTTTTTCCTAGCATTTTCTTGTACTATTAGAGCTTTTAAATTCTCACATTTTATTAGTATATAATCATTTTGTGTGGCATGATTCTACTTTTCATAATTAACTTATAGTTATTACACATATAGAGTAATAACAAAATCTAAAAGCCATTTATTAAAAGTGCTAAGTGCATAAATCTATTTTGCTTATGCTTTAAATAGATAATCATTTTAGACATTCCAAAACAGTTTGGTTTGCTGTGCCATGTTTGACAATGATATGGCACCAATATTGGCCAAATGGCAAAGAATGCACAATACTTCTCATGCTCAGTCCGAACATTGTTTAAGAAGACGTCCAGAAACATCCCATATATATAATACTCGAAGGTTTTATCATAAAAGAATTATTTTTTTTAATTTTTTTCTACCAATCTTATTGTTTTAAACTGAAATTTGACTATTTCAACTTTAGTTCGAAAAGAAAAATAAGATAACTGTAAAAATATTAGATTTTTAGATGCACAATTATAAAAAATTGAAGCTCTTTGCGTTTTTTTTTTAACCTTATTCAGATGATTAATCTGTATAACTGTTCTACTAAAATTATTTTAAAAATATTTTCATTTAAGTCGTAGTGATGGAATTGCTAATGGTTTATCATCTACATTACGTAGTTCGCGCACTGGACCTACTCCAAATGGTTATTATAGAATCTTGAATGATGGCGCCTTTCAAGCTGGTTTGCTTCATTTATGATTATGGAAGTATAATTGTATAATTTTTATTTTTGATTTTATTGACTATTTCAGTAGCTTCTTCATCTCGTCGATCTGATCGAAATTATTCAAATGTTAGCTGTCATGAGGCAGTTTCATCTCAGGCAAAAACTGTAGGTTTTCTTATGAACGCATATACACATATGTTCTTTTAAATGAAGCAAATCTCCATTCAACTAAAATTATTTTAAATGTGCTATCCATTTTTTTCCATGAACTACAATTAATTTTTTCAATGGAAATTTTAAATATTTAGAATTAAAGTGAATTATATAAGAAAAGTATTAAAGTGTATTCTGTTAGTATAAGCAGTTAGCGGTGACTCGCTCTACTGGTATTGAGTTTCTTTAGGTTGGAACCTTGGCTTATTCCTACCACTGGGAATTTTTAATGGCAGGTTCATTTCTATCGGAAGAATGGTCTGAATGCTAGTTGAAGCTAAAATCTGAACTGTAACCTTTCAGCTTTTTTTCTCACTTTCTATAATTTCATTGTTGTACGAGAGGCTGATGTGATCAGATCATCTATTGGCGAGGAAATTAGCAATGGTTTAGAACGATAGAAATGCCTTTCCTGAAAAAAAGGATGCCAGAGAACCATGAGAATATACACATACATCTTCCTGAATTTATTCTTCTTTGGGCTAGATAAGAGAGAAATAGCTTTGTACTACATTTGCTTAAAATTTCAGGAAAGTTCAAACACTAATCTATCACGGAGAAATGCTAGGTACTTTTTACAATTCTTAATTGTTTTGGTGATTCTCATCGAATGTTATGTTGCTTATATTTTGACAAGTAAATGATCCTTGACAAAATCCTAGTTTTTGGAATTTTTATTTATGATTAACCTAAAATATTGGATGATTTAGGAAAAACACTCAAGTGGAAAGCGCATCAACTGGAAACCACTTACTATTTGGTTATTTTATTTTATTTTTTCCAATGAAAATAAATTATAAAGAACTGTTTTATCAATCCCATATACATCATTTCAGAGGACTCTTCAGGTGAAGATTCGGAAGCTTTTGCTGGGAAATCTTCATCCAGGTTTCAAGTTTGAAATTTTTTTAGAATCTATTGTAAAAACTGTTATTCAAGCAAATAAAACGTAAGGACCTATTCAGTGATTATTTTTTATTCCAACAACTTCAAATTTTATTCCATTAAATTCCATTAATGTTTTCCATTAAATTTTATCAAATTCTTGAAGAAAATTTCCTCACTATACAAATGGGAATGATGAAACTGCAAATGCAAATGGTCGGCAATGTGGAAAAACAAAAAACGATCGCATAGACGACTCTGGTGATGATAAAAGTGATGATATTAAACAAACGTCAAATGATAGAGAAGAATATTCAAACAGCTCATCGAATTCATCAAATTGGGCGTATGTTGGAACTAGCAGGTATTCGAAATTTTGTAAAGTGATTTTATTCTTTAAATTTAAAAATTGCGGAATTTAATAATTAAAAATGTTATTGAGGATTTTTTTATTCTTTTATTTCCTTGTTTCTCCGTCTTTTGCAAAAAATCTGAAAAATAATCTTCAGGCGGAATACACGAAGGTCGAAGGTCAAATCACGTAATATTTCTAATTTGCAGCGGCAGTCAGATTGTTGTTTAAAATCTACGTTTAATGAATCTTCCAGCGAGAACGAACTATCTTCATCGTTGCTCTGCGCTACTAGAAAATCTTATGAAAATGATCGTGCTATAAGTGATTTTGATGGAGGGAATGCTACATCCTCGATATTTCGGACTACTGTTAGGTCACGCAAAAGGTATCGTGCCATTAGTGAATCCGACAGTGAATATGAGTTACCTTCAATGCAACGGAAGAATAAGCTACGCAAGAAAAATTCTGTGGCATTTGAGTCAGATTGTGAAAAGAATAAATCACGCAAAAGTAAAGTGGTTAGTGAATCGAATAGTGAAAATGGGCCATCTTCATCAAGAAGATGGATTAACGGGTCCAGAAAAAAGAAACTTGCTGATGAGCCTGATAGCGAGTCAAGTGCAACTGCATCACGACAATGTTACAAGACTTTAACTTTGCAAGACAGAAAAGTGCAATTTAGAGACACAACTCCAGTGCATCGAATTGCTAGGGAAAGATGTTTAGTTAAAAATTCACGTCAAGATCTCTATGATGCCAAAGAAGAAGGAAGGCCAAGACGAAGCCACAGGCAAGAAATTAATTATAATGAAAATGATCCATCGGACGACGAAAATATGACTAACATCAAAAGCAGAAGTCGTCTGAGGAAATGTCCAAGGTAAAATTTAATATACTTTATGATAATCATAAAGAGAAACCGTTTAAACCGTCGAACCGTTCCCACATCAATCAATTTGACCAGTAGTATGGGGTTTCTCATTTTTACATTCTCTGTTGCTGACCTCATGATTTTTGCGAATTAAGTCCTGTTTGTAAAAAATTGAAAATTTAAATTTTTGTCAATATAAAATGTTTGAATTTGCATTGGGAGATAAAATAAAATAGTCAAGTGGGCTATAATTTCCGAATATTGATTCCTATTCTAGACAAGAATAAACCAGTTGATGCTGGTGATTTATTTGCACTTCTACCGCTAAATGACCCTTTGGTAAAGATTGTTGGTCCGACAAAAAGCAATCAAACGTGCCTAACCAGAAATTACCAGTGTTCCGCTGAGAAAAAAATAAGTGAGCTATTCATGAGCCTAAATTTTTTATATAAATAAAAAATGTTGCCGTTTTTATTGTTAATTTTTTGATAATTTTGTGGTTGTGGTGAAATTTGCATATAGATATTTTTCAAATGAGATTTCAATGTTGATTGTTTCACGATCAAAAATTTTATTTCTATTTTTCGTATAAAAATATATATATATATAGTACTTTTAAACGTCTTGTGTTATTATTGTGTTATTCTATCTTGATTCATAAACAGCTAATGATAGGAATTAGTGGCCAAGGCATAAAACTCAAATTAACAAAGTTGTTTATTTTCCATTTTGAATTGTACATTTTTTTATATCACATTATTAATGTCACGTCTTTCATTAATATGATATCTGTTTCTGTTGGAAATGAAAATTTTTAAAATTGTTGTGTCCATGTCCATGTTTTCATGATTATCACCAGAATTTGCTAGCAAACCTTACTTGTTGATTCGACTGTAGTAGAGAAAAATATAGGTAAAAGATGATGGTTACAGAAGATTATAGATGCAGGGTAAACGAAGTAGATTTTAGGCTGGGTACAACGCCTGAGGGACAGAAAAAAGGAATAGGGCAGGTTATTAACTTAAGCGAAGTTTATACATAAAAATGAATTTAAATCCATTGTTCGATTAAGAAATATGAGATTGCGATACTGGTGGATTTCTACTACACTACTACATACCATATAGTTTGTATGCTTTAATGAGTACGTGGAGGGAGGAATGCTCATATAGAGATGTGCATAATAATGGGAAAATATTTAGGATAATGTTTTCAAATTGTTACCAGAAGCCAGTGCTAACTCCATAATGGCACTAAGATAGGCTTTATTGGCCTTTTTCACTTTTCAATAAATTCTTATTCCAAGCAAATTGTTTTTTATAAATTAAAGTTTAATTTTAAAGGAAAAAACTTTAATTTCTGTAGCAATCAGTAGGAATGATTAGAAAATACATAAAAGTTAGAAGGTTCTCAATAATATTTAATATTAGTGTGAAGAAGCAAAAAAACGAGAAAAATTGGGACAATTATCATAAACGAATAATTAGGCTAGATCACGTCAAGTTACGAAAGTCAAGTGAAGTTTTGGCGATATTAAAGGACCATTATTGGTGTGGAACCGAATGGTCCTTTAAAAGCACTTTGGCTTTGATCTGGCGTTTAGCTTCATTCAAAAAGACTCCACCGAAGTCGATAATGTCCTAGAATGCAATTCATTTTAACGAATATCAAGATTTTAAGAAGTATGGGAAATAATTAATTGCTAATTAAAAGGATTTAAAACCAAGCAGCGGCAGTGGCACACATTCGAATAGGCGCTAATTGCAAGTTATTGTACAGGCTCTAACAAAAAGGCTCTTATGGACGAGTTCAGTTTGAGCTTGAACTTGGCTATACCCTTTTATTCTTGCAAAATATGCCCCTTTGTCTGCATCTGCGTTCACACTTTCACTGCAGATTTTATAAGCATTATAGGAACAGAACAAGGCTGTATGGAGTTAAGAAACAACTGGGTCTGTGAATATTAGAAAGACGGGAAGGGGTTTAAGTGAATATTACTAGTGAATTAAAGGAGAGCAGCGGGGATATCTGAGGATAACACTGGGATTTAAACTGTTAAGGCGATAATTTAAATAGTTTGAGGAGGATATTTTAACAAAATAATAGAATTAAGGGATAATATCAATATCAAAGAATGATGGACCGAGATTTCGCAATCCTGTAGCCTACTTTCGAATACACTGCATTTCATTATATTGGAAATGAAATGCAATCACAGAGGTTTATTGTAAAAAAATGGTTTATGGCAGAAGAAATGAAAGAATATGTTGAAAAAAAGGATAGTATAAACCAAAAAAGCCTGGAAAACGAGAATTGCCAGCGTTTGCGATGTTTCGAGCGGTTCTAATAGGGTTTTGGAGGATATGGTTTGTTAAAGATATGAACGTCCTGTTTGCTTACTGCCATTCTTTTCGTGCCTTTTATTCTTTGGCATGGTATAAGTGCTGTTTTTATTTTATTTTAATTTTAATTTTTTGTTGAAGTATGATTTCGGTTTTTTTCGAAAAGTTCTCGGCATATTTCAATGTTCACTATTCATGGAAAAAAAGTAATGAAAAAAAATTAACAAAAATAAAATGAATGAAAAGCTGGCAAGATGAATCAATATACATAGATTTGTATTTATGCGCTATTTTTCTGGATTTCAGTCAAATTTGCTCAGCTTTTTACTACTTTGCTACCTGTTTTTTCCTTCTTTACAAATATTTTGCTGAAAAATAATAAAAAGAGAAGAAATTTTTGAACAATCAACAAATATTTTTTATAACAAAAAGTGTAAACGAAAGTCTAAAAAATTTCTAAAAAATTTTTTATTTTCTATTTTCTTATTTTGAGATACTTTTTAATATTTAATATGTTTTGCAGTAAATAATTTCATATTTTTATCAAAAGTCTTAACCAAAATATCACGAAAATCTTAAATATTAAAAAATTAAGATTATATAATCGCCATCGATCTCCCCGCTTATAACCTCTCCATTTATAGAAACTGGTTCGGTTCATAAATTTTTTTTCATAAAAGCTTGGATTTGGAATATTCTTTAAGACTGACATCATCAAAAGAACGAAATATTTTTCCATGAAATAATTTTGCCTGAACAAATGGAAATCAGAAGGGAGAAGTTGTGGTGGATCAATATTCAATATTCCGTTATTTCTTGGTGCATGCATTTATTTTGCATGTTATACTTTTCTTTCCGGTAATTTCCACGAAGTTTGCTCCTGAAATCGAACGAATTGTAACGTTCATCCGATAAAATCCGTATCCGTAGAGAATACGATGCTACAAATGTTCCTCGGATGGTACAGATGTAAATTTATTATTGAGTTAATAGACGATCAAAATTAACTAAATGAAAAAACTATAATGCCGCACTATTAAATGAATATTAGAAAAGATGTGATCTTTTAGCGAGAAGAAAAATTCTTAATCAAAATTTCCTCCCGAAAGGCGTTATTCATTATTTGAACTCGTATACTCGGTATATACAGTAACGTACTCGTAAATCCGAATCATAAATCTAGAAACCATGAAACTTGGGTCAGGGATTGGGGCGATAATATCGGTGCATACTGGAGAGGTTAACGATACTTTGAGCGAAGAATTCGAAACTTATAAGCTCACGATAAATCACTTCACTTCGATTTAATTCCGGCTAATATTTTCTGCTGTTTTGTGCAATACTATTATGCAATACAATTTTAAATTATTGAATGAAGAGAATCTACTAAAACTGATAACAAATCAAACCTCAAAAGGGCTTTAAAATTCATCCGTAGTTCATAATACTTTTGATTTAATTCAGCATCTGAATTTTAAAATTCTTTTATCTTTAACTTAATTTTTATCCATTCATTATTCATCTTTTTCATCTTCAGTTAAAGAATATGGATATCTGATTATTCGAGTAGAGGAAAATAATCAAGCGATTTATCAAATGAGATTATTTGAGTTTGGGAAAATATTCAAGATGGGATCGCATCTACTTTTAGTTGAAATCTATAAAACTTTTTTAGAAAATCACTAAGAATATTTAATTCATTAGAATGCAGAAATTCAGAAATGCAGAAATTTGTATTTTGAATGAATATATCCATTCAGTAATATATATTTATTAAACTAAGTATCTACGGTAGCCATAATGGATATCGTATGCGGCAATAATTCTGAGCATTGCAGCTGAACAAATTACGGGTAGTTGTTTGTAAAATTTCGCTCACAAAATCGAAAATTTATTTCCAATATTCACGTATAGAATCCTTTATAAAGATATTTAAATTCTCAGATCATACTGGATTAGACCATTCATCGAGAATTTTACATGCTTTACATCGTTTTTCTTCTTCAAATTCTTCAGATTACTAGTGAATATGGTGAATCTTTTTTCAGATAAAAATCTTTAAATTTTGTATTTTAAATTAAATTTTGCATTTGAAATTGCATTACCGATATAAAAAAAATTTTAAAATTCTATTTTAAGAGATTATAAATGAGAAAATTTGCACTTTCGCCACTGTCTTTAAATAAAATTTATTATAATTGTTATTTGCTTTTATGAATCATTAAATATATGTTTTATGTATGCATTTTTGCCTACATTTAAATGTATACATTCTTAGATGATAAAATAGCATGGCCAGAAGCACCTGAAAAATGCCTTGGAACACGGCTTTCGAAACAAGAACGAAATAGAATTCTCAATTTCCACAATCAAAAGCGTTCAGAATTGGCACGAGGTTTAATACCAAATAAAAGTGGAAGAAAAATGCCAAAATCTAAAAATATGAGGTCTTTGGTTGGTATCCTTTTTCTTTATTTCTTCAGGATTAGATGTTGAAAGAATTTATTCGAGAATCAAAACTTTTCGATTATCGAAATTTAATTTGTATTTGTTTTGTAGAAATGGGATTGTGATTTGGAACTCCTAGCGCAGGAATGGTCCGAAGATTGCTTTTATAAAAATTCGCCTAAAAGCCTCCGTGAAAATGCAGGTGAAAACATTCTCATGATTGCGAATTCAAACGCAATGAATCAAAGTAAATTTGAATTTTATCAGTTATTTTAAAAAACAACCAACCGAGGCTAAGAATGCCATTTGCAATAAAAAATAAAATAATAAATAATCAAAAAAACAGAAAAAAAATGAAAAATGAGAAAAAGAAGATTAGCAAAAACATCGAAATCGGTTAGAGATATCTTAATTAACTTTAATTCCTTGTTGAAAATATCCTTGAGTAAAAGTTCTTCAATAATCTATTCCAGCAGTGAACTGCACGAATTACGATCATTAATTTTTATGGATTGACTATGCGCTATTTCCGACTCCTGACGACCATATAGATAGATGATCTCTCAGACAGCCTATCCCTAAGTGTCAAATGTTTTTCCATATATCAATGAAAAATCAAGAAATTCTTCTTGAAAACCATGGATACACTGGAAATCGGCTCAAAGCGACACTGGATTTAAATTGCTCATTGGCTCTGAATGTTACTGAATACGTCGTCCTCTTTTTTTCTTTTTTTATGCCATTTTGCCATTCCCAACAATAGATGTTTTTCGAAAAATCTGAAAATTCGCTTATATCTAAAATAGAATAATTTGAGCCTGGTTACAAGTGCCTTTAAAGTGATTTCTGGTTTGATTTGTTCAATAATCCACCGGTTTATTTATTTTCTCAGTTGACCATAGCTCCATTCTTGGGGACTCAGTGAGTTGTTGCTCGATTGGGAGCTCCGATGCCGATCTACCGCAGGAGTAAACATAAACCTGTACAAAAATCCGGATGATACTGGCCACTCACCTATATCGCCAAGGGACTCCATGGCTCAATGTGACAAGCCACTGGAGCAAGTTTAACCAGCAATAATGAGGACTCTTTAAAAAAAAAGTAGCTCCATTCTTAGGAGTCATTCTCACCAAAAAGCATCATTACTGTTCCTATTCTGTTTCCTTAAAATTCAAATCTCGCATCCATAGAGATTTGAATACCATAGCTTGCATAATTCTAATCTTTTCATAGTCGCATCACGGTATTTGAACTGCATCTTTTTCAGTGCCTTTCCAGAGTTAACCTCTTTTCTTGTTAATATTTGAGTAAGGTAAAATTATCTACTTCGATGTACTGTTTGTCAATTTGGTTCTTCCATCTATGGTCATTAGTCTTTTTTTTACATTCTTATTTTTCATTTTTTCCCCGTGCTCTTCACTTTTAAAGCCAGGACTTGGAATTTCAACTATTAGGGTAGTGTCATCAGCGTAGGTTTTCTTTTTTCTTCTCTTCTCTAATTTTTCATCTTCTTCCAAACCAGTCTCCCTTGATATATAATTGCCATATAAAAAAAAGAGGAATGGGCATCCTTATCACGCTCCTTTATCAACATTTATCAACCTGGAGCCAGTCTATTTCATATTCTATCCATATTGCGGTTTCTTACCTATACATAAATTTCCCTATACATAAGGATGATAAGGCGTTGAGAGTTCCCACTTGTCTGTGAATGCATTGCATAATTTAGATGATCGGCACAAAAACTTTCTCTATAATCGATGAAGTCTTCTTTTTGGTATTGTTTCGTTTTTGCAGTTATCCATTATCTCAGCAATATCTCGGCAATACCTTATCTCAGCAATAATGTCTCGTATTCCTTGGCATTTTTTAAAACTAATTCTGGCAACATTTTCTCGATATAGAAGCTATAATCTCGATATAGAGTGTTGTTTTGGTTAGGCTTAGGTCTATAATCTAAGTTAGAAGATGGAAAATTCATAGCATTATTTTGCTTGTATGCAAAAGGATATTAAAGGATGGTTTGCGCACTTTATTAAGTTTCATTTTTATAGCGCTGATATGTAAATTGATCTTTTCCAGTCGGTTGACCACTATTTTGTTTTTCAGATTTCCCGGTGGGTTATAACATTGATCGATTCTTATTGCTTGTTAAATTTCATTGGGCATTCCATCAGATTCTGTAAGTTTCCAACTTTGCAATGAAATGATCTAATTTCATTTTCTGGTGCTCCGGTATTTCGGTAGTCACTTGAGCTTCTTGCGAGTGAGAAATATCAACTATACTGTCTTGGATTGTCATTTGTGCCATAACTTTGGTGTATCCCTTCCATCTTCTTTCGATTTCAATTGAATTGATTTCTACCCGTCCATTGAAGTTTTAACATATGAATGCACAGTTGGAATCTCCACTGGAATTGAGAAATCTTTTAGATTTTTATTTTTACATATTTGGTTCCATTTTCGCTACCTTTACAAATGTTATGACATTGTTTGTTGTTCCTTCTAACGGTCTCTGAAACTTTTTGTTAGGTCCTCTTCTGAGATTTTTGTCTTTTTTGGTTTCTCGATTTTAAATAAACAAAATAAACGATTTTTTATTTCCACGGTTCGCTTAATTTGCTTAGTTCGCATATAGTTTGTTTTTTTTCATTTTTTATAGCCACTTCTCAAATTTATCTTTACTAAATTCTTAAAGCCCATTCCATAGTTCCTCTGGTTCTCCAGCCGTGAGATTAAGGACTTTGTTTCCTGATGTTTTCATTGAAAATTGTGATACACATTCAAGATTATACTATGGGAACTATTTGGCATATTTTTATTTTAATCTAGATTTTGCATATGAATTTGTGATCTGTTTCACAATCATCATCTTGGAATATCACTGATATTGTTCCTCCACATCTTCATTTTAACAATAGTTATTTGGTTCCTATGTATTCCATATATATTTGTATTTATAATACATAAAGAGTGTTGTTTTGGTTAGGCTTAGGTCGTTAAAGAAATTGAGGATAAGATGTGCTTTCGAGCCAGAAAAATTTCTCAAATCCTGTCAAGAGAAATATCCGTCAACTATCCGTCGGCCTTCTGCACACGCGGAGAGATGTTAACCGCAGTAGAATAAGTGTTGATTATATCTTCACTGTCGCCACTGGAAGAATTAAATGATCGTTCCTATAAGAAGCGCTGAAGCTGGTAACCTTCCTGGATCATTTTGATTCCAGCTAAAATCTACACAAAACTGACAACAAGAAATGTCTCAAACTGAAAGATTCGAAATAAAGTAACTCAATAATATCAACGACATCTCTGGAACAGAAAATGAATACTGGTCTAAAATAAAGGTATGCCTATGAAAGTCAGCTTTGATATGCTACTAGGAAATGCGCTAGTTGAATATCGAAAGCAATTATCCAGCTGTCTGAAAAAGTTGCCAAAGCAGAAATATATGGGATATTTTAAAGAAACACGACGACAGTAGCATGGCGAGATAGCTACTGAAACAAAATGGCCTTCAAAATGGAGACGGTTGTTTGGTTAGGTGAAAATAGGAAACTATTTCGCTTTCTTCACAAAGCAACTATGGTTTTGAGAACAGTCATTGCCGATTGAGGAAATGCCCGATTTTAAATATTTTCATCCACTCTACTCTAATTCTAAATGGCGAGGCAAAAGAAGAAATTCAATTCGGTAACGGTAGCCAGGAAAGCGTTTATTCTAGTTAGTGAAATCTTTATGGAGCTGTCACGAAATCACCATCAAAACGAAAGTCTGAGTCTATACAGCTGCAATTCGCTCGACTTTCTTATATGATCTTGTTATATGCAAGATATGGCCATGGCTATGAGTGTGGAAGATATTACGAAATTATCTACTTTTTACCACTTATATCTAATAAAGATTTTACGTCGAGCAGATAAAATCTCACATGATTGCATTCACCTCGCTCAAATACTCTACATTAATAAAATATCATATAGCGTCGTTTTCGCTGGTTGGAGCATATTCTTCGTCAGCCACCACAAGAGTTGATATATTTCGTTATTTGTGATAGATGGCATCAAAAAGTAGGAAGGCTAGTCAAGAACTTGGGCTGATGCAATCAGAGATTTTCAACATATGGACCAGCGATATATGGACTTTGACGATGGAAAAAGGGATGGCCTCTACTGTCTGCTGGCATCAGATCGAAAATATCTCCAGTGGAATTAGCTAATGAGACATGGTGAGAGCTGTTAGAAGAAGAACACCATTCTTCTTTACTTTTTACATCCTAAATAATAAACGATATGATCTTCTGACTGAAAATGTCCCACCCCAACGCATCTCAGTTCGTTGATGTCTATGATGTCAGTCTGTAATTATTTAATTTCAATTTTACCATAATGAGTTTATGCTACTTCCTTACTATAGTAAAGAAATTATCTTTGCGATTTCCTAAAATTCGATCACTGATTTTTTTCCTGTCTGGCAACATCAACAGCCAGACATTTCGAAGATCTTAATCAAGCCATAAGCACCACTGCATTGCGAAACCACCTTAACTCTTTTTCGGTGGTATGTTGAATGCCATCATTCAGCACCATATCATCAATCGTTTATTTCCTATATAGTTTCCTTGAAGATTATGCAAAAGTGGTTTACCACTGAAACGATGTTTCTGCTACTGTCATGGAAGTAATCAAAATTATTTGACCATTTTCATCGCAAAAGTTAGCTATGTTATAATTTAACAGGCAATCTTCTGGAGAAGATGATGCAATATTGGTGGAATCAAGTTAAGACAAAGGATGTCTCGAATACTTACAAGGCAAAACTGGCCGATTCTTTCACTCAGGTTATTTCTATCTTAAAATCATCTTAAATTAAAGGAATAAAAAACTGATTATCTGAAATCCGTGTTTCATAAATAAGTTTATTCATTTATAATAAAATCCTCATTAGCAAATTATGAATGAAAAGATATGAAAAGGCTGCAAGTTTTTTATAAAAAGTAAGTAAATATATAATAAAACAAAAAATGCCTTACTAAGGTTAATTATCGAAAATTTTAAGATGGCATGGGCAGAAACAGAAAAAATTGGATGTGGAACCTCTAAATGTGATGAGAATGGAAAGTATAAACAATATTTAGTATGTCTCTATGATCCACCGTATGTTTCCAATCAACAAATATGATAATTTAAAATAATTTAAAAATGCTTCTTCTTCTTTTTCCCTTAATAGCATTCACCATCTCTACCTTAGATGGTTTTTTGAAACACTAGAATGATAACCATTAGAAAACCACTACGAAATAAAATATAGATGTACGAAATATTTAACTGCAAAAAGATCGAATCTTTAACAGTTCTTAATCGACATACCATACCAATTCAAAAATTGCAAGATTTATAAAGTTTACTATATTGCAGTGGAAACCAAAAAGATGAACCAGTCTATATGGAAGGCGAGCCTTGCACGCTATGTAGAAGGTATTCTGGTTCAGTATGCCATAAAGATCTATGTGTTGGTGGTGAATCAGGTAATTAGGACCAGTAGATTCTTTTAATTTATTATTATTTATTATTATTATTTTATTAGGTATGCTGTGAATATTTGAGTAAAATTGAATAAAATTTCAAAAAAATTTTTTGTAATTATTATAATTATTTTTGTAATTATTTATGTGATGGGAATGGATATTTCAAAAATATTATAACGGATTTAAATATTATTATAATAATAATATTTAATAATAATGATATTTAATAATAATAATATTTAATAATATTTCCAAGAATTTATCTGTTATTTATCTGTTATTATTATTTGTTGTTTATTATTGTTATTTGTTATTATTTGTTATTTATTTATTAGTTCCAATCAAAAAATATTGGAAATATTGAAAAATAATTTTTCTATTTTCATTATTGTTGATTTTTTTCTCTATAATAATTTAATCCTTTTTTTTCAGTTAACAGATTTATAAATTGAAGTTGGAAAATACTGAGAAAGTCGGAAAAAAGCGAAAAGAAAATTAAAATTTTGTGGATGCAAATTCATTAAAAATTTTTTATATACTAGAAGTTGTGTTGCGGAATAAATTTTGGAAAATATTAGTTTGTTTTACATCCATTTCAATTGGCCTTTAACGTAATACCCGTATACATCGTAATACATCGAACTTTGTCCCGAAGAGTGGATATTGCAGTTTAACTTCAGACAGGACCGCAAATTTATGAGTAACATGATTAGCTGTTGTGCACATCCTTATAGTGCAATTAACTCCCTGTGTCGAGTATCACGCTTTATCACCAAAAGTGAAATCCTGTTGGCCTTCAGAATTCGTGCGTTTCCTTTCCAAATAAGTCCTTGGCGAAAGGTTCTTACTCCGATAATCAATTGAGTCAACAGTAAATAAAACGTATAAATGTTAATTTTTTCCAACTCATATGCTTTATATTGCCAAAATTGCTAGAAATCGTAGATTATAGTGCATTCTGCTGCTTCATACCTAAATCGATTCAATAGAAGAGAAGCGACAATTTGCCAGAGATTTCTAATAAGCTAATTTTTCCAAAAATATCACAATCTTATCAAATGTCCTACCATTCTTGGGGATTGGCAACAAGATTAATCCAGTTATCTGGTATACTTTTCTCCATACCAGAGAGTATACCTGTTGAAGGTTGGAAGCAACATTGGATAACAAGATTTGAAAAACTCCACAAGATTTCCACACGCTGGAAGACCGAAATTTTATTGCCCTTAAGCTTTTGAATGATAATTTTTCTCTCTTTTGGCCACTTAGAATTATATGGCTGGATAAGCGTTTTAGAATGGCTTATTCCGTCAAGCGTAACAATCTTTAAGAGCTTTAACATGCACATTATCATTGCTTTGGCCGGATCATTTTAAAGGCTTTATACTTTCAGATATGGAAAAAAAGATACCAGAGAACTGGTATCTCAAAGGATTGGTAAAATATTTGATAAGCTTGTTAACTTTGTTTTATGAATGAAGCGAAATATCTCTTTATTGTTGCCAATTGGCCGTCGATACAAATTAATAGCCATCACTCCAATAATGAATTCTGTCCCGTCGTATAGCTATTCCTACATGTTATCGAGGTCCGATATCCATATGTGTTCTGTGCCGATTCTTTTCAGACAGACTATTGCCTCCGATAGCCAACTAACGCATTTCTGTGAGGTATCCTAGTGCTGATTTGAGCGACATTCGGAGAAACTGCTTTAACTAAGACAATTATTCATCCGCCGTTCCAAAGATGTCCTCGATATTTATATCACTGCGCTATTTTGATAATTTCTCTTCAAGTGTGTTACCATCCATTCTTTTAGCTTAAGTTAAAGGAATGCACTATATCCTGTACCTTATCAGTTTCAGATCTTGACCAAAATATGGTATAATCGGTGAAGCTTCGGCGCTGTTCTAGATACAAATTTTTCCACCGCTGATTGATCAAGATGTAATCAATCTGTCTGGAATGTTGATTGTCGTGAATTCCATGTGATCTTCAATGGTAGAAGCACGCATAATAAAAAGTCCATGCTCCATGTTATTCGGCAAGGTTCTCCATTTGCGAATCGAACTCCAACGCCACACATGTTATAACGGAATTATAACCTAATTATAAACTTTTAGGCTAAATTAGGAAAAAAATAACCTTATCATAACCTAAACTTCTAAAATTATGACCATGTGACCTTTCGGATATTATGAACAGTTGAAGTTCCTCACAAAATCTACCTTTATCAACGCATAACTGCGAATAGCTGCATATACATATACATTGATGACTAAGACAATGTAAAACCGCTTACATGCAGTGAACCGAGCGGATAGAGCTCTTTCAGACATGATAATCAGTGTGCTGTATAGTCAGCGTTTTATCCGAATCATCATAATCATTACAACACATTGGCTCATACACTATCTCTACATCGAATTAGATATAATAATTGCTCAATGTAAGAAATGAGAGAGGCGACTTTCCGGCAAGCAAGTTAATAACTACAGTATATTTGCAGAAAGAATGGAAAATAGTGGTAACGATAATGATTCGACATCTATGAACATTCCACGCTCCCAAGAGTGTTCACAGAGGCTGTGGAAAATTGTCCATTAAGGTCCCCATTAATGAGTCCCAAACAGTCATCCTGATTGGGGAACTTATTCCATCCTCCGTCCTAGGAATCACTTTCCCAATCTCCTTTGCATCTCGCACCACCACCCTGGGGACATATTAACATCAAACCCGAGGACAAGATATTAATATAAACAGAATCTTCCACATTAATCATTTCGAGAATGTAGACGGATCTTGAGCAGTCATCCTAATTTCAATTTAATAGATATATTCCAATCTAAAGAAGAGATAAGCAAATTTTGCAACCACGAAGACGACGAAATTTAACAGATAGAAGTTTATTACTTATTAATGTTAATCGACAACCCCATACATATCCTGTCTATCCTGAGATTAACTTATTTCCCGGGAATAATAACGCCCACCACATCCAAAAAAACTAAGACACCCTAAGTCACCTCACAACACTTATACAAGTCACTGACCTCATCAATTATATCTAGCCAATATTCTTTGGGGAATCAATAATTCTATTATCAGAGGAATAATTCTTTTGGGAAATCTCCAACGAATATTTAACATAACAAAAAAAAATTTACATTTACAATAACATATTGGAACAATTTTAAATAACTTCTGAAAAAAAACCAAACAAAGACTTCTCTTTCGATAAAATGTAATATAGGAGGTTGTATGTTTTTATTTTATATTTTATTCAATTTCTTCAAATTTAACAATGAAATAAAAGAAATTGAAATTTTATGAAAAAAATAACAAAATTCAACTCTTTTGCAGGAAAAAAGTCATTTAATCATGATTTACAGTCACTTCAACATCCACACCAGGTTCGATCAATATACTAGTGATTTGCTTCAGGACATCACTAGGACTGTGCATATTGATAAGGCGCTTATGAATTCGCATCTAAAAAAGAAAAATTATTTATTAAAGGAAAATAAATTAAAATAAATTAGGAAACTAGGGAATCGTAAACTTAAAAATTAAAATATTATGCAATAAATTTCATGAACTACTTTAATGAACATTAAATTTCAAATTTCAATTTCAAAATTCAAATTTCAAAAATACCTGAAAATGATCCCAAGTTTTGGAACCTTCACCACAAGGCGTTTTACGAGTAGTTATCCGAAGTATTTTTGTCGGCATTCTAATTGGACCTTTTACAACTAAACTTTTTTCCTTGGCGCCATTCATTAATTGCTCGCACACTAAAGGCCTGATTCATTATTCCTATTTACTTCAATTTGCTGGATATGCCTTATTCTTTCAAAGTAAGTTTCAACTTCATGATAATTTCACAATATAAACTGCACTATAAGATAAGCAGGCCGATGAAAAAAAATGTAATAAGCAAGAAGCGCTCACCTTTTTCAAGTGATGAGACATTTTGCGAGGTAAGCGTAATACGAATACGATGCTCTGTTTCATCGGTGGCTAATGGTTTTTCAGTTTTGTAGGGAATATTAGTCTACAATATTTACATATAAATATATATATATATATATATACATAAAAGATTGAATTGAACAAATAATCTTCTACAAACAATTTACACCATTATTGGTTACGCTGGTCCAATGCTACAAGGGTAACACGCTTCCAAACGGCGCGTCTGATGCCATCGTCGATAGTAATAGAAGTTATTCCTTATCCATCTTCTAAGTCTATATATTGCTGCTGGTTCACCGATATGTTCAAAATCTTTTCTGACCGTATCAGTCCAGCTTTTGACTGGTCCTTCTCGTTTTTCATGCCATCTAACATAGCATATAATGAAATGTGCGTCAACTCTTGATGGGAGATATGTCTTAACTAGCGAAAGCAACGCTTTATGATGGCACTGTTAATAGCATTTGAACGAAGGTGAGTGCGATCATGTGATATTTTATCCGGACTTCTTAATATTCTCCACTCTTATTGGCCATGCCTCATATAGCAAGAGCCATAAAACAAGATCGAACGAATCGCGGCTATACAGACGCAGACTTTAGTTCTTTTTTGGTGATCTCGCGACGGCTCCATAAAGGTTTCGTCAATTGGAAGAACAAATTTCTAGCTGCCGGGTTGTAATATCTTTTGCTGACCATTCGGTATTAGAATGGATCCAAGGTATTTAAAATCGGGCACTTCTTCAACCCGCAATAAATTTATAAAAAGAGGAAATTTTTCAATTTCCTGTATATAAGACGAAAAGACTTTCATTTTATTTACATTGATTCCGAATCCGATTCTCGCTGCAGTTGCTGACACGTTATTCAGCATTATCATTTCGTCATAACTGTCGGCAAAAAGGACTACATCATCAGCATATTCAAGATCTGTGATACGATGCTCTGATTTGTGCATCACTTGAAAGCAGCAGTATCCATAACCCAATCTATCGGAATATTGCAAGGGAAAAGGATATAACCTTGACGAACATCAGTTCCTATCTCAAGGATTCTGTCAATTCCCCCTATACATATACCTGCACCGACTACACTCACAAAATATCTTTGTTAGTCGGATGATTTTCTCTGGAAGAGCGTCACATTCCATCATCCTCCCAAGCACTGTTCTATCAACTGATTCGAAAGCAAAACCGATGAAACATACAACAGTGAGTGCAGCAGATATTTGAAGCGATATTCCAACATCCTTAACATGAATATATGGTCAGTACCGCCCTCTCCTCCACCTGAATCCAGCTTGACTAGGGCACATCCTGCTATCCCGTACTGCTGCCATAAATCTATTGAGTAAAAGAGAAGCAAAAATCGTTGAGACGTCTAGCAGGCTGATTCCTCGATAACTGTCGCAGTATATCCTGTTACCTTTCTTGAAAATTGCTTTGTTCCAGCCATCTGGTAATATTTCTTTTTCCAAACCAGAGAGTACATTTGTTAAAGGTGCGTTATGAAGGACGATTGATAACATTTGAAGAGTTCAGCCTGAAAACCATCTTCTACCGGAGTCTTTTTGGCCTTAACCTTATGGATAACGAAGATTATTTCTTCTTCTGTTGAAGACTCGCAATTGCAAACGTATGGTTCGACGAACGTATTAGCTATATAAGGGGCAACAGATGGAGTTTCATGATTAAGTTTGGCCTCAAAGAATTTCTTCCATCTTATGAGGTGATCTTTTATTAATTCTTCGAATTATCCAGTAGTCACGACCTCTTGACATTTGTGCTTTAGCAACTTTTTTAAACAGTTAGACAGTTGCTTCATATACCCAGCTAGTCCACTTCCTACTAGTAAGTATGGAAGTAATTGATTTTCGAAGAAATTCCTTTAGTTGGGACCAGTATTCACTTGCCGTTCCAGAAAAATCAATATATTTATACCATAGAGATGCTTCAATAATTCGGTTAAAATGCGCTCAATGAATAAATAACCAAAAACTACTGATAAAAATTGAAGCAAAAGGGAAGTAAAAATTCACTGAAAACCACAAAAACTAATCCGCCTAATTTTGACTTAGCAATTCGATCAAAAAAAGAACACGTATAAAAAAAAATAATTTTTGGAAAATCTCAAAAGAATTAATGAAACTTTATGTGAGTAAAGTTGCCAAACAAAATAATATATATATATATATATATTTACATATATTCCAGGTGACTCCCTAGCGAATGACATCTCATCCTAATAATTATTGGAGCCAGCCAAATTAAAAGGGGATGCTCGAAAAAAAAGTTAATAAAATATATCACAGATGCCAGATTTTAAAATCTTTTCCCGTAAGCTGACAAAATGTCGTTCCAATAAAGAATTTTTGATTTATTTTTCAATTTTTGAATTATATATCGCTATTTAATAATGATTTTCTTTATTTATTTGTATAATTATCATCGGGTTCGGTTAAATGATTTATTTTTTCTCTTTAATAGTAATAACAATAGCAAAGTAATAATTATAGCAATATATACCTCAATATTCTATTAAATTTCGCGATCTTCCTAATTAGAAAGTTTTGTTTATCTCTTTTCGACTGAAGGAAGCCTGTCAGAAAGTTTCAAAACCAAAAAAAATACTGAGGAGCCATCTGTATTGTGGGTATTGTGGGTATCTGCTTATCGGAAGTTCGCCTCCCTCACATGTACATTGAGCAATTATCATATCTAATTCGGTGCAGAGACAATGTATGTTAGACAATATATGAGCCAATGTATTGAAGTGGTTATGATGATTCGGATAAAACAACGTACTGATTATCATGTCTGAAGGAGCTCGATCCGCTCGGTCCAATGCATGGAAATGATCACATCGCTTGCGCCCTATTCAAGGAGAAATTCTGCAATGCCTTAATCATCAATGTATATATATATATATATATCATCAATGTATATATATATATATACATATATGTGTTGCTATTCGCAGTTATGCGTTGATAACCATGACAAAGGTAAGTTTTGTGAGGAACTCCAACTGTTCATAATATCACATGGTCACATGGTCATAATAGTAGAAGCTTAGGTTACGATTAGATTATTGGCGTCGAAGTTCGATGCGCAAATGGAGAACACCTTGCCGAATAGCATGGAGTATGGACTTTTTGTTGTGCACGCTTCCATCATTAAAGATCACATGGAATAACCGACACCTCTCTCGCTATCTGCTAAACACCCTAATTGTGCCAAAATGAGGATGAATAAGAACCTGGACTGAAACAGTATACGTATAGCGATATACGAACTTAAACATGGAAAAAGAGTGGTTTCATTAAGTGTCAGGTATGGCAGCAGATAGAACGGCTTGGAGGCTCTTGTGACCAGTGTAGCCAGCCTAATCGACAATGAAGAGAGTTATTAGACTATATACCATAAATTTCCATTGAAAATAAATAACGAAAGAAAAGAAAGAATTTTAATAACTGATATGGCTGCGAAAGAAAATTATATGAATTGAAAAAATAACGAAAAAAATATAAAAAATTTTTCAAAAAAGCGTGAAAAAACAAAAAAATGAAAATAAAAATTTCAGAAAAACAAACCATTTTAAGCTGATTCAATAAATTCTATTTGTGATAAATGAATTCAATAACTTCCTTTTTCGCGTTTTTCTATGCTCAATATCCAGGACTAAAATATAAAAATTATATTTAAGTGTAAGAAAAATGCAAATTTTTTGCAAAAAATGCAAAACATAAACTTTTTTTTATCTGAAAAATTCGAAATTCGACGAAATTTATTATCCAAATCTCTTTAGCGCCGATATTCGAAAAAATCTGCAGAAATTGTGAAATGTGATGATTTTTTGAAGAATTAAAAAAATTGTAGTTTTATGATATTTCATTCATATTACAATTTTTCCCTTTCAATTTTGCAAAAGTAAAATCCAAAAAAATATTCTAAGATATTTTTTGCAGATTTTAAGATACCAGAGAGGACGACCATATTTTTATAACCTGGATAAAAAAATAATGCATCCTAAAAATTAGAAATAAAAACAGCGATATATATTGAATATAATGTGAAACTGAACAAAATATGAATAAAACCTTAAATAATAAAAATAAAAAATAAAAAAATTCAGTCCGAAAAATGATACGGAATAGTCCACTAGTGTTGCTCAGAACACCATTGCCGAATTTCGAACATTTCTTTTTTCGGACTGAACTAACTTACCATCATAAATTCAAGATGATGCTGTTGATCTGTGCCCACCAATGGTATTTCTATCGCCAAAATGCCCAACAAAAATTTCTCGTCGAAATTTCAAAAATTTCTTGCAAGCCTATGTAGGAATTGTGGGCACAAATCACCTAATTATTATTTCAGTAAAATTTATTTACAGCAGAATTTGTTTTTAAAGAAAATATTCAGTAATTTTAAAAATAAAATAACAAAAATAAAATAATGAAATATGAAATACAAAGGACAATACAAAATATAAACAAAAAAATAAATAAAAAATCTAAAATCTATATCTCCTTTGGTTGCAGGTACAATTATAAATATTTATCATAGATTCATGGCAACCAGCTTGGATTTTTGGATCTTACTTGGATTTCTCCATGATAGATTTACTATTCCAAGGAAGCAACTAAACACTTTTTCACTTTTTAATGCGGTAATCTGCGCCACAGTCCACCCGGCTATCCTGCCTATCCAAAAAATATGTATAAAAACAGCGTAAAAAATGCATGTAAATAAAAAATAAAAGAAAATTGGCAAAATCAATGAGCAAATTAGCTGCTGATTGGGAAAATTATTAATATCTATTCTCACAAATAGTACCCGGTCATTGTTGGTTTGGTTGACTCCACTGATAATCAGTCGGAGGATAACATAACATGGAGCGAGAAGAGAGAAGTACAGAAGTATGCATCCCCAATACTATTTGGATTTAACCTGCAATTAAAGAGGGAGGGAGCGAATTCACAAGACTGTGAAATGAATTCGATCTCAGAAGAAACTCTCTACCTGACCATCTAAATAACAACCATTGCTAAAAAATTGCTGACGATAATGAATCGCAAAACTGACGGCCATTTATCTCACTAAAACCAAAACTGGCGTTGTGAATTTAGCACTGGGTGATCCCCAACGAATTATGCCATCATCAATATCATCGATTTCAAAGAAACGTAGTGAGATAAATGAAATGCTTCCAACCATCGCATAACCAATATGTGGTAAAAATTAAGAAACTGGAAATGGAGATGGCTACTGAAGTTAGAAAAATACTCGCTGCACCAATAACCTTGAATGTAAATGAAAATAGGAGACATTCAAATATTTATGTCTCGACAAAAACTGCAACTGCAATTATCTCGAAACAGACAAGCGACCAATTCTTCCAAGCAGCCACACCACCACTTACACTCCCAGCCAAACAAGTACCAAACCACTTCCCAAACACCGCTGCCCTCACTGAAAAATACATGATAACTTAATAACTTAATGTTGCACTGCACACCAATAGTAACAATCGGCCGCAGCTGCTTATTGTGCATCGGGAATCACCTTACAATTTGCATTACTTCCACAACTTTCGATAAATTTTCTTGATCCTCAGAGTGACCTTTGGCATATCTAGGTAATAAATGATCGGAAAATTTGCAAAATTGAGAATAATTGAACAGTCTATAATCTGCCTTGTTTCACTTCTATGGTCTGCTAAATAGTAATGCGGCTGTTCCTAAATTATCGTTGATGATAGGGAATGTGTAGCCAAGTGTTGGTGCAATAAAGGACTGGCAAAGGGAAGTGGTGTTAGGTGGAGGTGTCATAAATCTGTCACTGGTTTCATAAATAGGACTGGCAGTTAATTTTAATATGAATGGACTTTCGTCAGTAGTGCACTGCTTGCAGAACATTTCTCAATTCTAGTTTTTTCCACTTCTTTATTTATTTTTAGTTATATATTTATATTTTTTGCTATATTTGCATATATGTTTTCGTCAATATTTGTTTAGTATTTGGATTTTATTGCTTCAGTCGTCGAAGAGATGGAATAACTAAGTGCTTTTCACTTAAGTTAACGTTATTTGTCACCTACATTTCTGTCACTGAATGATAGAATCGTCCTATCCGTAAAAAGGCTATTGAAGCGAGCAGAACCAGAAATGATAGGCTTATTGATGAAAAACTGCGGAGAAATTAGTGTGAGCTGACCTCGCATGCGGTTCTTCATTCAGCTAGAATTAAGGATTGTTTTCAGGAAGAAGGAATGGGTCACAAGCGTAATAATATGGTCCCAAACGGGCATTTTCATAAAGATTGGCAAAGTCGTATCCGAACATGGTTTAACCAACCAGCACGTAAACAGCGTCGTCGAATGAATCGTTTAAAAAAAGCTTTAGCTTGCACCCCACGACCAGCTGCCGGATTACTTCGACCAATTGTTCGTTGTCCTACAAATCGTTACAATAAAAAAATTCGTTTGGGTCGTGGTTTTACTTTGGAAGAATTAAAAGCAGTTGGTATTAGTAAAAAAATTGCACCTACCATTGGTATTTCGGTTGATTATAGACGAACCAATAAATCCGTTGAATCGCTTCAGGTTTTTTTTCCTAACTAATTCATTGAAATCTTTCATTTTTCGGGAAAGAAATTTCCAAAATATAACCAATAAAAAAATTAAATTTCGCCAATTCTGGTGAAGTTCACTCTACCGGATGGTAATGCGATAAAAAATTGTTTGGGACAATTATGGAGCCCTGTAGGTGAGTCTCCAGCATTATTTGAAACCTTTTAAAATCCATTTCTTACTCCCTGTGTGTGGTAAAGACCTCAGCCTCGAGTCCTCTGTCAGAGGCCTAGATTGATATTATTCCTGGAATTTATTGAAGCCACTTTTCTGGTTTGGAGGCCATACTTCCAAGTGCCAATTATCACTGGAATCACTTTGGCCTTTATTTTCCACATCCCTTGTTCTTTTTTTAGCCCTTAATGTTTCTCTACTTTCCCGTCAATTGGCGTTGCTATATTTATCATCAGTTTTTTTGATTCTTGTCAACTTCCACTGTCTGATTGATGGGCCAGTATTTGTCTGTCTGGATGGAGAAAGCGATGGGATCCTCGTTGTTCTCCGCGATTTCTGAGGAAGTTTCCTTCTAGTCATGGGAAGATCTGAGCCATATATCGAGCAGATATTCCTGTAGATGCCAGCTACTTGGTTATGTCTTTCATTGTATTTTGTTCCTGTTTACATTTTATATCCAATCTATGTATTGTGTTTCTGGGGCGTTTTTACACAATTTGCACCTAGAATCTTATCTAATGTGGTAGATCTGGGCTTTAGTGGATCTGGTGCTTAATGCCTACTCTTGTACTGCTATAATCAATGCCTCAATAAAATTTCTCTGCCTCAGCTATCTATCAATGGTGCAACCCATGGAGAATTTGCCATGGTCCTCTGCTTGATCTTTTTCCATTGTTTGCTTCAGACATCAGGCATTCTCTTAGCAGCTCATTTTTTGCTTTATTGCTGATTTATTTCTGAATATTTGCATTTCGTTCAAGATAGTGACCTCATGAAGTACCATCCATCTTACAATGTTTGGGTGGAAATTTTCATGCATTATAAGGATCATCAGGCCAGCATCCTCTATGTTTTCCTTTATCCACCTCACTATGCCAGCTGCACTAAGCCGGATATACATATTTATGGCTGGCATGGATTTTGTTCTTCCCATTGAGCTGGCTCTTCAAGATTTGTTTTGTCCTTTGATGAGACTCAGATATTATAGTTTTCTTTTTCCTGGTTTTCTCATCGTGGTTTTTTGTGACTGAGATATCGAGGTACTTGTAGTTAGTCTGCATGTTCGCTTTAAATCTTGATGTCAGGTCCACTCCATCAGTTATTACTACTTTTTCTGTTTTTACTACCATCTAGCCACTTTTTCTAACCTGAATAACATTTCAATGTCCTTGCTGTAGATCTATGTTTGACGGAACGAGCTAATGTCTCGTTCACTTTTAGCATATAATGTGGTATCATCCATGTAGAAAAGATGGCTGATGGTAGTTCCGCTTTTGAATTTGCGTCTACTTCTCTTGATTATCTAAATGAAAGAATTTAGGCTTATGCAAAATAGTGGAAGAGATAGTAGCGCTTGATGGGAACTTATGCAAGCTGTTTTGAGTTGATTCAAATGTCGTTTCCCATGTTCCATTGAATTTCTTATTGAATGAACGTCACTAGGGTTTGCTGATTTCGTATAGAGCAAGGCATTCATAGAGATATGTGGGTCTTTGAATCATAGGCTTCCATATAGTCAATCCAAGCTGTACGCAAATTGGACTGCTGGGATTTCGAGTCGAGTCTAGAGCGACTGCCTTGTCTGTGAGCAGCACCGTTTGAGCCTCTGGTATTATTCCCTGTGCGTTATTGAATTATACTCATATACTGGTTTAGACATGAAACCTTTTGTCTATTAAGCCTGATATGGATCATCTCTGGGTCAGATGCTGTCCAGTTTTTTCATATTTTTAAGTCAGCAACTGTGATGGTAATCGGTTCATAGGATATTGCAGTGACTCTTTTCGGGTCTTTCAACCACTTTGCATTGGTGTTGTGAATTTTTTTTTCTTTTATATATTTTTCCCGTATTATATTGTTTCTGCGTTGATATTACTCTATTGTTACCATATTATTACATCTTGCATGGTTCCTTGGAAAACAGCGTCTTTTAATCCTTGCCTCTGCCGCCTTAGTCTAGTGGCCAGTGTTGTGAGCTTTTGTTTGGCAATCTGGAGAGCTTTTTGGTGGAAATATAGCTCTTGTATTTTCCCAGCATCCGGATATTTTTTATTCATCCCTTTCTGCGATTCTGTCAGCTGGCTAACTTCTTGTGCTTGCTCTAATCTTATTTTCCAGTCTCATTTTCCATGGACGAGAATTATTATTCTTCTTGATTTTTAATCCCAGAATTTCGAGATTGGCTGTGGCGCATGGCGCATTTCAGTTCATTATATTGGCAGTAGGAATTGTTGTGAAGGCTTTTTTGTATCTTCGATTATATTATGGGCATCACTGAGTCTTGGTAGTCGATCTCGATGGTTAATTACAACCATTTTATTCATAATTTTATTCATAATTTTTTTCTGCCTCATTTCTAGTGCTCTGCTTTGCAGTGGAGATATTGGAAGGCTTGAAATTTCCAATTTCCCAGCTTGTAGCATTCCTGTAGCTGATCAGTCTTCTTTCATCTTATTAAACTTTCTATCTCTGAGGACGTAGAACCGATCCATCTCCTACTGAGAAAGCAGTTTGCTCTTTCTTTCTTATGTTGAAGCATTGAACCACCAACTGTTTCTCAATTAGTGTAAGCGTCTTTTTTCCATCCATAGTATCTTCATACGTTTCATATAACCTCTTTGATTGGGTCTATTTTTCTAGTAGCATTCCTTCAGTTCCAGAGCATCTTGTTTCATCCTTGTAAGATTTGTTTTAGTAGCCTTTTTAACACCAGGCTGCTTTGCTTTGATGACAGCTGGCGTTATTCCAGTAGCCTGCTTGTTATCAGATAACTCAGCCTTTGACGCGTAATTTGTTAATCCGGACAATGTCCGAGCTGACTCTGACATATTTAATATATATTTGTATTTATTTATAAAGAAAAATATTTTATCTTCTTCACAAGTTATATGGCAGAGTGCTAAGATATTGTGGCGCTACTCGAGACATATTAAGGAAGTGTAAAATGATTTATTAAGATAATTCGATTTGGAAATGTACTTCGCCTGAAATTTATGCAGAAATTTGTGAAAAATTTGAAGTACCGGCACAGTATTATGAAGGTTTGAAAAAGTAAAAAAATTTTAGATTAGATTACAGTAACTGTAAAGATTAATGGATGTTGAGTTGAGTTTAGCTTTTGGGCGCATACACACAGGTTAACAGCAAATTGTCACTTCCTTTAGTAACAATAAAGTTGAAATAACAGTTTTTGAACAAGAAAAAAACACAAAAATTTATTTTAGAAAAAGTTCTGACCTGTTTGTGAAGCAATCTCATTTCCAATTTCGTCTAATATAATGTATGGTTACTGTATGGGTTTATATGTTAGAAAACAAAAATGAACATGGCTATAGCCTCAAAAATCTTAGCCCGTCCAGTTGAAAAGCTTCTGCACCCACGGACGGAAGGGTAGATAAGGGTAGATTAATACATATTATCATATAAACTTGAAGTTGCAGAATCAGATTTGAAAAAGTATTTTTATTCTTCTCAGGATATTTTATTTAGTTTTATTTATTTATTTCCATTTCATAAATGTGAATTTATTTTTTTTAAATTATCATATAAGAAAATTTCAGCAAAATATTCAGCGATTGAAGGAATATAAATCAAAATTGATCTTATTTCCGAAAAAGATGAGTCGCCCAAAGAAGGGCGATAGTACGGTGAGTTGTATTTTGTATATTCCTATTTCTGTATTCTGCCACTTGCATTTCTACATTCCGCCACATGCTATATAATTACTTATTAGATTTCTAATAACGAAAATTTTACTGCATAATTATCGTCTAAAAAGAAAGTAAATTTTTGTTTCAGTTTTAAATTACAAATTGTAAATTATTTCAGGCTGACCAAATAAAGATAGCGACTCAACTTCGTGGAACAATCATGCCAATAAAGAAGCGTGCACGTGCTGAAAAGGCTCGAGCAATTACAGATGGAGAAAGAAAATTCGAAGTTTTCCGTTATTTGCGTCGTGTGCGTGCTGATAAACGTTTAAAAGGGGCACGTGAAAAGAAAGCTCGTGAAATAGTCGAAGAAAATGTTACTGTTGGAGGGCGTCGTTAACAGGATAAGGATGCAAAATTTTATACTGTTTTTATTTACCTTTTGGAATTTGTTGCACATTTTTGAATTGTATGATGATTTAAATAAATAGCAAAACACTTTCATTTTGCAGTTTTAGTTTGGAGATTTAGGAAAAAGCAGTTATTTGAAACTGCTTTTGAAACCATGCAACAAATATTTTTACAGAATAAAACGCAGAAATTTAAAGCGCTTTAATATATATCCTTTAAAATCAATACAAATACAAATATCAAAATATTTTTTCTGCTGGGTCTGTCGTTTGGCTTGCTTCATTGATTATTAGAATGGATGAGACTTTTCCATCAGAATCTCTTGCATTTAAAATTTTCTAAAATTGTTTACTTGAATATTTAATTTAAAATATTTATCGTAATGAGTGAAGAATGCGTAAGGGTTAAGGTGAATTGCGGCATGTGGATACTTTTTATGGATGTGCTTACGGTTTCCCTGCCTGTGGATTTTTTCCTGCGTTCAATTTCGAAATTTTTAAACCGTAATTAAAATTAAAAAAGCGTGTCACTTCATTGGTAATTTGCTTCTCTTCATGTTGACGCCTTCTGGTTGGATGTTTTCAAATTTCTTACGTCAGTAAAGTTAAAGACGAAAAATTTGTCAAAGTTGGGTAATATTTTACCAAATTTGTCTAATATTTTTATTAGGGAAGAAAAAATTAGACCAAATAATTTACTAATCTTTTCATTTTTCTCATTTTTTCCTGAAAGTTAAAGGTTAAATCCATCTGACTTAACGAATTGTGATTTAAGAAACTTTTTTCCTTTACCGTAAATATTGGATCAGGGATTTAATTTTTAATTAAATTATAATATAATATGGATAACAATAATCAACTTCATTCGAGAAGAACCTGTTGAAATTTTGTGATCGATAATTGATGCAATTTTTTGTTGCTGAATTTTGTTGCAGATCATTTGATGGTATATCAGCTGGTTGAAGAGTGAATTTTGCTTTCTCAAGGTAGATCTTTGGACTGGCATTATAGGTGGGCCTGGTTCCAAGAAAACTATTATTACATTTTTCCGTAAAAAATATGACTGTTTGTGGTTGAGTTCGTCCTCCATATGACTTCTCTTCACTTGGAAATATAAATTGAGAAGAGTACTTCGCCCTTATTTCGCCTATAATTGAGCATTGCAGGATATTAAAAGTTTTAAAAAAAATAAAACAAATATAGTGAGCGCTTAGAAAAAATAATCTTAGAAAAAATAAAGATAATCGAGGAATAAAAGTATTCGTTTTTATATAAATAGCTGAATGAATAAACTGATAAGGAATTTACTATATTTATTTGTTACCATATTTATTATTTTATGGAACCGTCGCGAAATCACCATAAAAATGAAAATCCGCATATTGAAATTCATTTGATCTTGCTACATGGCAGCGAAACATGGCCAATGAGAGTGGAAGATATTAAGAAGCTATTAGCCTTTGACCACTCATGTCTAAGGTACATTCTACGGATCCACCGAGCAAATAAAATCGAACATCCACCTTCGCTCAAATACCACCTCCATAAATAATGTTATTACAGAGCGTCGCCTTCGATGGCTAGGGCACGCTCTCCGTCGTCCACCACAAAAGTTGACGCATATTTCACTACTACTTGCTAAACCATGTGATGAAAGCGTCAAAAGCGAGGAAGGCCAGTCAAGACCTGGGCTGATACAATCAGAAAAGATTTTGAACGCATAGGGGGACCAGCGATATATGGACTTAGACGATGGAAAAAGGAATGGCTTCTATTACTACTAGCGATGGCATCGGACCAGGAAGCTTGGAGATGTTTTACTCATGTAGCCAGCTGAGCAAGCCTAGCCAGTAAGAGCTGTTAGAAGAAGATTTTATTGTTGGTTAAGTATTTATTAAAAAATTTATTGAAAATAAAAAACTTACTTCATTGATCTTATAATTGCGCTTTAAAAAATATAGCCAAAGTTAATTCAAATTGATCATTAAGATGTTATTTACATTTAGAACGACCCATAAATTTTAAAAATAATAATAATAAAGATAATTTAGATAATAATCATATAATTTTAAAAATAAAAATAATTGTAAAAAATTTTTGTCGATTTCCTGTCGATATAATCTAAATTTTTTGGCGGCTAAGTACTATTATTTTGTTTGAAAGCAATTGAATTTGTAAGACTGAAAAATCTTTGAAGCATATCAATCAAGAAAATAATATGTATATCTAAGTATTCTTCGGTGGAATCTTTCTAAGAAGGCTTGACCATTGCACTTCAGGCCAATTTGCTTGTGTGGCATTCTTGTATGGGGATTCAAAAATTCCCATGAAAAATCTCATGTATGCTTGCATGAGATTTAACTGTTAATCATTCATTGTTTATCAGTTTGCTGAAAGGTTCCAAAATTTCTCGTCTCAGCTTGTTTTTCATATTTTGTGAAATAAAATTATTAAATGAACTGAGTAATTTTTTTGAACTTTTAAAGTTTTTAAACTGACAAAAATATTTTATGTGGATGGTTTAGGTTTTTTCAAAAATCAGGCATATCTCTCGCATTCTTCAACTTGCACTTTTTTCCGCGCTCGCTAAATCCCATAATTCCCCATCAATATAAACCTTGTAACCCTTCATTTCCTGCTCTATTCAATCATCAACCTCAGTCGCTATTATGTATCCTTTATAATTTTTTGATTTGCATTAAAAACGCACGGCGAGTTATTTTTCATTTCTGATCACAATTCAGCTAAGTCTTCTAAAACTTTTAATTTTTTTTACCAAATGACGATTAAAATAAAACAAACTAAAATTAAATCAATTAAATTAAATAAATTAAAAATAAAATCAATTAAATTGTGCAAATAATATATATATATTTTTTCAAATTTAATTGCTTTTTTATTTTTTATTTTTTTAAAATTTCATAGTCTATTTTATTATTTTCTTTAAATTTAATTTTTTGTCTTTGGCAGGAGTAAACCTGCCATTATGCCAAAATCCGGGGCCCACCTGTATCTCTATCCCCAAGTGACTCTATGATGAAGGGGTCATATTTTTGATACGGCGTCCGCGTCTTTTGACGCGCATAGTGCTTGTAGCCAGGTGGTACATTCGATAAGTATACAATCCGGGCGTAAAGTGATCATAAGGCATGTAAATAAAATGTGCTCGCAAGCCAGAGTAATTACTCGAAACCTATCAAAGGGAGCAGCTCTCTGCGCTGTGAGATATTAGCCGTATCAGGATGGAACGTCAGAAAGCTAATGGATGTTGCAAGCCAAGCGATCACTGTCCACACCCTTTCTAAATATCGTGTGGATATCACTTGCTTGTCGGAGGCCCTTCTTCCTTATTTTGAGTCTCAAGTGATTATTTATCCTGGCTTGCAGCAGAGATACTGGTTATATCACTGTGATGCTTCGGATAACTCGGGGCGGAATGGCGTAGCGATTATCTTATCTGACAAGACCCATTCCGATTTGATTGAGTGGAAACCGGCAAGCGACCATATGGCCTATGACCGTTAAGTTTTATGCGGAACTTTAACTGCTATTGGTCATAATCGGGGAAGAGTGGAATGCACGCGTAGGACACATTGCTGCTGCGATGACCTCTACAATTGGTAAATATGGCATCGGAGACCAGTGAACCAATGGGAAACGCCTTCTTCGTCATGCCGAAGAGCATGAACTTTTTATTATAAATACTTGCTTCCGCCATCGTGGGAAACATCTAGTCACGTGGAATTCCCCGGATAACGAACATTTCAACCAGATTG